AACTGCATAACACTGAACTCAGAGTCTTTGTCAAATTTTCCTTGCGGAACCATTAAACCTTTATCTTCATCATAGAAACACTGAACAGAGTCAGGAAACATTTCATTAGCGGTTAAAGCAATAACATCTTGCTTCACGCCTTTCATTCTGCAGTGAAATGCAACTTCATTTAAATCGTTAGTGAGTAAGTCTATGTAGGTCTTCTTTCCACAAAATATTGACTTGTATGCTAAACTTTGTTTTCCAGGTGTTATTTCTGCGAAGTCGCTATGAAATTGACCTAATGTTTTACCAATAAGTTCTCTACCGTATCTCTTCTTAAATTCATGAGCTAAACGTGGTATGTCTTCATTGTAAATGTGCATCGAATCTGTATCCTGATAAAATGCTTTTAATCCTAAGTCTTCAATCGTGCAAAACACTTCATTCATAATACGTTTTGACATTGATAGAATATTTACACCAGTGGGCAAAAGTTAAAGTGTCTGCAAATGCTTTTCGTTAGCTTGAAAATAGTTTTATCTGAACCATCCAAACCTTCGAACTTCACTATATGGTTGTAATTTCTTATAGCATATCTTATAGCATCTTTGTCATCTACTATGGTTATTTTTGACTCAATAGGAGATAAAATGGTTTTGCCATAAATACTGTTCAGAATGAGCTTTATATTTTCTTGTTTTAGAAATGTTTTTTATTGAAAAATCAATAAAACTAACTCCAAAATAAAATTTTTGATTTAAAGACACTATGATGACACCAGGCAAATCTTCCAAGACACCTATCGTCGGGAATCTAACAACCCTAACGCCATTTCACCAGCCATATAATTTAAAAATATGTTTTTATACAATTGTAATAATATTGACAATTACACTTTTTCGTTCTGTTCTTCAATTCGTTACATTATTTTTCCAAGAAAGATGAATATAATTAACGCATTTAGTGTTTGCATAAATCTTGCTAAATTAAACAGCTGGTTCAAACTTTGAATATTTTTTCAGTTCCAAATATAATTTTCCCACCATGGGTGTGGAACATCATTGTGTTGTAAACAGAAATTCATCAAAAGTGACACTTCAGAAAAGCTAAAATATTGAATTTTTGGAACTTTTGATAGAGCACGTTTTTAAATATTAATTAAAGTAAATGTATATTTTGTAAAAATTCTTTTTAATAAAAAAATAAAATTTTGAAGAAGAACACAAAATCTTCTGAAAAATAATATCACATAAACTCATATTATTTTCTAATATATAACTATTTTATATAAAAATCAAATTCAATGATCTTAAAAGCGAATGATAAACCTCAAAATTTACGAATATAATGAGTGGGAATATAATGCTTATCTATCATAAAACCATATGAAATATCAATTTTTGCTTTACGCCTAATTTTTGACGACAATTAGCAAAAAATGTTAAATGTTAACACTCAGTCCATTTGAATATGAAAAATAAAATTGACTTTGATTAAATGTTTTTATTTATCATGCAATTCTTCTTGCGACCAAAGATTTGAATAAAACTTCAAAAAATAAGATAGCTTAAAAAATAATATACGGTAGTGTTTACTAATAGATGAATAGTATATAAATTCTATTAAAATGGATTTGATCCAAAAAAATATATAAAATTTGATCATAAATAAAATCGTTTTAAATTACTTCTTCATTTAAATTATAACAATTATTTTTGGTTTTATATTTTTTTGGATCAAATCCATTTTAATAGAATTTATATACTATTCATCTATTAGTAAACACTACCGTACATTATTTTTTAAGCTATCTTATTTTTTGAAATTTTATTCAAATCTTTGGTCGCAAGAAGAATTGCATGATAAATAAAAACATTTAATCAAAGTCAATTTTCTTTTTCATATTCAAATGGACTGAGTGTTAACATTTAACATTTTTTGCTAATTGTCGTCAAAAATTAGGCGTAAAGCAAAAATTGATATTTCATATGGTTTTATGATAGATAAGCATTATATTCCCACTCATTATATTCGTAAATTTTGAGGTTTATCATTCGCTTTTAAGATCATTGAATTTGATTTTTATATAAAATAGTTATATATTAGAAAATTAAAAAAAAAAGGTAGTGGGGCTTCCAGGCACTTCGTGCCCTCTAGCCCCGAAGATGTTTAGTATAAATGAAGTTTTTATTCGGAAAATTGTTAGTCTTCTGGTGTGAATTCGGAGGACTCTTCTTCTTCCTCCATTGCTTCTGGGAAGAAGCCTTCTTCTGGGTCGAAAACATTATATAATGTGTCGCTTTTCACAAATTATATATGTTTTCATGTTTTGTCACTTTTCTGTCACTTTTCGGGTAAAAACATTTTTATTATTATATATAAATGAATTTTACAAAACCACCGTTACCGTTCTTTGGAAATAAGAGTAAATGTAAAGATATTATATTGAGAGAACTTAAGAAACTACCGAATGGTCTAACATTTGTAGATTTGTTCGGTGGAAGTTTCTATATATCCCATTTATGTCATACAATATTCCCAGACTCAAAGATTATATGCAATGACTTCGACAACTATATGGACCGTCTCAAACATATTCCAGACACAAACAATATATTGAAAGAGTTAAAAGAAAAGATACCTATAGGTAAGATGGAACGTATACCATTAGATAAGAAAAATATTGTGAGAGAGGTTTTGAAAAAAGCAGAATATATAGACTGGGATAGTATATCTGCTAGACTATTATATAGTGGTTCTATAAGAGTTCATGACATTGAAACACTTATGTCAAAAGTTTTATATCTTAACTATACAAATGTTTTCAAAGAGGACATAGAAAAATATATTGAGGGTATAGAGTTTGTGAGATGTTATTGGACAGAGTTGTATGAAAAATATAAAGACAAGGAAAATGTTTTCTTTATAGTGGACCCGCCGTTCTATAACACATGGGATTTTCAATACCAAGTAGACTGGACTTTGAGAGACTCTTTAGAAACTTTAGACGTTATACATAACCATCCATGCTTTTACTTTACATCCGATAAAAGTGGTTTGGAAACCGTTATGAGATGGTTAGAGGACATACATGACTATGAGTTTATATATGACAAGATAGAATATGAGAGAGGTCCTATAAACCGGAGAAAGTGTCATAACAAAGAAATTTTATTAGTAAGTAAATGTGGTTTGAAATAGGACTACTTGTTTTAGGTTTTTTCCATTGTGTCATTTATTTCTTTGACGTGGCAGAAAAGTACAGAGAATATGAAGATGAACCAATGCCTGCAAATGTTCAGTATATGTACTCGTAAGAGATATTTTTATCTAATATTAAATGGACGCACAGAACTTAGCGAATGCACAGCAACCTGGACAACCAAACCCAGAGAATATTCCAAATGAAGTTAGAATACAAACTGCAATGGCAAACTATGGTCAAGTGCCAACAGATGTACAAATGCAAACTGCCATGTCAAATGACGCTGCGTTAGGTTTGCCACCATGGTATGCAAATATGAGATGGAAAGAGTTTTATACAAACCCTGAAGTGGGATATAAACAACTTTATGCAGATGACGCGAACACAGGAGTTGACCCAGAATATGTTTTCTACCAGAGGAGAAACAGAATGTATGAGCTCCAGTTAAAGAATGCTATGGAACTCAACAGGAAACGTAAGAGACTAGGCGGACATTAGATTTTTACATATAGTAAAATGGGTTTCTTCAGTAAGATAGGAAACTTCTTTCGAAATGTTGGAAGAGGTATATGGAATGGAATAAAAACCGTAGGAAGAGGAATTTGGAACGGTGTCAAAAATATTGGTAAAAGGGTAGGTCAGTTTGTTGGTATTATACCTAAAGACCCTGAACCAGAAGAACAAGCTCCTGTTATACAACAGCCTGAACCTGCACCACAGTCTAGTTGGCAACCAAATCCAACACCTCAACCGTATTAAAAAGTTATATTTTTACCGTTCGATAGTAGTTGTATATGAAACTAAGTTCTAAGTAAAACGCATGGTATAATGGAATTATTCTTTTTCTTCCATCTGTAGTAAACCATACTTGAAAGTCTGAAATACTTCCACTTGGTGGTTCGTATAACTTTGTAGGTTTTTCGTAAAAGTCATTTGCCAAGCATAAGAAAGAGTTTTGGGCGCCAGAAAATGAAGCATGAACAATAATAGCAGCTGGGTCGAAAACATCTTTAAATAAATATGGTTCATCTCTTGCATATCGACTGTAAATATTTGCTAAAGGAAGTTCGACTTTCTGATTTAACATTCTTTGCAAATAATACCATGACATTGCAGTGAATTCTGTATATATTTGTTCGTCTTTATTTGGATTGTTTTCGTAGATTTGAAATGACACTTGTGAATTTTGTTTGTCATATACAATTCTCACATAAAGTGTGCTCTCGGTATTTGCATATTCATCAGCATATTTTGCATAACATGAATTTATTTTATCTTCTATATTTTTTAACGCAGTCTGTAGAGAAGATGAAAGGTCAACTTGTATTAGCTCAATTTCTTCCCACATTTTTCGTATCCCTTCAGATATATAATCTATATGAAACCTTACAATAAATGGAAAACTTTTATCTTCTACAGACACAAACTTCATTCTACGAAAGCCAATAGCTTTTGTGACAGATGGGTCTCTTAGCCATCTTAATGGGTAGTCAAAACGATAGCCTTCATGCTTTACGGTCTCTGTCTCAAACTTTTGACCGACATTAGTAAAAAGTTCATCTAATGGTTTAGTTGTAGCAACTCTTGAATTTTCTTTTTCTATTGGAAGCATATTTTATCTAGAATAAAAATGTCGAAAGATATTGCTTCCATGAGAGAAATACAACACAACCGACAACTCATTATGCAAGCTCTAAATAAGAACACAACAAACTTTTCAAACTATTCTAAGATATCTGAGTCATTGAAAGAAGGAAACTTAAAACTGACATTAAACCCAATGACAGATGAGTTTCTGTTTCAAGACAATAAGAACCATACTGTCTGTATAAATCCAACAAAAGGAACTTTAAACGAGAAACCTATAAATGAACTTCTTTTGAAAGCAGATGTTGACAACAAAGCTGACAAAGAATATGTAGACGATGCAATAGCAAAAGAAGAAGAAAGAGCTAACAATGCTTATGCAACAAAAGAACATACTCAACCTGAACTAGCAGACAAAACATATGTTGACAATAAAATGTCAAGTGAAGTGACAAGAGCTGAAAACGAATATTCTAAAAAGACTCATACACATTCTATATCTGAAATAACAGACTTACAAGAAACCTTAAACAGGAAAAGTGCCGTTGGACATAGACATTCTATATCTGAAATAACAGACTTACAAGAAACCTTAAACAGTAAAAGTGCCGTTGGACATACACATACCATTGCAAATATTACAAACTTACAAGAAACCTTAAACAGGAAAAGTGCCGTTGGACATAGACATTCTATATCTGAAATAACAGACTTAAACGTTAGCCTTGAAAAGAAAGCGGATAAGGATTGTGTGGCGAGTAGGTTAGAGAAGAAAGCAGATAAGGAATATGTGGATGAAAAAGATAATGAAATTATAGAAAGGGTTGAATGGTATCATGGATGGACATCGAAGATTTTAAAAACTAAAGCCGATACAGGATGGGTTTCAGGATGTTTAGACCTTAAAGCAGATAAAACTTATGTTAACGATGAGTTAGAGAAGAAAGCAAATAAGACTCATACACATGATTTCTTCACAACTGTTGCTATAGAAAGTATTGAAGGAACGGTTGAAGAAACTGGTGGGGATGCATTATATTGTAAACCTCCTAACTTTCCACAAGGTTTAACATCGGATGACGACATAACGACGATGAGAAACATTAGATGTAAAGATGTTTATGTCATGAAGGATGAATATAATATTAAATTCACTGCTCAAGATTTATATGACAAGAAAGCAGACAAAAAAGAGCTTCAAACATTAAAGACAGAAATACTTCAAACATTATATCCTATAGGCTCTATTTATACGTCAATGAACTCTACCAGACCAGAAGTAGTACTTGGTTTTGGAACTTGGACTCAAATAGTCGACAGGTTTTTGTATTGTGCAAACTCTTCAAAGGAAACAGGTGGAAGTAAAACGATTTCAGGTGAAAATTTACCTGCACACAGTCACTACATAGATTTAAGTACATCTCAAGCAGGTTTGCATAGTCATAGATTTTGGGATTGGTCAGGAATGACAAAAGGTAAAGGATATGATGTTAAAGAGGACGTTAAGTTTGCTATAAATTGTTACTGGAATAACACTGAGGGAGGAGGAATCCATACACATCGCGTTTCAGGATATACGCAAACAACGGGACAAAGTAAAGACTACATGCCACCTTACATGACAGTTTACGCATGGTATAGAATTGCTTAGTCGTCATTTTCAACTTCTTTAGCATATTCGTCAGGAGTTGTCTTATATTTGTTAGGAACTGTCTTTGAAAGTATACCACCTTGAACTTTGACAAGTTTGAAACGAGGTCTGACAATAGTAGTTTTATCTTCTGCTTGCAGTGTGTACATTTTGCCATGTTTGCCTAAAACTTCATAATATTCTCTTGTATACTTTCTTCTATTTTTACGAACACGAATGTGAGTACCTGTCGGGTTCCCATTGTTGTCATAGTCAATAGTAATTTTCATATGGGTCGCGTTTAGGTATTTCTATTTTTACTTTGTCACCTTTTCTGAAGTTTGAAGCCCGGCATTCTTTCTTGTTTGTCTCTCTTTTGACTAAATTATTAAATATATAGTCTTTCTCTAAGTCAGGGTTGTTTTTCATTTCTTCGGGGGAGTGGTTTCCCAAACCTTTTTGTTTACGGCTATTGTAAATATTTAAAACTTGTCTCATCTTTGCCATGGAGAAGTGTCTATATTTGTCGTCATATGACATTTCATTTGCTTCACCACCTTGTGGTTGGTTTAAGTCTCTTAACATTTTATACAACCGTCAATGACACCAAGAGCAGAATGGTTTTGGTCGACAATGAAATATTGGTTTACATTTTTTGAACGCAGATAGTTTTTTACATCATCTGATTTGAAAGAACTTTCACAGTCAGATGTCAGTTTTGTTGATGGTATTGTCAACGAATATTGTCAAAGCAGTTTTCACATCTAAAATATTTTTGGACCATAATGGTATGGCTTCACAGTATCTTGTGTTTTGACCGACAAATATTAGCCAGTATGGTGGTCCATCTGTTCTAACTCTCGGAATGTTTTCCAAGATATCCATAAACCAAAGCATTTGGTGTTGAACTAAAGATTTTATCATGAGTGCTTTCTTTGTCGCTTTAGAAACATAGGGGTCCTTGTTTGGATTCGTCATTTTTTACCCTATAAGAAATGGGTTTATTTGGCGCATTAGCAGGAGTTGCATCCAGATTTTGCCCGCAGTGGGAACAATAGCCAGAGGTGTATTTGGAGTTGGAAGGAAGATTTTGAGTACATTAGGTATACTTAAAGAGAAAGCACAACCTATTATACAAACTGTACAGAAAGGTTGGGATGTAGCACGAGATGCAACAAATCTTATTCCAAATCCTGAAACAAGAGAGAAAAGTTCAAGGATGGATGGACAATGTAGGAAGACAAGCAGGAAACTATTATAACAAAGCAAATGACTACTATAACCAAGCAGGACACTATATGGACCAAGGTGAAAGATTCTTTAACAGAGGATATAACCATGCACAACAATGGGTAAACAATAACCAACCTCAACCGCCTCAAACGTGGGGAATGTAAAGTTTTTTACTGAGATGAAATGAACAATACAGCATTGAGACAAATGGGTTCAAGATGGATTTGTCGGCTTCCAGCAGTTACACAACGTGTTTGTCAAGTTCTTCCTATACCTCAGGAAGTTTTAGACCGACTTAAAAAAACAACAACAACCAGTTGAAAACAAACCAAACTAAAATTTTTTACTGAGATGAAATGACCGAAGAAGTTGAAACGGTAGATTTGACAACCAACAAACAAAAAGTTCAGAACCATTGTCAAAACCTGTCAAAGAACTTACAGATGAAGAGAAAAATTCAATAATAGAAAGTGCCAGGTCTGGAAATACAAACCCTAACTACAAAGTCACTTTTCATAAAAATGGAACGGCAAGTATCTCAAAAAAGAAACAGACTCTCACAAATAAAATATTGAAGTCTGAAGGAGCTTTCGAGACAACAGATGGGAAGGTATTCTTCACTGACCAACAGTTCATTATAGAACATCTCATTGACTTAGAGTCGAAATATTCTAAACTTTACAACAAACACAAAAAGTTGAAAGGAAAACAAAAACAAATGGCATATGATATTTATGAAGATGTTGACGACACAACTGTTCCTGCAAGTGAAGTAAAGTCAGAGAAACCGAAAAATGACGAAAAACCGATAGAAGAAGAAAAACCAAAAACTGAAGATAAACCAAAACCAAAGTTTAGTTTGGAAACTAAACCAAGTCAACCTTCATAGCTGGTATGGGTTGGCGTCAAAGACTTATGGCAGCAGGCGGTTATGTAAAGTAAAGAAAAAAAAACATATTTTTTTATTTTTATAAAAATGCCCCCATATAGAATGGATAGAAAATCTGCTAGAATAAAAGCAGAGTTGCAAAGATATGGTTGGAGAGTTTCGAAGAATTTTAAATATAGGAAGGGAAGACCCATAAAAGTCTATGACAAATTGTCTGGTCTTCGCTACGAAATGGATTTGGAAACAGCACGTGCCAATTATCCAAACAGACTAGAGAGGTTAGAAGAAGAACGTCTTATGGACATGCCTTTCGATGTGTTAAACATTGCATGAAGTAAAATTTATTTTTTAAAAAGTGACATTTTTTAAATTTTATTTGAAATGTACGCTGAGTTTGTTGGAGAAGACCGTTGGAAACTTGTTTGTTAGATGAGAAATATGAAATGGCATACCATTTTAAAACAATATATTTTTACATATATTAAATGCTTCAGGTTGAAAAAAAAGAACAAAAGTAGCAGATACAAAACCGTTAGACTATATCTTTACAAATGCTGGTAGGACTATTTCAGATGAAGAAATTTCATCCCGAGTATACAGGTTTGACTATCCAATTCGTTGGCTTCAAAGTCCTTCAGATGCAAAGGCAATAGGATTTAGAAGAGTTTTTGTTTTCAAATAGAACTAACGCATTTATGTTCGCAGTATATTTTCATGGGCAGTATAAAGGTTCTGATGGTCTAATAGACAAATTTGACGAAATGAGAATCTTTACAGTTCGTTCAGACGAAAGTCTTGAGAAAACTCTAAAATGACTTTCAAACTCAAATGAACAAATATTATTGGGAATTTCAAGAAAAATACGACTCTTTACTAAATGGAACATACTATCTGAAACTAGAATATGACAAGATGAACTCCACCGTTCATTTCAAAAGATTGAAATTAACCCTCCAAGAGATACAGAGTTTTTATTTTGGAAAGTAGACAAACGTTCCATGGGCACAATTTCTTCGGTTACTAAACCAGAACGAACCATTACCACCAGATGGTCCATTTAAATTTATACTTCCACCAGCAGATCTGACAGTTTATAGAAACGTGTTTGACCCTCAAAATGTTATGTGTCATGCAAGTTTCAGTTCAAGCAACAATAGTTTTCTATGTATTGGTAAGGACTTTTATGACTTTGCTTCTAAATTCTACGAACCCACTAGTAACAGTTTTCTCTGACTTTCAAGTTTGGTTCACAACAAATGGTGTGCAACATATTATTCCATTGTACTATATATTCTTTCTGACGAAGTATGTTGTCATTGGAAGTCTTTCGTTTAGCATGTAGTGGTCTTCAACAAGAAGTAGGTCAATAGTTCGAACAGTTTCACATTCTTTTGGTATGTATCTCTTTTATTTCATTATATCTTGAGTCATTGAAGTAACCAATGGTAACATTAAATGCTATACCTGTTGCGTCAGAAATTTCTTGTACTTTACTTTGAGGAAAGTCTCTAACACGAATGACTTCTCTCATGTGTCAATAGTTTCTTCATTTACTCCAGCCTGAATGCAAGCATAAACGAAACAATTGTCTTCTGTCATAAGTGTTGCAGTTCTTTGTTCAGTTCATTGAAGATTTGGTAGCGTTCAAGATTTATAGGTAATGTGCAAAGATACTTCCAGAACTGACCGCTTCTCTTCTTATAAAACTTCTTTTCACCATTATCTTTCCAAAAGCTTTCTATAAGTGCTGGGTTTCCTGTTTGCTTAAGAGCTTCCAAAATGGCTTTCTGGTCATTTGTCAGTGTGCTTTCATCTCTATATGGTCTCTTTTTTGGTTTGCCTTTCTTTACATCTGACATCGTTAAGCCTTCATATTCTGTTAAATCATACATCTTTATTTCAGTAAGATTCTTTATGTTTGTCAAGAAGAAGTCATAGTGCATTTCAACAATACCTGCGGCATTTGCTTCTATCTCTGATATAAAGTTCTCCTTCAAGAGCTGATGTAGTAATGTTCCATATTATTGAGGTTTAACGTAGAACATTCATACTTTCCACCAAGTTTATAACATACCATCCATCTCTGTTGTGAGTTTATTTTAATCTTCTCTAAGAGTCTCATGAAAACCTTACCGAAATGTTTGTGTAAATATTCTCTGTTTGGTTCATCTAAAGCTTCGATGTTAAAGTCAATGAGTCTATTGCCTGACTTCACATTTCTCTTCCTATTCTCTTCATCTTTCTTTAACCATCTCTCACCTTCTTTTGGTTTGTCGTCAATGGAACGAATGACATCGTTAGCTTTGCGAACTTGTTCTATAGCACTTTTAAACATCTCTCTTCTCTGTTGTTTCAGTGTGTCGTCTCTTCTTCTTGTTTCACCAACGTTTGCATTTGTTATGTCAAACATTTCTCTTCTTACTTCATGAGGTACTGAACGTCTATGATATAAGTCAATAGCAACGTCATTTAAAGGAAAAGTTCTTGCATGGACTTCGTCCTCGCCGCGTTGCGGCTTTATGAACTCATGAATTCTATCATAACTTATTGCACCATTATAGTCATTGAGGATGTCAGCGAGTGCTTTTTTGTTTGTCGCGTAATGTTTTGCAACATCTATGTTAGCTTCTGTAAGAAGTTGTTTTATTTCCGAGTGTTCTAACTTAGACAACTTCCGATACATCTTTAGTAGGAAATAAAAAAATATTTTTTGAAAAAATTTAGATTAGATTTTTTTTAAGTTATTTTTCAAAATAATTTAATATTTTTATTTTAATGAAACACATGCAAGATTGCAAGTTCTTTTCATACAATGCTCTCGCTAATGCCATCAAGAATGAGTTCAATAATGCTTCAAATGTTAATGTTATCTTTAACAAGAAGTTTGTGAAAGAATCTAAGTTCGGTCAGTATGTCAGACCATTAGCTATCGTCATTGACCGCAAACGTTATACTTCACAAGAGTTAGCAGTAGTTTTGAAACAAAAGGGTTTCTTCGTGAATGTCAAAGATACTCATTATACTGTTATAAAGAACTCTAACATTGACTTCTTCAGTATTGCTTTAAATCTTTCCGAACAGAAAGAATATAAGAAGGGTGAAACAAATGTGAAATATTATCCTTCATCTCTGAAGACAATAACGAACAAAGATGTTATACAGAAATTCTTACCAAAGGTTGAAGAAGCTTCTATTGACATTGACGAAGGAAGTGAAATGGTTGAAGAAATTGACCCTGACGTCATTTAAGCAAAAATATATTTTTGGTTAGTCTTCATATCGACATTTTACAACACTTAAATGGTAAAAACAAAATAAACTTGACGAAGTGAAGATTTGCACTTCGTCGATTATGATCGACATGGAGCGTTTTGTTTTTATCATGGTTTTCTCCACTATGGTTCTAACGTGGCACCCGACGAGATTTTTTTTCATTCTTCCTCTTTGAAGTTGTCGAAATATTCTGTTATCTTTTCTTTCAGTAATGTTAAGTCTTCTTTGAATGTAAGTATTGTGCAACCTTTGATGTCATAGTGTGTTTGAGGAAGTGTGTCTTGAACTATCTGTTTAACATCTTCATTCGGTGTCATTGAAATCGGTAAGTTTTCGCAATAGAACCAATTTCTGTCAGATTTGTAAATCTTAGCAAGGTCGTAAAAGCTTTTGTTGTTTCTTCTGACTAAATGCAACATAACCATGTCACTGTCTTCTTCTTTCTCCAACTCTTCAGTATATATCATATACTTATAACTCTTTTCCTTTCCTTTTGGTACTGAACGTGGTATTCTTTTCTGTATGCTTTTGTCTTTGGATTCAATGACTTCATCTTTTGCTTGAAGTTTCTTTTCCATATCTTCACGTTCTTGTCTGTGAAGTTCGTCAAGAAGTTTACAAACATACCATGAATAGCGAGCTGAAGCCCATTGTGCCACATTATTTACGAGAAGTCTATGAACATAATATCCTCTCAAACCGTTTGGCAATTTTTCACGGTTTTCATAGAGTTTTGGCGACTGGGATTTTTTATCTACTCGCTGTTCTTCACTGTTTTCAGAAAAAAGTATGTCTCGCTGTGCTTCGCTTAAGAGTTCAATGGTGCTTTGGTTCCTAAACCAGTCTTTAGGAAGCTTAGTGTCTGGAGCAAAACAAGCCGTCAAAATACTTTGCATCTGGTACATATCGTCTTTGACCGAACGAATGAGTCTCAATTTTTTGTTATATTGTATGTATTCATATTCTTCATTTATGGCTTCATGAACGATAGCAGTTGTTGTGTTCTCTGTTGTTGACATATCTGTCTTTATATTCCGGATAAAAAAATATTTTATAAAAAACTAACTTTATTTTCTGACTTTCACAAAAGACCAAAAATAAACGCTTTACATGTATTTTTCAGCAACTTCGTCAAATAATTTTATAGCTTTATCTATCTCATCTACTTCAAACGTTTCTTTACCTTTCATGGGAGCACCATACTTTTCTCAAACTTTTCAAGTAGTTCTGTTTCTGCAGCTCTCATATCATTAACGAACACAACCTTGACTCTATTGACTGTACTGTCATATCTTTGAGTTATATTATATGTTCTTCCTATCTTATATCTCTTTGTATTGAAGTCCTTCGGTTTCTGAACGATGTAAAGTAAGCCTTCACTGCAACGTTCCGTATTGAATGAACCATAAGTTATGAAGTTATATCCAACAACTGGGTCTAACCATAACAAAACTATTGGTATAAGACTTTTGTCAATGAGATATGCTGTAGTTCCATAGAATCTTACTGATATCATAAGCTCAGGATTTCTTGTCAAAATTTTCTGAGTTGAAGCATTTCTAACCCAGTCGTTTGTTTTCTTTCCAGATGGAGATATAATGTCTGACAAAGAATATTTGTTGTATTTCTTTGAGTATCTTACGTTTAAATTACCTATTCTAACCACTTTGGTGTCATTGTCTATCTTTCTAACTGTTTCAAACTCAACCTTTAACATTACTGTTCTTACATACAAGATAAAAAGTTAGAAAAAATAATGTTTATGTTAGCATGTTAGATCTAACACGTTTTCTAACCACTTTTCTAACATCGAACTATTTACAAGCGTTTTACATGGTATATGTTGCGATGGTTCATGACTTTAAACAGTTTTGTAGCTTCTATTTCTTCACGAAGGATATCAAAAATTTTAACTATGCCGAAGGTTTCTTTATATTTCTTCTTGACATCAGATAATAGGAAATCGTCAGCAGTTGGATAGTTTTTGTTCAGAAATGCTAACATGTCCATTTTATCTTCTGCTGGTTTCTCTACTTCTTTCTTTAAGTCAGCATAGTCGTTTCTCATACGTTCTATCTCTTTGACGGAGTAGTTATATTTCCTCATTGCTGCTTTACATTTTGAACATTGCGGATTCATTTTTGCGTTATACATTGAAATTTGACCTGCTAGAACAACTAAGGCGTCAATGGTTTTCTTTAACTCAAAAGTTGTTGGTTTTATTTGTCCATTCCATATTTTACATCTTTTATCTTTATCTCTTATCTGCCATACACATTCAGCAACTAATGAAACAAAGTTGTCGTATGTCTTAAACTCCCCAGATTTATATATGTCAGAGATGTTCTTATATACCATGTCGCAATCTTTGTCCATAACTTTATGGTTGCAATGATATCCTAGAAATCATAGTTTACTTTACGTATGAACTTCTTTATTTCTACTGAGTCAGTTGGTTTCACTTCTATTTCATCGAATTCATGAATAGTGAGCTTTTGTTGTTGGATTTCAGGCAATTTGGGTAAATGGTCAATAATATCCTGCATGTCATAAAGATACTGTTCATTTGTTTCATCTTTCGCACTACAGTCTAAATTACTTGTTAAAAGTTCTTGCTTAATTCTTTGTATTTCTGTCTCAAAAGTATATGAAGAAGGAATGAAGCTTTTCATCTCTACTAACATAGATGTTGGATTCATAACTAAAGAGTTTGGTGAAGTTGTTGTTTGAAGTGTTGTAGAACCTATTGTTGAAATCATATCTTTACATACAAGATAAAAATTTTTCTTAGAAAAAAATTAGCGTTATTTTTCTTTCATAAGGAAATGTCAAAAATTCATGATTTTCGAGAGTTTTAGACCATGTTAGAAAAGTGGTTAGAAAACGTGTTAGATCTAACATTCTAACATAAATAAAGTTTATGTTAAAATAAATGGTACCATTAATGATATCATGACTGTTCTCGTTCATGTCTGATTTACATCTAATGAAAAAGTTTAGAAGAATTTTCTTATTCTTTCTGGCTTATTTTTGTCTTTCCAGTACTCCCGCTCTAATGGTCCCAGATGTGTTGGCTTTGACTCTCTCAAGTTCTTAGATGGTATAACATCTTCAACGCCTCCTTCATATCTTACTTTATAAGTGTCATCGTTTATGTTATAGTTAAGTATTTCAATAACCACTCCTCGCTTTGCTTCGTCAATGGTTTCAGCAAGTTTGCCATTACTACTTTCGACTAATTTATGACGAGGATAAAACGCAATAGAGTCGTCAGCAGCTTTTATAAGATATCCATTACCTTGCGTAGAGTCTACGATATAATAATTTCGACTTAACCTTAAACGTTTCTTTGTCAACGGTTTGTCGTCAAGAACTACACGAACTTTTGTACCAGGAATGAGGGTAAATTGTGTTGAATTTCTGATATTTTGTGTTTGGCTTCGTTTCTTTTGTATATACTTTTCTTCTTGTTGTTGTGTCATTGAATTTGGTGTATGTCCTGTTGTAGAATTTGTTGAGGAATTATATACTTCGAGAAAATGTTTCATTGTTTCTTCGGTAAAGTCTCGCTCTTGATTTAAATCTCTGAGCGTTCTTATGAAGCGATTAATGATACCTAAAATATTATGGTTATGGTCTTCAGTAGTGTAGTGAGTTATGTTATGCTTAATGAGAAATTCTGTGATTTCGTTGCTGAGGTATGCACTGTCTTGGTCTGATGTTAAAGTACTTGGGTTATGTTCTGCTACAAACTTTTGTAAAACTCTTAACACTTCACGAGTTCCTTTATTTCTCATTATATACGCAAAAGCTTTGCGAGTGTTAACATTAATGAAGATGAGGAATGGTTTATGTCCTCCTTTTCTGCTTTGAATGAGAGTGTCAAATTGGTATGCGTCAGGAGTGTTGGAGTAAATTGGTAAAAAGTAGTCGTAAGGGTTTATTTTTGTTTGATGTACAACATTTTTGTCAAAGAACTTTTTAACTTCAGCTCTGTTAGTAAATCCCCAACTCTTTGCAGCTTCATTGAACTTCTTAAATGACCTCCATGGATGTTGTTCGAATACTTCTTTCAAGCTCATTTATGTAAATAAAGATTTTATTCTAGGCTCAAGCGCGTTCATTGAACGCGGTACCATGCGAATATAGTCACAAATGGTGGCATATAATCTACCCGAGCCTGTTGGATTTGTTGTGAAAGTGTGTGAATGATTTCCTGCGGTTCCACAGAAAATACCTGCGCTTGAATCTACTGGGTCACTTGAAATATCATATCTATGCATTCCCTGTCTATCCGAACCTGCTGCAAGATTTGTATAACCTCTTTTTGTTATTGAATGTGAATGACTACCTGTTGTGTTTGTAGTTCCTGTATGAGTGTGCGGTGGAAGGTTTGCTTCTTTAATTTTCTTCGAACCACCTGTTTGCTTTGAAGAGTTCGCACAATAGAGGAATTTATCTACAATCTGTTCCCACGTACCAAAACCTAAAACACTTGCCGGATTTGTTGAGTTCATTGACGTATAAATAGAGCCTATAGGATATATGGTTTCAAGAATCTGGGCCTTCATTGTTAGAAGTTCATGTTTAACGTTTATAGTTTTATTGCCTTCTACAATATTTATATTGTTTGTTATTAAACCATTAGGAAAAGTAGGAGGATAAATTCTTTGTTCTTGTACAGTTGCACCGTCTCTTCCTGTTTTTGTTACTATTTCGATGCATGCCTTAATTTCTTTAATCTTGATTGTTTGAAATTCTTCATGCACGTGCTCTTTATCGGCTTTTCCATTAAGCGCAGCATTTACTTCCGACTTCTTTGCATAATTTTCATCTACATAAGTTTTGTCGGCTTTCTTATCTAACATTGCTGGTAGTTCATGTGCTTCAAAGTTTCTGGCATGACCTTCAATATTCCTGCAACTGTTATCTAAATTGTTTAGTGTATCTTTTACGCTTGTACTTGGATTCTCTAAAGGTGCACTTGAACCAAGGGTATAGTTCAATATTATGTCGTCTGCTCTAACAGTAGTGAAGGATTTATGTGTATGGTTCTTGTCGGCTTTACTGTCTAATGTAGCTTGAAGTTCATTTATATCGGAGATGTTGTGTTTATGAGATTTCAAAACTTTGTTCGTTGCTTCAAGTTCAACTTTGTCAGCTTTACTTTTAATAGCATCTTCAAACGTTATTTTTGACTTAACTCTCAAAGTAAATCTTGGTTCAACTAATACACCGTTAACATTGAAAGTAGAGGCATAAATTTCACCGGTATAACCAAATGCTTCTGGTGCTTTAGCTACATCATACTGTACAGTACAGCTTATGTCATAACCTTTAGCACGAATGTATTTATATCTTCTTTCATTAACATTTTTTGTCTTCGCTTCATCACTTCGTGTTAAATATCCATGGTAGTCGTTATAATCTGTTCGTCTGAAGTTATATAATGAACGTGGTTCTTGACTTTATCACTCAGAGCTAAAAGCTCATTTTTGTTTGCTTTTTCGGCTAATTTCTCATTAACATCATTCACTTCTAATTCAACTCTTCCGCCAGAACTCTTATTATCATTAATCTTTTTCATTAATTCGGTAATTACGTCATAAAGACTATATTCTGTTTTCGGTTTTGTAAATAATGAGTCAAAATTTCTTTTCATCATTACATCGCTGACATTAATGATATCACCAATTCCTTTTTCATTTATTCTCTTCATTAATTCTGCAATAATGACGAATATATAATCTGTTAATTTATTCTCTTTCATCGAGGGTTTATAGAATGTTTTGAAATTGAATCATTAACTCCTCTAAATAAATCAATAACTTCAGGATACACGTTTTTAATGTCTCGAATAACCCGACCAGTATCCTGTTGTTCATGTTCTTCGTTCCCGTCGTTACGTGTTTTATATCTCTAACCATCATCAACGCAGCCATAACCGGAGGGTTGTTGCTATCTGTTCGAAAATCCGTCCGTTATGTACGTATATCTAAATAATTTCTTGTGTTTGTTAAAACATTTGAAACAAGTCTTTTAAAACCATCTACAAAATTTCCTGTTTCACCTAATGTTCTTTGCAGCATTTACAAGCTCACCCATTCCCCTTTTGACCCCAAAAACGTCCATATTGCATTTATTTCACTCTGTATAGTTGTCCATTCAGCGAAACTAACACCCGCATTCGCTAAGCTGAAAATGAAAATTCAGTGGATCGAACTTAATTCCACCTTCTTTTTCAATTTCAACGAACTCACTAACATGAGATTTTAAATATTCTTTCGTTAAAATTGTTTTCCCCGATGTATTTCATTAACGAAACTATCACCGTCAAAAGTTAACGAATTCAATTTCGTCGTTGATGCTTTTATTTCATACACCGCTTTATCGATAGTTTTTGGCTCACCTTCTTTAGAAGCATATGAAACATTAATGAATGAATTATATGTATTCATGAATGAATTAAATCAATGATTTTCATTAATGACGCCTTTAATGATTCATTTACTGTCGAATCCCTTAAAGTAATTAATGAACTGTCATTTATGAAAGGTACACTGCAAACCGTCAAGTTTGGATCAAATGCTATAGTTGGTGCAGGAATATTAATGATATAAGTCATTAAATCATTAAGTGACGAATAATGTTGTCGTTTTTGATTTAATTTCTTTAGCATCTGTTATATATGGTAATTTTATTTCTGTAGTTTCTGAATTAAAGATATTCGCTAAAATGTTTTGTAAACTTTTGAACAGCTGTGTAAACCGTTGAATCCGAACTCTTACGATTTCACCATCCTTAATAAAAGGCATTGCACATGGTGTAGTGCTTGGGTCAAATCGTTCGGGATTATAATTCAACATATATTCTAACGCTTCATATACAGACTTATATACTGTTGTGTCGTTCTTCATGACAACTTCACCATTTACAATGAATGGCATAGTACATGGAGTTAAAATAGGCGTCAAAACTTTCATAGTCCTTCCATGTTATGTATTTCTCGGTATTTCCATCAGAAATAACAATATATTTGTCAGTAAGTGTGAGAGAGTATTGACCAAATATAAACGTTTAGCTCTGTCAGCTTCATACGCATATGCAGCCTATACTCATATTTTAATGAGAATAAAATGTTGTTCTATTTGCAAAGTACAGACCCAAACGAATACGGGACAGTAAAGCTACAAACAAACTTAGTCTACAGAATGAGGCGCTTGCATTCAGAATGGTTGACTTCAATACTATCGCTTCATTCGTTATAACAGATGAAACAGATTTCATGGAGCTTGAAATAGATGGAAAGAAGCATGAAATAAGATTTCACAATAATGTAGAATATAAGATGGAAACATTAGCTGGAGTGTTTAAATGCTCTCATAAATACTACAATAAACAAGGATAACGAAGAAAACTTAATGAATGTTAAACTTATTGCAGGAGTTTTGAAGTTCAGTTATGCGAAGGAGTTTAAGATACCAAGAATGAGTCATAGAGTACAACTTCTTTTGGGAGCATACCATATGACATTTCTTTTGAAAAGTGTTGACAAAACGATTGAGATGAAATCTGTTCCATACGTATGTTATGGTAATTGTTTGTACATTGAGTCAAAAATAGCTAATGTCACAGGTATTTCAGAAGTTAATAGTAAAGGTTCAGTAGAATATAAATCCTTCTGTTATGCAGTCAATTCAATGTTCATTCCAAACGTTCCTGTCATAGCAACTCATTTAGGTAAATGGGTTCGCATTAGTCCTCATAATTTGAAAGACATGCAATTCAGACTTGTTGACTTTCAAGGAGAGCCTGTAAACTGAAGGCACCAGTGCGAATGACTGTTGAAGTTGACTTTTAGAAAATATTAAATGCAACAGCTTACAAGAGAACTCAGAGCTAAAAAATATAAAGTATGAATGTTATGTATTAGGTCATGAACTTTGGTTGTTGCTGTTTGATGAAACAAATGAGTTAGTTATGTCAGTCAAGAGAACAGAAAAATATTGTGTTAGTGAAAACTGCACCAAGTCAATAAGATTAGGTTTGGCATTATGAGATGAGTTCGATACTGTTGAAGAAGTTTTGGATAGATACTATAAGTTGCTTTAATTTACTAAAACATATTTCAAACAAAGCTTATAGTCAGTAGATAGTTTTGTATACTCGTTCGAATATTTATACTTAAACTCAACTCCTGTAGTTCCTGGTGTTTCAATGATGCGGATGTTACCTATTTTCATGAATATTGGCGTTTGACCACAGCATTCGATTTCAGGGTCGAGATAGTCAATGACACATTGTTTCCCTGTTATTCGTGATATAACATTTTCAAGGTCCTCCTTTGTTAGAATTATTTGGTTCTTACTTATAAGATTTTATCAAAAGCTTCTTATCGTCTTTGAGTAAAATTGTTTGGTATAACTGAAGAAGGTAATGGTCTACGTTATCTGAAGGATTTGTTTGAACATTTATGTAAGGGTTGTCGTTGGCTTCTCTTGAAAGAATTTGGTCCAGTGGTGGATACTCTAACTTAACATCTGATGTAGCGTTAGCGTTTGAAGCTGTGTTTAAATTCACGGATTTCAGCTCTGGTTCTTTTTCTTTCAAACACTCTGAACTATAGTTCTTTATGACAATATTGTTTGTCGTTCGTGAGTCAACATTTGATGTTGGTTCAATTGGAACATTAACGGCACCAGCTAAGATGGATTTGCTTCTCATTTCATATAGAATAAAAACCTTTTATATGTATGAAATGAACAATATACTCGACAAGGGTTTGAATGTAAAGCTAACGAATGAAAATATTGTTGAATTTCACTGAGACAGGAGCTGTGATAAAGATGTAGAACTACTGACAAAAAAGAGCAAAGGGAAGAAGCAGGAATATGAACAAGGGTGGAAGCCTATAAAAATTTATGTCAATGATGGCTCAGGAGGTTCAAACATAAAGTATGCAGAAAGTTATAGAGTTTATGCGCGCTAAAAAGGTGAAAAGCCTTCATTTAAGAACAGCTATTCTAACCCAATCCTCAAAAGCTAACGGATGGGGAAGTGGATGATATGAATGACAGCAAAAATATTAACAGAAATGGCGACAGAGATGCATGGAATTTGTTTACCATCAGTCAATTGAAGGTTAAACTTTAAAACAATGTTGGTCGTTCCCATGGAATATTTTTGACTTTAATGGGTATTAGTCATGATATGAATCTCAAGGTATGAACGAGGAGAGATGAGAGACTTATATGCTTCCCAAATTTCTTCAAAAGGTAATGTTATACCTGACTGTTTCCAAATGAGTTCAATATCATAACGTGAGAAACCTGAAAGATAACGAAGTCAGTTATGAGACGTTTTATGTTTAAAGCAAGAAAACGCCATGTTTGCATAAGTATTGCTACAGTTAAATGGTAATGTCTGACTTTAGTTATGATGTTGCTAATGGTGAGTCAGGCTTTGACACTAAACCTTTCCGGCGAAGTCGTCACAAACGAGCAGAGTGTTTGAAGGATAATTTTTTGAAGGGGTATTTTGAAAGTTTGATAGAATGTAGTTTGTCAGTCGTTTCATATCGTAAACTCCTGAGTACTGACGTAAGTGGTGTTTGTCAATAATTCTTTCCATCTCTTCTGAAGTCTTTTGCATCCTGACTGTATGAACTCTACAATAGCATAATATTTTCTCTTACGTCGAATGTAACGTTGAAGAAATTCAATGAGTTCACTGTCTGGAACTTTAACGACAGATGCTTGAACTTTACTCATAAATGTTTTCGCTGTTGAGTCCATAGAGTCTGAAGTTGCACTGATATAATGATTTGGTCATAGTAAGAGTCGTTTCCTAAACGCTCTGTTATGAGTTATGACGAATGAGGTTAAATGTCTTACCTGAACCCATCTTTCCACAATAGAAATAAACACCATTTGAACAGAACTCATAGTCCTTACTGAAAGGAAGAATGAGAGAAGAGTTAAGTTTGTCTGTAGTTTCATTCATGTCTTCATCTACGTCATGTATTAAATGCTTCATTTTATCTCCATTAAAATGCAAGTCAGAAATATTCAGAACATAGCACCGAGTCTAACTGACAAGAGTATAAAGATATACTATGAACACGTTATGATGAAACCAACCAAATTCAAGAAAGTCAGTATACTTATGAATATCCAAGACACTGGGTAGAGTATGTAGGAGGTGAGAAAGCTATTGAAATCAGACAGGTTCGAAGTATTCCAGCAGGAAAACAATATTATTGAAGAACTTTAATGTTTTGAGATATAATGATGAAACAAAGAAGCAAGATAGTTTCCCTGTTGCTGTGTATGTGAACTTAGATACAGGAGATGACATAAAAGTTTTTAATACAAAACTTCAAACGGTAGTGAGAGAACAACTGACTGCGGAAGGGCATCCATTACCTTCAGAAGTTACCATAGCATATAATTTTGAAACAAACTCAATAGATTTTAAAGTCATCTCTGCAAAGAAGTCAGGATTTACATTTAATGAAGCAGATGTATATTCGAATGAAAACTTCAAAGCTATTGCATGGTTAGATAATGACGATTGCTTTAAGAAAATATTTAAATTCAGTGACTCAACGATGTCAATAGATGACCTTCGTGGAATGTTACCATCGACGTTTACAGTTGAAGGTTCAGCAGGATTGCTTACAAAGATTGTCAATTGGTGGCGTTTGGTCTCGTGAGAACATTGTTATAAAATCCAGTATAAGTGAATTTGCTGAAGAATCTATATTATGTCTTTCAACTATATGTATTCGCCGCCGAAGCATTATAGTATAACAAACTTTGTCAGTAAGTTTAACATAAGACTTGTCGAACCTTCTTCAATGAAAGATGTTGTGCTACCTAAAGATGGAAAGGATGGACTCATTATTGAGATGATTTTAATTGCATATTAAATGAGCTTGTTCTTAAAGGTCATTCATGATGAAATAACTGTTGTAGAAGATGTTAGCAATTGTTCAGACATTTTATTGAGAATAGATGAGATAAGAAAGAAGTTAGATAGACCGCAAAGCGGTGAGGGCGAAGCCCGTGAGAATGTTTATGTTTCATTGACTTTCTCCAGTAACGAGAACTTTTATGAGATAATATTGAAGAGAGATGATTTTAATATGGTGTAAATGGTAGCTTGGCAGCTTTAGGCGCAATGGGAACAAAAGCATTAGCATTTGGAGCAAAAGCACTTGGAGCTTATGACGCAGTAAATAAAATGAGTGGAGGAAGGGTTTCAAAAGACATTAGATGCAAATAAAGGAAAGATTGGAGGCTGGGTTGCAAAGAAGTTAAGATTAAATAAAATAGGGCTCATAAATAAAGCATCCAATTTGGTTGCGACTGAGTCAGAAAATGCTTTAGGAAAGGACGATGAGTTTGCAAAACACGCAAAGACTTAATGACCAGATGAAAGGTGAAACAATGCATTTAATAGAGTCGATGGAACTAAAGAAAATGTTTCTTCTCCACCAGCGGTTTATCCATACGGACCTTATGGAATGTATGGAAACCCTTATGAACGACCATTTGACCCATTGACTGGTGGAAGTAACTGGTATCATTACGGACGAAGAAGAAAGACAGTCAAGTTGGAGACAGACGTGAAGAAAGCAACTAAAAAGAAACCAAGGAAGAGAGTTATAAAGCAATGAATTCAACAGGGTAGAAATGAGGTTAGAAATCGGGTTAGATCTCACCACTTCACCTAAATTTATTTTTGTGCTATGTTTTCATACGTGTGAGGGTGGTGATATCATTTATTTTTTATTTTATTTTTTAAAATTATTTTTATTTTATTTGATGTAATGACAGAACAAAAGCAACTCATACAAATCAAAACATATAACAAACATACATTTTAAACATTTATTCTTCCTTCCTGAGCATAACATGTTCTTTCAAATACATCCGAGACCAGTTGACTTTTCATTGACTGTTTATAAAGATAGAATAGTTATATCATTAAACCATACGATGACGAAGGTAAGTTATGTAAATTGTACGTTAAGAAGTTAGAGAAAGTTTATGGCTTCAAGTATGACTACAATAGGGTTAACACTGATGATGAAGATATATGAGGAAATTTATGAGAACATTAGTGAAGTTGTTAGTGAGAACGATAGTGAGGTGAAATTGTTGGCGGCTTTGTAAATATTTAAGGTTAAGTTAGTTTTTGCGTTCATGTTGTAAAATATACGTTAACGGTTTTGTAAAGTGTCAAATTCACAAGTATTGGGTAAGGTGGAACGCAGTGCCACCATACCCAAGACTTGTATACTAACTTTCGCTCCTGACAAAGAACTTAGTTCCAGGAATACAGAAGACTTCTGTGCGTTGGAAAAGCTGATGTCCTGGAACGAATTTGGCAATTAGAGACTTCTTTTTTCCGAATTGTTCAGGAGTTTTCATGACGACAGTAACAACATCTCCATCTGCGAGGTCTTGTTGTTGTTCGGAAAGGTAAAGAGCAATGATATGAATGGTTGCTGCGTTGAATTCGAGAAAGTCGAATTCAAATTGTGTTGTCGTATAACATTCAAACCATTTTGTACAGTTGTCTCCGAACTCGTCAACGTATTCATCTTCGTCATATCCGTAACTAAAGACTTGGAATTCGGCAATTCTCGTGTCGAATGACCGTTGGATGTAACGAGGAAGATTTTGACGAACTTGGTATAAAGTTCTCAACATTATAAGCTTAGTAAGTGTTGGAAAATACTGAACTAAGACATCGCTAAGCTCAATTGGACTTGGAATTGTCTTAGTAAGTTCAATTGAACTAGTAATTGCTTTGTTCAGAACTTCACAGAACTGAGTATTGTATGTAGCGTCTGGTTGTGTGTTTTCTTCGGCGTCTTTGAGATATTTAGAGCAAATTTGTTGAAGAATTTCTCTTAATTCGCTGTTAGACTTTTTGGTGGTTATTCTAACCGCTGTGCCGGTTCTTGGAGGTTGTGGGGCTTTGGCTTTGGTTAGCGGTTGAGAATTGTTAATGTTTGAATTGTGGTTAACAGCGTTGGCTTCCATTAGATAAAAATGAACTGTTTTTTCGGACCACTCATAGAAAAGTTTGAGATAAACCGTTTTCGTCAACGGAGACCCCCTCTATTTTTTTATTTTATTTAATAGTTACCGTTGGAAAAACGGTTTATCTCAAATATTGAATGAACTATAAACGTTTTTTGTTTTCTATATATACTTTTTGTCCAACGGTAAAACTTTTTACACAACGGTTTTTGAGAGTCGTCGCCGTTGACTTTTTTGTAGAGCACTCAAAATAGTATAACTTTGTCCGGACAAGTAAGGGTCTATCGTCGCTACAGGAAAAGTTACAGGCGTTCCAAGGAAGTATACTTTGAGAAGCCTTTTCTCCATTTTAAAACAAGATAGGACGGTTATTTTACAAAACTGACAACACTTTGACCGAGTAGTTTTTTGTGCTGAACAAAAAGTGTCATATAAACATCTGTCAAAAACCGCTTTTTAACTTCACTTAAAATGCCACGTAAGCTACGTAAGAATATACGTAAGAGGAAGGGAGCATTGAAACATCCAATAGTAAAACTGACACCACAACAACAGTTGCAACAACAAATGATGAATGACCCCACTATGTTGCAACAAATGTCAAGCAACCCTATGCTTTTAAACCGAGTTATTGGTGCACAGAGTGGAGGTTTAAGAGCGGCACTTTTAGCGAAAATGGCAGGCTATGGTGGAGCTGCAGACGGAACAGCTTATAACCCTCAAAGTCAAATGAATTTGAGTTCACTCAAAAATCAAATAACAGATGTCAAAAAGTCAAACATAGACATACAGAAACAAATAAGTGAAAACGAAAAGAAACTAGAATATGACAGACACACAAAGAAACTCAATGAGTTAAACGTAGAGAAAAAGAAGAAAGAAGAACAACTGAAAGAACTAAGTACAGAGGAATATGCGAAAAAAGTGTCAGAAAAAGCAGCAGAAGTAGCAAAAATGGAACAAGATGTTATAAATTTGAAAAACCATACTACTCAATATAAAGTACTGAAAGATGAAGAGATAAAACAAAAAGCCATGAAGACATATATGGATAGCGATGAGTATAAAAAAGAAGTTGAAGCAAATGTAAAGGCAGAAAAACTTTTACAGTTGCAAAACCAAACCGTACAGTATGAAAACTTAGCACAAGAAAGTAAAAATAACGACGCAGCCATGCAAAAAGCAATGAAAAGCGCAGAATATATAAAAGCTAATAATGACTGGTTAGATGCCCAAGCCAACGCTAAAGCAGCCCAACTTATAGGGTCAATAAGGACAAAAATACAAGCGGATGAAGACAGTTCAAATGAAGCTTTAATGAATGCTGACTTTAAGAATGCCTTCGAAGCTCTTCATAGTAAGGTGAAACTAGTGAACGACTTCTCATCTGGAAAGAAACTGAAGTCTGAAGGTTTCGACAACGAGTTAAGAGAAGTAGCACAAAATATGACGAAAATAACAGATGCAGCAACGAGACAGGCAGTTCAAAGTGCCTATGACGCCGTTAGAGCAACTGTTGTGGAAAGTCAAGAAAAAGAGTTACAACAGACCAAAACAGACCTAGTAAATGCTTTCTTAAAAACGAAAAGTCAGGTAGGACATTATGCTGCAGATGGAACATATGTGCCAGCTGGTGGAACTTATATACCACCAAACCCTCCAAGAGAAGCACCTGCACCAGGACTACCTAAAACATTTACATCGTCACATGGACACAGACACAGGCATGCACCAAAACCAACACAACAACCAACAGTTCAAAATCCAGCACCACAACAACAACCAAAACCAACAGTTCAAAATCCAGCACAGCAACCAACAGTTCAAAACACTGCACAGCAACCAACAGTTCAAAATCCAGCACCACAACCAAAACCAGCACAACAACCACCTCCACAACCAGCACAGCAACCAACAGTTCAAAACCCTGCACAACAACAACCACAAACAGAGCAAGGACATAAAAGAAGTAGAGAAAAAGGAAACCAAGAATTCTTAAAAATGCTTAAGGAAGATTATGGTTACCCAGATACTCTTGACTTTAGTGACAGATATAAAGAAGCTATTAGAAAGTTCAAGGAAGGAAATACTGACCCGAACCTATTTAGCTTTATGGCTCAGCATCAAATCGGATATAATCTCAAACCTGGAAAATACAAGCTCGCTAAGGGATATGATTTAATAGCATATCATCCAAATGACATGAATGAATTTACTCCGAGATATTTGATGTCAGAGCTAAATGATAATTCAACTCTCTTCATGAAACGCGTAAAAAATAGAGACGGAACGAAAGAAGAAAGGTTTATGAGTCCGGATGACTTAGATAGGGAACTTGTTAAAAACGGTCTCGGAATATATGAAATGCCAGCAGATGAGGTACAAGAAACTCAACAGGAAGAAGTTCAGATACAACCAGACATGGAAGAAATAGTTCAGCAACAACAACTAGAAGAGCCTGAAGGAAACAAACAAGTCCCTCCTTTGGAAACTAACTTCACAGAACTAGATGAAGATTTGGAACAGCCGAAAAATCTTGACCCTCAACAAGAGTATGAGGTGAATATGGAATCTTTCCAAGAGTCTAAGAAAAATTCGGCTGACATAGTAGAAGAATATCGAAAAATGTTCGCCGACATACAAAAGACTCCAACATCAGATGAAAATATTCAGCATAGAATGGAAGTACTGAAAGAAAATGTACGCAAATACAATAATCCTTTTTACTTACGACCATATAACGTTCAATCTTTGGCTGAACTCGGTGAAAATAAAAGGTTAAATTTCAACAAAACATATAGAAATGAAACATTGTTTAAAGTTCATTCAGAACCTAACCAATATGGAAACAAACCTACTTTTGTTTCTGCAGACTATGGAACTACAATGAGATGGGGTCATAAAGCTAATCCGGATAGGTGGTTCATAAACTTACAACCACAATTCCAAGAAGTTGTAGACGCAATGGAAGTGAATGGTGAACCAGATATAGCTGGTATTTTCAGCGCGGCTTTAATGCCATTGAAAGATATGAAACATGCAGATATTTTGGACCAGTATGAAATGAACATGGCTGAGGGAAATATAACACCTGACGTTCTAGAACATTTATCTCAAAGAACTACACAGAACCATAGAGATGGTATATTTGGTGAAGAGTTTAGAAAGAAAGTTAGGGAGAGAGAAGGAAGAGAACCTATTGTACATGACCTTGCAAACGAAAGTTTGCAAATGTCATAAAAACTTACTTTGCAGACAATGAACTGAGAAGGGATGAATATTTAAGAAAACTCAAATGGACAGTACCAAATGAAATGTTAGTATTGAAAAACATTTCCTTGACAAAATAAAACCAACTACAGAAATAAATGACGCAAGACTGAAACGTTGGGTAAAAGCTTTCCCATTCACAAAAGATATTATTGGTAACATGGAAAGAAAACCAGAATGGCTACAAAAACATATATTTGGAAACGAGCTTATTCCATATGGACAAGCTCTGTTTGAAGAGCTTGAACCGGAAACTCAGGAAAGAGTCATGCAAACAATAAGCGAAGACTCAAATACAAACTATGACAAAATCTTTCTAGGATATAGGTTTACCTGAGATGGGCGACCAGAGCCCAAAGGCAAAAAGGACATGGGAAATTTACAACATACTAGGTGAACATGAGGCAAAGATGCAACAACTTGAAGCAGAGGGCAAGTTACCAAAAGCGACACCAAAGAAGAAGAGAAGAGTAGAACAAAGTGAAAGTAGTGAAGAAGTAACTTCATCTAGTGAAAGTAGTGGCAATGAAGGAAAAAGAAGAGTTAAAAACTCAGTCAGGAAGAAAGTAAAGCTTGGTCCGAGTGAGTTCTATTTATGACACATAAATCCAACTATTCTATATTTTTACCCATATGAAATGTACGCCGCTCAGAATATAACGCCAACAGTTTTGGATGCCATGAACGGAAATGTTTCCGAATGGTATAACGAATGCGACAATGCCATTAGAAGGTCAGAAATAGTTCCTGGAACTTACGAATATACAACTGCTGTTTCTTATGGAAACGTAGGTGAGTTTGGAGAAGGTTCTTCAACAACAGTAGATATTGCTTGCGACAGGTTTCATATAATTTCTATTGACAACTCATTCTTATACGTGGAACAAGACATTGAAATAAAACCTTCTGCCAAGTTGTCTGACAAGAAAGGTTGCAATGGAATTTTCTATGTCGGATACCAATATGCTCCAGAAGTTTTCATGGATATAAGATATATTCTAACTCTGACTTAGTTCAAACAGTAACATGGGCAAACTATGAATGGTTCGCTTGAGAAACTCAGTACAACCACAAGCTAGAGAACAAACAGACCAGTATGCAAATATTGAGAAAATAAGAAGACTTGACCCTAACGTTCCAGGAGTTTATGTTAACCTTTCTGGACAAACTGCAGCAGCAGTAACCAAAGTAAAACTGAAACTTAGAGTTCCTTTGTCATCTTTCCTCATCTTCAGGTTTTAAGATACTTGCCAAACTGGGCAGGAAAATTTCTATCGAACTTACTCCAAGCAAAAATAACTTAGTCATTGCACCAACACAAGACCCATTCACTATTACAGATACAGCTGGTGGACTGCCAGCATACCATTTGGAATGTGCAAAGAGAAAGACTTGACTTTGGTTTCTCAAACCTCAACATGAAGTAAACTACTACTTCTCAGGAACAGGAACAATACTGCTTGGGACACAGTTAAGTTTACATGCGAAAGTTTGAATGCAAGAGAATAGAAAGCAGACTTGCAGTCTATATGTTGGACCCAGATATTTCAAATGCTTTAGCTGCCAAATATATTGCAGTTCCACTTATGTTCCCTATACACCAAATATCTGTCAAAGACTTTGCAGGTGAAGTTGGAAACCAAAATCCAGGAGCCGCAGGTGCAAGAACAGATATTGCTTTAACAACTGCAATGAAACATGCAGATACTATGTTTGTACTGTTCAGACGAACTATAAATGACTATTCTTGTTTCTACAACCCTGGTATTAAATATCATATAAACATAGATGGCAAATATTATCCAAGAAAGAATATTCTACAGTTGAGGATATGAGGTCATACAACTTGACATTAGATGCTATGAACTTTAACAACAACTTCACAACAACATTAACCCTGAAATGCAAAGTTCTATTATGCCATATGTGAAAGTATGGACTCATACAGGAGGTCAAAAAACTCAATATACAAATGGAGACCGTTCAAACTTTTGGCTTGGCATTCCATTTGCTGACTCAGAAGACTTTATGGGTGGTATTTCAACTGTTGGTACAGTTCAAATACAATATACTGGTGACAGAGACGGTCCAGATGAATTGAGAGCAAAGAAGTTTACAAAACCAATAGCACTTTTCACGGAAGATGCTCTTTTGAAGATTCGTTCGATGAAACCTGCTGGGGCTCCTCAGATTGGCATAACGACAGCTTCCATCGAGCAGATTTTGGCAGCAGGTCAGTAAGTTGTTCTTGAACTGACTTCTCTCCGTCAAATATTGACAGTACGCCAGTTTTGACATAATATTGTATTATAAACTTTCCTTTAGTAATATCTGTAAGTTTTGAAGTTATATTTTTGTCTGCTTCAAGAACTTTCACCATTTCAGTTATACCAACTTTCTTTGCTTTATGAAAATATTTTGGTTCAGCAAATATTGCTATTCTATAACATTTTCCATTGTTTGTGTAAAGAACTATTCTGTCAATGTATTTGTATTGTTTGTGAGTATAAACTTTGTTCTGCTTCAATTCAATAAGATATCCGAATACGTCCATCTTTTTATTCTAAGTAAAATGTCATTTCCGAAAAATAGAAGCGTAAGTGTTTCAAAAGGTTTAATGGCGGTGGCAGATGTGAAGTTAAATTCACCAACTCAAACAAACAGTCAAAGTGTTGTTGTCAATGTCAAAGACAGAGATGTTGAAGTGGGGAAACCATACGAAGACGAAGATGGTATAACAATTGTTCCTGTAAAAGAACCAACATATCCTGAAGTTAACAGAGACTTAAGTTCTGTTGCAGATATTCGAAACGACTACCAACAACTGAAAGACAAACTTCAAACTCAGGAGAAGATTTGTCAAGCTTTAAGTATAATGTTAAACTTGGTCGAACACAACCCTGTAAAAGTGAACTCATATGTCATTGCACCTCATGAAGTTTTGAAAGAACTATTGAAACTTTTGACAGAGGCAGACGATATAAACATCAAAGAAATAGAACCCGACATTAGTTGCTGTGGTGTTTCATATAATGTCATTGACAAGATATACGTTATGAAAGGAGGTGAAACGTTGAACTTAAAATATAGTTTCCCAGACGTTATAAAAATATTTGACGACCACAACATTTCATTAAAATTTATTTGCTAAGTAAATGGCAGAAGACATAATGGTTTATACTATTACGACTAAAAACCCTGAGTCATATAATTCTATAACAACAAACTTACAAAGTCCTCAAGGACGATATTGTAAACTAACCTTAAACACAATGACGACTAAAGCCTGTTTTGCTTTTGACACCAGAAGACTTTATTGTTGTGAATGGTAAAAAATACTCCTTTGAAGATACTTACTCAGATATCAACAGGTTTTGTTGACTTATTTAATACTTTAAGTACGGGTGTAACATGTGCTGCAACTAGAGCAGGTTTCATTATGTTTGGATGTCCGACTGAGTTTACTATAAACGATATGAGCTATAATACAAAACTTATTTCTGGTTTTTACTACCAACAGTTTCCTATAACAGGAAAAGGTGTCATACAAGGAATGTCTATTCCATTGACATTAAGCACACCAATCTTATATATTGTTTCAAACTTAGGTTCAAAGTGTTATTCGAATGTCGACAGAAACTATTATGACCAAAAGATACTTATGCGTATAAACAATACTTTCTCTGCTGGTTTGCCTATTGTTCATTCGAATGCAGAATTTTCAACCTTAGTGAACTCAAACACTTTGGCAAGTATAACGTTGACATTAGTTGACGCAAACTTTGTTCCTGTAAAACTTTTATGTCCTATGTATTTGTCAATGACGGCAGAAAGTTTCGAATTGGAAGATGCAACTGGTGAAAGTATTGTATTACAAGAACAACTTCAACAACAAATAGCTCAAGAACAACAAATGCAACAAATGGAACAACAAAGTCAAGAATAAAAAAATATTATTTTTTTATTTTTATAAAAATGTACAGAATAGATGTTTCAGATTTTTATGACTTCCAAGCATTCAGAAATATGTGTCCATTTAGAGACTATAACAAAGCAGTCGAGAATTTGAAACGTTTAGTCATTTATGTTGACTCTGCCCCAGAATGTTATGTCATGAAAGAATGGGATGTTGTCTTTAACAAACCAAGAGCAACAATAGTGTCTGAACAAGAATGTAGACAGAAACTTAAGAAAATAAAAGTTGTACAAGTTGGAATGAAGATGTTAGATGCTTGGGATATCTTATTGTCAAAGTTAGAAGATTTTTCAGTTCGAGGTATAAAGTTCTATACACCTTCTCCAAACTTCTATTCTATCTTCACTGGATATAAATATGAACAAGTAGAATGGAAAGAAAATATTATAGAAGCTTGGTTAGACCATGTCAAAGAAATTATATGCAATGGAAACGAAAGAGTCTATGAGTATATCTTATGTTGGTTTGCAAATATCTTACAACATCCAAGTGCTAAAAATGAAACTGCTCTCATTATAATTGGAAAACAAGGAACAGGTAAGAACACATTCTTTACAGATATCTTATGCAAACTATTAGAAGGTTATTCGAACCCTAATATGACAAACTTAGAAAACATCTGCGGTAAATTTAACTCTTCAATGAGAATATGAAACTTATAGTTTGCAATGAACTTCAAAGTATAGATACAACAAAAGTTTTGAACTCAGATGCTTTGAAGAGTCTTATAACAGACAAAGTTGGAGTTGTTGAAAGAAAGTATAAAGACCAAAGAGTTTGTGAAAATGTTGCAAACTTCATTATGGTTTCAAACAATGCTGTTCCGATGAAGTTAGAAAGTTCTGACAGAAGATATGTAGTTGTCAGAACGTCAGATTCTCATATGCAAGATACAGAATATTTTGACGACTTAGCAGAAACTTTGACATCTGACTTTTACAACCACTTGTTCTCATATTTCATGACATTAGATATTTCTAAGTTCAATCCAAGACAAATTCCACATACCGAAGAGAGACAAACATTGTTAGAAGCAAACAAGAGTGTATATGAACTGTTCATAGAAGAAAGCGACTTTGAGTGTTTAGATGAAAAGTCTTTATATGATGAATATAAACAATATTGTCAAGAATATGGTTATATGGCAGCTTCTAAACGTACATTCTTGGCAAATGTCAAAAGTCTTTTAGACGTACAGAATGGTGTATATACAAAGAAAAATTTTTATGAGTAAATTTAAAAAAAAATATTTTTTATCCGATAGAAAAGATGACGAAATTCATCTCGGTAAACAAGTACATGTCAGGACTTAAAGAAGAACTAGACCCATTCACATATTTGAATGTTTACTTCTACCATTTTGAAAAGTCTTCATTCAGCAAAGTTTGGAACATCGAACCAGTTAAGTTTGCTATTGTGACTAAAAATGGTGCGAAATTTGAAGACTTAGACATAGAAGGTTTGTTAACAGTCAAAGAAAGTTTTGACAGAAGGTTCTCAAACCTTAAAGAAGGCAAAGCATACAAACTTGTTATACCTTATGAACCAAAGAAGACAGACGACTATGAATATTATGAGTCTAAATTTGTAGAAGTTCAAGGTAAATTGGGTAAAAAGATTTTAGAATCTAAGCCAGTGTTTGCTCCTAAAGAGGAAGAGAACATTGACATTGACCCAGAAATGTTCTAAAAATAAAATTTTATTTTTACATGTCAAATTTCTTTTTCTCTGGAACTGGTTCAGGTTCTTTCTTCTCTTCTACTTTTTTCTCTTTCTTTTCTTTCTTCTTCTTCTCTGGTGAAGTTATGTCAAATTTCTCAGAACCATATTTCTGTAAAAGTTCTTTGTCCTTTAATAGCTCATCTATTCTGTTTTCTATTTCATCTTCAAGAACACCGCATGTGTCTTCTTTGCATTCTAAGAACTTTTGTTGGACTTCATCTTTCCAATCGGCGTCATCTCTGTCAACAAGTCTGTCATTGACAAATTTTAAGACTGCTCTTTGTAATGTTTTATGGTTCTTGTCATATTCCCAGAAACAGAACTTTAGAACAAATTCACCTTTCTTGTTTACACTATGTAAGATTTTATGGTCGACAGATGTTTTGCTGTCAAAAAGTTTGTCTCGAATATAGATAGCGAAATCGCTAGACATTTTCTAAAAGATAAAAATTTTAATTTTTCTAAAAATATGTTAGAAAAAAAGTTTGCTGACATTGACAAGAAATTTGAGAATGTTTTAGACAAGAACAAGAGGAAGTTAGAAAATGCTCAGATAAAGCCTATACATGAAAAGTTCTTATTTGCTCAGAATGGTATAACAGGTCTAATTGCACCACCTGGGTCGGGTAAGACTTTCACTTATCTTAAAATGGCTGCACAACAACAAGAACTAGATGAGAAGAACCCATTCTATGAGTTAGTTGTTATTTGTTCGACTTCTGGTCAATTTGACCAAACCGTCAATTCGTTCAAAGATATTATAAAGAAGTCTAAGTTAGTATGTATAAAGGATACTGAGTTGTTAGATTGGATAAAGAAGTACCAAAGAAGAGTTTTGAAGTATAATGCTATAAATGAGTATATAAATTCTAAGTTCAAAGACCCTAATGAGGAAATGCAGAGAATATTAGAGAAGAAACACTTCAGAAACAAACAGAAAGAGATAGAATACATTTCGAAGAAATTGCAATCTTACGATTGGAAGACTTACCCTCATAGATCTTCTTATCTTAGATGATTTCGCCTCTCATCCTTTGTTAAAGAATAGAGAACAAGATATGTGTCGAATTCTTAAGAAGCTCAGACACTTTAACATCTCAGTTGTCATTTGTGTACAGACAGCAAAGAGTTTAAGTAAGGATGTTAAAAGAATACTTACTGACATAATACTTTTCCCCGGATTGTCCGAAGACGATTTCATGGAACTTATGAAAGAGTCCATGGCAGGTAAGTTTGACAGACATGAACTATGGGAGAAGTACAAAGTCATACAAGACCCTCATACTTCTTTCAGAATTCATATCTACGCAAACAAAGTTCAAATTGTAAAAAGTCAAGCTTGAAAAATCTAAGTGTTTAGTCTTAGTAAGATGGTAGCTTCTTAAAGCATATGCCGTCCTTGAGTTTTATGTACGTGAAGAGAAGTACAATGAATTCAATTACGAGTACAATTGCAATGACAACTAAGGCAACTATTTTTGTCTTTTGCCAGCAAGGGTACTTCTTCTCTTCCAATGGTTCGGCAAACTATACTCACTCATGAGAAATGCCAAAACGGTTTAATAGAAAAAGTGTCATTTTTTCATGTCCGAAGACTCGAAGGTGCAACACTTCCAAAATACCGACGAACTCAGAAGAGCAGCATGGCAGTATCTTCTTGACAACTTCTTTGAGTTCTCCAGGTACACCTTGGAAAATGCTGAAGAACTCCGACACAGAGAATTTGGAGAAATTGCACTCCAATACTACCTTGACAAACAAAGGGTAAATTAAGACTAAAAACTTAACGTTTAAAAAGTGACATTTTTATGAGCTCCGAGTCACCGAGAAAACTTGGTCAGATGTTAGCAGCTTACTTCCCTGAGGAGGATGGAAGCGTTACATACATCAGGTTCAAAAACAACGAACCTGGAATTGCGTACCAAATTCGCAATTACATGACCATGGAAGAGTACGAAAGTTTCTACAAGAGAAACCAGCTCTAAACAACTCAGAAAAGAAAGAGTAAAAAGTTTAATTCGTAATTGTTTATTTTTTTACTTGTATGGGCAAGCTGCAAGAATGAAGTCGACTATCTCAGTCTTTGTCTTGACCAGTTGGACTGCTCTTGTAAGCACGTCTGTTTTGCGGTCTCCAGCTGGTGTCTGACCTTCGTAATTGCGCATGTTCTTGAGAGCTCCAACTGTAAATGGTTGTAGGATGAAGAGTCTCTCAGACTGCTTGAGGTAGTCTTCACGGTCACGAACCGAATCTGTGGTACGAGTCGAATCGGTCGATTTGAGGGAAGAGAGTGAGAGCCTGTCTTCTTCCATTGGGGCAGTAGCATACTCTTTGCGTAAGCGGTTCAGACCTTCCTCGAACTCTTGGTCTCTCTTGGATTGAGATTGGAATTGTGGGGCAGGGTTTTGCATAAACATCCAAGGGTTGGGGCAGTAAGGCATAGGCTGAGGAGGGTAGTTCGGGAAGCCTTGTGGTGGGTAGTAACCTTGAAGTGGAAATTGGTAGTAATTCGGAGGTCCTTGTTGGAACTGAGGTGCAGGGGCTGGTGCTTTAGGTTCCTCTGGTTTGGGAATGGACTCGGTTGGTGGTACGTCGGACATTGTCTTGAAACAGTACAAATATTGTTCTGAAGCAGTGCAAGTCTTGTTCTGAAAAAGTACAAGTATTGTTCTGAAAAAGTACAAGTATTGTTCTGTAACAGAAAATTTTTCTCACAAATTGAGAGCTTTTACGGGAAATTTGTTCTGAAAAAGTTCAAGTCTTGTTCTGAAACAGTACAAGTATTGTTCTGAAAAAGTACAAGACTAGTTCTGAAACAGTACAAGTATTGTTCTGAAAAAGTACAAGACTAGTTCTGAAACAGAACAATGGACAACATCGAGCCATTAGATGAGGCAATTTACCTTATAGAGATAAATGAAGTTGTTAAGCAGTACTTGGGCAAGGACAAAGCCAACAAGTCCCTCGGCTTCTGGTTGTCTGGAAGAGGTGCGCTGAAAATCGAAATTGAAACCGGAATTGTCCTACAAATACCAGAAAACACTCCTGTAGACGACATAAAGGAGATGAAGAAAGAAGCTCTTCTCAAGTTCTTTGCAAAGCGCCCATGGATACAACTTCCAAACAGAGAGAGTCCAATTCCACGAATTATACAAATTCTCAGAGCACTGTTCCACTTCTCAGGACGGCCGTTCTTCATAACCTCAGAAGGCGACATCCAACCAATTCAGTAAACCTTAACGTTTAACTTCACTTTTTTTATGTTTTTACTCACACTCGTACTCACCTGGTATGAGTACAATTGTTTCAACTGTGAACCTTATGTAGAAGGAATGGATTGAGACTATCGCTTCGGTCGATGGATAATACGTGCTGGTTTTACAGACACTGGAAACTGTACTTCTGACAGATGTTGTTGCGACTGTCAGATAACTGAAATTACAGACCCACTCCCCCAAGAACTCCAACACCAACACTCAAGTTACCAGAGTCTCATGTGAAGAAGAAGCCTTCTGGTAAGTTTCTTATAGCCATCTATATGGCACGTTTAGAGTAAAAACATTTTTTTCATTTTTTGAATGAAGCAAGTTAAATTCGTCCCACACCAAACTCAATGGACCGATGAAGAGTTTCAAGCTATGGTTGAAGGTGTTGAGAACGACATAGACGGCGAACTTGAAGGAGCTCAAACCACAATTGCAACCAAAATTGCACAAGTCAAAGAAGAGATAGCTCCACTTAAAGCTACCAAAGCTACTCTTGACCTCATGGATACTTACCGTTAGATGTCAAGAGAGGAATAAGACAATTAAAATTAAACTCTTAAATTACGAAGCTATACTCCAGAAGTTAGCAGAAATGAGAAGACTTTACAGAGCTACTTACATGTAAGGGACTTACCTTCAAGCAGTCCGACCAAAGATGAATTTTCTGACATTGTCCCAATTTTGTCCGAAAGTCAGCTCAGATGTTTTGAACTGCTCCAACATATCCAGAATATGAACGTTTGCCTGAACTCTTCCGCAATCTCAAAAAACGTTTTTTGGTTCTCATGTTCGAAACTTTTATCGGAAGAGACAACAAACGTTCAGAAGAAGAACAAGATATTATTTTAAACTTGTTGTATGACATAACTGTCATAACAAGCTTTTTGAAGTAAAACCGCCATTCTCAAACCACTTCATTTTTTCGATGTCCGAACAAGCACCGAAGCCGAACACAATGGCAGATGTCCTTTCAAGGTTGCCAGACAAGCGCCCAATTCAAATTCAAATTGCCCAATTGAAAGCTCATCTGACAAACACCATTAAGACTCTCCAAAGTAGTCTTATGACAGAGATGACCAATCTCAAAGCCGATGTCCTCATGAACCAAGCTTCCAATGAGAAATGCCTGAACGATTTCTCAGAATCGTTGCGCAATTACGAGAGAGAGAACCGAGACCTTGCCAGACTCATCTACCGTTTCTTCGAAGAGATAGACGCCATCTGGAAGGTACTCGGAAAGGACAGAACATGCAACACCGTACTTCGTGAGTACCAAATTGAAGAAGGAATTGTCGAGGAAGAAGAGGAAGAAGAGGAAGAAGAGAAACACGAAGAAGTTCCTGAAGCCGCTACATGGGCAACCCTTGTTGCCGATGACGGTTACGAAATTTCCCAACCCTACCCATACCAAATCCGCAACAAGGAGACAGGAAAGGTTCTTACCCCAGTCCTCAACAACTTGGGACACTTGAACCTTAACCTTCGGAATCGCGGTTCAATCTCCATGGGCAAGCTTGTCGCAATTCAATGGGTTCCAAATCCAGACAAGAAGACGAAGGTCAGACACATTGACGGTGACAAGCTCAACAACCGTAAGGGGAACCTCGAGTGGTTCTAAGAGTAAAAAAATTTATTTTAGGGGGAAAACCCAAGTAAATTTAAGTTTTTATTTTTGGTATTCGTACCAATCTTGGAATGTGAAGACCACATCCCAACCTCTGTACGTGAGTCTTGGGTCCACGTCTAAGACCCTTCTGTAGCAATTCCAAACCCGAGCAAATTCAATTGTCAACCACTCGTCTCCTCTGTAGTCTTCAATCCATTCTTTGAAGAGACGGTCGAGTTCGGGCTTGGAATATCTCTTGCCTGGGTCCGAGACCAACATTTGGTTGAACTGGACGAAGCGCTCAGGGATGTACGCCATTAAAAAAATGTCACTTTTTAAAAAATAAATTTTTTATTTCATGCAATGTTTAACTATTTCACCATCTTCTTTAACACCCCAGTACTTACGCTTGGAGAGGACATGAACTTCGGTGAAAATTTTGTCCAATTTGAATTGACCCATCTTTTCACCGACCATTCCCATTTCAATGAGTTTGTTGTATCCTTCTTCGTTCGTCATGAGTGCGTCAATGTTCTCATAGTAAACCTTGACTTTGGATTTGACTTCGGAGAAGAATTTGTTGTACTCGTCAAGGACTGCTTTTGCGAACTGAGGGTAAGACCAATGTTCGACAATAGGTTTTAATGTGGTTACTAAGCCACTTTGACCTTGAGTGAATTCGTACTTCAAAACAAAAGGAGAAAACCTTTCAACAAAGTTGTCGACCTTCTCATAATGTTTACTCTTCATCTCTTGAGGTTTCTTAATGGAATATCCCCATGTCGAATTCATAAGCAATTTGAGTGTCATTGCAAGTTTGGGGTTTGAAGCTTTCCTAATATCATACAGTTGTTGTATGACTTTTCCAACTGTATAGTTCTTTCCCGGGAACTCACCATCTTCGTTTGGAATTCCAGTCGGAATATATTGGACAAACCTCATGTATGCAGCGTTAAGGTCGACATAGTATATCTTTTCATCTGAGTCGAACTTGTCGCAACCAATTGGTCCAGTTTGTGGAAATTCAAGTGAGTCTCTTATCTTCTGAGAAACTTCTCCTATTATCTCATAAACATCGTCGAAGCAACCTGTTTCATATAAAACCTTCTGACCTAACTCAGATGCTCTCCAATACAATTTGACGTCAATTGGATGTCTCAATGGAAGTTTGTTTATAGCATCTTGAAGTTCTTGCAACCTCATTGGAAGTTCTTCTGGTTCAGGTTGGTATCCGAACAAACCAACTCCTTGTGGAACTGTGTACTTCTTTTGTACTAGAACTTTGTCTGGAACAACTTTTGGTCTTGCTAACAATGAAAAGTTTGTTTCGTCTTTTGGTACAAAAGTTTCTGTCAGCTTGTCATCTGGAATTGGTTCCAACAAACCTTTCTCGAAAAGAATGTTTACAGCTCTGACAATGTTGCACTTACTTTTACCAAAGAATGGGTTTGTAAGACTTTCGTTCAACATGAAGTGGTTGTGGACAATTACAATCTTCAACCATGGTAAGTCTTTGTCAACAACATAGTCGTCATGTGAAGAACCTTTAGCTGTAGGTATGTTGACTCGGATATTGACATTTGCCAACGGTGCAATTTTTGCCAATTGACCTCTGAGAATGTATCTTGTCTTCACAAATGACTCAAGATACTTCATCTTCTCATCTGTAACAAGACCAGAGTTCCTGAGACATGTAAGAATACAAGGTTCATTGACAATTGTTTCAATTGAATTGTAAATTCCATACCTTGTCAAGTCAATGTCAGACTTATTTATGAACGGGAAGTATCCAGCATGTTGTCTGACTGCTTGAGGGTTAGGTTGGTACCATTCGAACTTGACACTTGCAATTCCTTCAATTGCATTCAAAATGTCTGAGTCGGAGTCAACCATTTGTTCTCTCTTTGTAGTCTTGAAAGCGTCAAGAAGTTTTGCGGCTGTTTGTTCATTGCCATGTGCATAGTAAATGTGACCATCCAAATCTGTTATGGTCAATCTGAGACTGTGTCCTTTCTTATTTCCGTCTTGAATTGCAGCAAGTACTCCCATGAAGCCTTCTTTGTTCTTTCCTTCGTCAAAGTTTACTGTAAAGGTTCGACCAGATGTAATTTGACTTCTAACTTCACGATACTTTTCATATGCATATCTTGTTCTTTCCATGGGAGCATGTGCGTCTTCACCTTTTCCTTTTTTCCTTCTCAAAGGATGCAATTGTTCGTCATGTTTCCAGTAGAATCTGGCAAAGCCGTCGTGTCCTTCAACTTGAGGTTCACTAACATCGAAAGGCATGTCCATAAGACGTTCTTCTTCTAACCTCTCTAGTCTGTTTGGATAATTGGCACGTGCTGTTTCCAAATCCATTTCGTAGCGAAGACCAGACAATTTGTCATAGACTTTTATGGGTCTTCCCTTCCTATATTTAAAATTCTTCGAAACTCTCCAACCATATCTTTGTAACTCTGCTTTTATTCTAGCAGACTTTCTATCCATTCTATATGGGGGCATTTTTATAAAAATAAAAAAATATTTTTTTCTTTACTTTACATAACCGCCTGCTGCCATAAGTCTTTGACGCCAACCCATACCAGCTAATGAAGGTTGACTTGGTTTAGTTTGGAAACTAAACTTTGGTTTTGGTTTATCTTCAGTTTTTGGTTTTTCTTCTTCTATCGTTTTTCGTCACTTTTCGGTTCCTCTGACTTTACTTCACTTGCAGGAACAGTTGTGTCGTCAACATCTTCAGAAATATCATATGCCATTTGTTTTTGTTTTCCTTTCAACTTTTTGTGTTTGTTGTAAAATTTAGAATATTTCGACTCTAAGTCAATGAGTTGAAAATGACGACTAAGCAATTCTATACCATGCGTAAACTGTCATGTAAGGTGGCATGTATTCTTTACTTTGTCCCGTTGTTTGCGTATATCCTGAAACGAAATGTGTATGGTTTCCTTCTCCCTGAGTGTCACTCCAGTAACAATTTATAGCAAACTTAACGTCGTCTTTAACATCATATCCTTTACCTTTTGTCATTCCTGACCAATCCCAATATCTATGCTTATGCCAACCTGCTTGAGATGTACTTAAATCTATGTAATGACTGTGTGCAGGTAAATTTTCACCTGAAATCGTTTTACTTCCACCTGTTTCCTTTGAAGAGTTTGCACAATACAAAAACCTGTCGACTATTTGTTCCCATGCACCAACACCAAACATTACTTGAGGACCTCTTGCTTCCATAGATGTATAAATAGAACCTACTGGGTTCATTAAATCAAACATATGAGATATTATAGGATTGTCTCTTTTGAACTTAAAATATAGTGCAACTATTTCAGGTTTCTTCTGGTTTGTGTCAGAATATTTTTTATAATATAATCTTATGTTTTCAGGGTAGGTAAAATCTTGACTATAATATTTATTTCTGTCATAGGGTTGTTAGATTCCTGACGATAGGTGTCTTGGAAGATTTGCCTGGTGTCATCACAGTGTCTTTAAATCAAAAATTTTATTTTGAAGTTAGTTTTATTGATTTTTCAATAAAAAACATTTCTAAAACAAGAAAATAAAACGATAAAATATTTATATTTTATATAAGGATCTTATATATTTAAAATAAATATCATTTTATTTTTTTCATTGGTGTCTGTCAAACCATAATACACTATTCAAAAATTCAATGTGTCTTGCGGTTTCAAAAGACACCTTCAAATTGAACGATAGCACAGACACTATTGAATTTTACCCATTGTATTTAGTTTTTACCCTTTTTATTTTTAAGAATTAATGACTGAAACAGCCGTTTTGCTATGACCTCAATCACTTTTATTTATTATTTTAAATATTATTTAATTTTATTATTTGAATAGGCCAACTTATATTTGAGAAGCTCAATTTGAGACCACTTAATACATTGAAATATCATAAATATTGAAATATTAAAAAGTGTATTTCAAAATATTGAAATTATAAAAATTTATAATACTGAAATTGAGACAAATTAATAAATTCAATGTGTTTTTTTTTGAAATAACTCTCAAATATTATTTTTTTGTTTATTTAATGATGAATAAATATGATTGCTTTAGTCAATCATAAAAACTAATTTAAGTTTAAAATAATGAAAGGATAATTTGATCATTTTTTAAAATACAATTATTTTTGATGATTTGCAAGAATCTTTGAAAAGAATATAATATATGTTCTATTTTTGTAAAATTTATCCAAATCATGTATTACATAAATTACGATTAAAACGATGAAAGAACCAAAAAGTGTGTTTTGTGTTTTGTTGTTGCGTGTTGGATGCGGGATCCTGTTATTTCAGAAATTGACAAAAAATTTGGAAATTTAATTTCCGAAATCGAAATAATATTAATGTTTTTAATATTCTTATATCAAAATGATTAAAGTTCATTAAGAGAAAAACAATTCTTCTTCTTCAATCTATTGGCGCATTTATTTCTACACGCCAATAAGGAAGGGAAAATTATAAGACACCATGGTGTCTTCAAAACGCTAATTTTTGATATTTTTAACAACCCTATTCTGTCATCTGTATAATAATATACTATTCTCGTTTTTTCTATTGCATTATATCTTTTATATCTATAATAATCTAAATATAATGTTAGCTTTTGTTCATCTACATGTGGTGTTCTGTCGTCATCTCCATAGTCATAATAATGTGGTGCCGGAGCTGGGTCAGGTAATATCATATCCACCATTTCATAAACTCTTAAATATTTCTTTTGTTCGTCTCCATATAAGTTTAAGTAGCAGTTGTTGTCTAATGGAACTTTAACTTGTGTACCATCATTCTTTTTATAGCTTACATACATTTCATTGTTATTTTTCGGAATGAGTTTATACCGTGTACTATTTTCTAAGGACTGTACCAACTGCCATCTAAAATATTTATTTTCTTCATTGACAGAAAAGTCACCAACAATAGTTTCAATATTTTTTGTTCCTATCAAACTTTGGTATATTTCATTGACATATGTTTTATCTGCTTTATTTTCAAGGCTAACATTTAAGTCTGTTATTTCAGAAGATGTATGTGTATGTCCAACGTCACTTTTCCTGTTTAAGGTTTCTTGTAAGTTTGTAATATCAGATATAGAATGTGTATGTCCAACGGCACGTTTCCTGTTTAAGGTTTCTTGTAAGTTTGTAATATCAGATATAGAATGTGTATGAGTCTTATCTGCTTTTGTCTCTAATGTTTCCTTAAGACTTGGTATTTGGTTAATATAATGTATATGAGTCTTTTTAGAATATTCGTTTTCAGCTCTTGTCACTTCACTTGACATTTTATTGTCAACATATGTTTTGTCTGCTAGTTCAGGATGAGTATGTTCTTTTGTTGCATAAGCATTGTTAGCTCTTTCTTCTTCTTTTGCTATTGCATCGTCTACATATTCTTTGTCAGCTTTGTTGTCAACATCTGTTTTCAAAAGAAGTTCATTTATAGGTTTCTCGTTTAAAGTTCCTTTTGTTGGATTTATACAGACAGTATTGTTCTTATTGTCTTGAAATAGAAACTCATCTGTCATTGGGTTTATTGTCAGTTTTAAGTCACCCCCTTTCAATGACTCAGATATCTTAGAATAGTTTGAAAAGTTTGTTGTGTTCTTATTTAGAGCTTGCATAATGAGTTGTCGGTTGTGTTGTATTTCTCTCATAGACGCTGTTTCATTTGACATTTTTATTATAGATAAAATATGCTTCCAATAGAAAAAGAAAATTCTAGAGTTGCTACAACTAAACCATTAGATGAACTTTTTACTAATGTCGGTCAAAAGTTTGAGACAGATACCGTAAAGCATGAAGGCTATCGTTTTGACTACCCATTAAGATGGTTAAGAGACCCATCTGTCACAAAAGCTATTGGCTTTCGAAGAATAAAGTTTGTGTCTGTAGAAGATAAAAGTTTTTCATTTATTGTAAGGTTTCATATAGATTATACATCTGAAGGGCAACGAAAAATGTGGGAAGAAATTGAGCTAATACAAGTTGACCTCTCATCTTCTCTACAGGCTGCATTAAAAAATATAAAAGATAAAATAAATTCATGTTATGCAAAATATGCTGATGAATATGCGAATACCGATAGCACACTTTATGTGAGAATTGTATATGACATACAAAATTCACAAGTGTCATTTCAAATCTACGAAGACAATCCAAATAAAGACGAACAAATATATACAGAATTCACTGCAATGTCATGGTATTATTTGCAAAGAATGTTAAATCAGAAAGTTGAACCTCCTTTAGCAAATATCTACAGTCGATATGCAAGAGATGAACCATATTTATTTAAAGATGTTTTCGACCCAGCTGCTATTATTGTTCATGCTTCATTTTCTGGCGCCCAAAACTCTTTCTTATGCTTGGCAAATGACTTTTACGAAAAACCTACAAAGTTATACGAACCACCAAGTGGAAGTATTTCAGACTTTCAAGTATGGTTTACTACAGATGGAAGAAAAAGAATAATTCCATTATACCATGCGTTTTACTTAGAACTTAGTTTCATATACAACTACTATCGAACGATAAAAATATAACTTTTTAATATACCGGTTGTGGTTGCCAACTTGACTGTGGTGCAGGTTCAGGCTGTTGTATTACAGGAGCTTGTTCTTCTGGTTCAGGGTCTTTAGGTATAATACCAACAAACTGACCTACTCTTTTACCAATATTTTTGACACCGTTCCATACTCCTCTTCCGACAGATTTTATTCCATTCCATATACCTCTTCCAACATTTCGAAAGAAGTTTCCTATCTTACTGAAGAAACCCATTTTACTATATGTAAAAATCTAATGTCCGCCTAGTCTCTTACGTTTCCTGTTGAGTTCCATAGCATTCTTTAACTGGAGCTCATACATTCTGTTTCTCCTCTGGTAGAAAACATATTCTGGGTCAACTCCTGTGTTCGCGTCATCTGCATAAAGTTGTTTATATCCCACTTCAGGGTTTGTATAAAACTCTTTCCATCTCATATTTGCATACCATGGTGGCAAACCTAACGCAGCATCATTTGACATGGCAGTTTGCATTTGTACATCTGTTGGCACTTGACCATAGTTTGCCATTGCAGTTTGTATTCTAACTTCATTTGGAATATTCTCTGGGTTTGGTTGTCCAGGTTGCTGTGCATTCGCTAAGTTCTGTGCGTCCATTTCATATTAGATAAAAATATCTCTTACGAGTACATATGCTGAACATTTGCAGGCATTGGTTCATCTTCATATTCTCTGTCTGTACTTTTCTGCCACGTCAAATAAATAAATGACACAATGGAAAAAACCTAAAACAAGTAGTCCTATTTCAAACCACATTTACTTACTAATAAAATTTCTTTATTGTGACACTTTCTCCAGTTTATAGGACCTCTCTCATATTCTATCTTGTCATATATAAACTCATAGTCATGTATGTCCTCTAACCATCTCATAACGGTTTCCAAACCACTTTTATCGGATGTAAAGTAAAAGCATGGATGGTTATGTAAAACGTCTAAAGTTTCTAAAGAGTCTCTCAAAGTCCAGTCTACTTGGTATTGAAAATCCCATGTGTTATAGAACGGCGGGTCCACTATAAAGAAAACATTTTCCTTGTCTTTATATTTTTCATACAACTCTGTCCAATGACATCTCACAAACTCTATACCCTCAATATATTTTTCTATGTCCTCTTTGAAAACATTTGTATAGTTAAGATATAAAACTTTTGACATAAGTGTTTCAATGTCATGAACTCTTATAGCACCACTATATAATAGTCTAGCAGATATACTATCCCAGTCTATATATTCTGCTTTTTTCAAAACCTCTCTCACAATATTTTTCTTATCTAATGGTATACGTTCCATCTTACCTATAGGTATCTTTTCTTTTAACTCACTCAATATTTTGTTAGTGTCTGGAATATGTTTGAGACGGTTCATATAGTTGTCGAAGTCATTGCATATAATCTTTGAGTCAGGAAATACGGTATGACATAAATGGGATATATAGAAACTTCCACCGAACAAATCTACAAATGTTAGACCATTCGGTAGTTTCTTAAGTTCTCTCAATATAATATCTTTACATTTACTCTTATTTCCAAAGAACGGTAACGGAGGTTTTGTAAAATTCATTTATATATAATAATAAAAATGTTTTTACCCGAAAAGTGACAGAAAAGTGACAAAGCATGAAAACATATATAATTTGTGAAAAGCGACACAAAAAGTGACATTTAAAAAGTGACACCATTAATATGATGTAAATAACAACGGTTTTGGTTTTGTCACCGGCTGGTCGGCTGGGGTTCGGTCCTCCTCTTGGGTCTTGGGCAAAATTTCTTATGGGCTAGAGGGCGCAACGCGCCTGGAAGCCCCACTTACCTGACCAAGATAAGTATGATTACACACATTCAATTATGAATCACATCAGATTATTGAAATTATATTCATAAGAATTATTTTGAAGGCTCCACTCGTATTTCGTCTCAATTTTGAAATAGTATTCAATTTTAATGAGTTTTTGTGCCTCTCTAACTTTGTATCCTAACAGTTTAAGAGAAAACTGTCAATAGCATTATTTACCAACATATACTTTTGTATAAATCGAGTATATTTTCATTGAATTGCCGCAATGCGAGAGATGCATATTTCAAAAAAATTTTAGCCCATAAATCTTCACTATCACTAGGTAATGCTATATTTTTGGAAAAAGGAAGTTTAGGACCCCAAAATTAAAGTCTGCGAGGTGTTTTTCTCATAATGATATAGTCGTAATTCAAAAATTTCTATTTTACACTGGATGGTGTAGTGAATAAAACCAACATAATTATATTTCTGAACTCAAATTCTTCCAATCTTTGAAGAAAAAAAATTGCTTTTTTTTTTCTTTTTCCAAAATGAGTAATTTATAAATTTTTATATGTTATGACCTATTACAACTTCATATCAATTATAAATAATGATTTTAATTTTCAGTATTTTTTATTTGAATTACTAATAATCGTCAAAATCGGTTTTTATTCGTTAGTTATTTAAACGGTGGGAAAATGGATGAGGCGAAACTCCAGCGAATGGATGCTCTTCAGAAGAAGTTCCAAGAGTTTAAGTCTTTCGAAAGATTAACTCAGGAAGCAGTAGATAACAAATGGCGCGATATTATGATGAGCGAAAAGCTCCAAGAGCAGAAATCGTCCATTGATAATATTAGAGTAAACTACGTAAAGCAACTTGACCGTCTTGACTCAGTTATTCATCGCTTGCTTCAGTGGATTACAGATGGTGAAGCACAATACCAGTTTGCGCTTAGAGCACACAAGCAAAATCTTGATAACTTGACTGCTTTAGCAAACAAACGTTTAGATACTGAAGAAGATCGTTTTAATAAAGCTTTAGATTCAATTGTTACAAAGTACGAAGCAAACAAGGCAAAGTCACTTGAAGAATTCAATTCCCATGTTGCTGAAGTCAGAGACATCAAAAATGCTATTGAACACGAATACGCTCAAAAGAAAGAAGACTTAGAAAACAAATTCAGGACAGAGAAAGACCAATTGACAATGAAGAGCCAGGAAGCTATCTCAGCTCTCAGAACTCACCTTCTTGATGAAACAAAGAAAGTTCTCGATCGCCAGCAAACAGAATCCAACTTATTCAAGCAAAAATCCAACGATAAGTTACAAACCTTCCAGCAGATGTACGAAAAGCATCGTAATAACCAGATAACAATGAAGAAGAACGAGGCTACAATCATCAAATTACAAAGCCAAATCTCACATTGGCGCCGTAAGATAAAGAACAACGAACGCGAGTCCCGCGAATCGAATGACCGCCTTCGCCAAGAGAAGGACAACCTCAGCCATCACTTCCGCGACTTGAAAGAAGTTATGGCCAAATTCAGACAAGTAGAATGGAGAAAGAGGGCGGATGTTGCAACAGCCTTCGAAGATGCTATCAATCTCCTTCAGGCAAAGCTCTCTGATGCTGAAAAGATTCTCAAATATGCGGAAATTACAAGGAAACTCGAAACCGAGCGCGAACAAGTCATGCCATTCCCACATTCAATCGTAGAGACAGATCCCGAAATCCAACGCCAGATGGCCCAGTTCAAATTACAAATGAAAGGTGATTCCAAGTACGTTGCTGAATCAGACATGTTCGACAAGTTCTACCGCCGCTTCAACAAGGTTCTCTTGGAGAAGATGGCCCTCCAAAGAGAAAAGGAAAAGCTCCAGAAGACAAATCAAAGATTGAAGACCATGATGAAGAACTACATGGAAGGAATGGCAGTAAACGAGACAACAATGAGCAAGGATAACACCTTGTTCATCGTAAATCAACGTACAAACGCTCCATTGCGCAAAGTTGACCAAGACGGAATCCCAATCATCGATGCTGCACTTACTGTTGGCGCTGATAAGCTCCAAGGATACTAATTTTTGTCTTTGTTATTTTAATAATATATTATTTTATTTTATCTTTCAGTGTTTTATAATAAATTTTATTATATAAATTTATCTGTTTTTGTATATATAAATGTACCATTTCATATATATTTAAAAACAATTTCTCTACAATTCTCCATAAAAGGCATTTGTTATTTAAATTAAAAGACTCAAATGCAATAGATTATAAATTTATGATATTTAGATAATCGTTTACATCAGCTTTTGCAGTATACTTCCTTTATCAACTCCAGTATAGATATAAAAGTTCAAATTATATTTTCATTATTTGATTGTTTTACCTATGCATTCCGATAACAAATTCTTTGAGCAATTGAAGCTTATGTAAAAAGATATTTTGGATAATTAACATCTTTTTTTGTAAATTCATGCCCATTATGAGAACACAGTACATTATGGGACTCTCATACTTCTCATGGAGCCCCAAAATGAAAATTCTGCTTTTTGAATGCAAATAGATTCAATATTTTCAAGATTTCTCAATGTCCCTCAATTGATGAGGAAAATCCAGAAAGTATCTGCATAAGTTAATGCTGTTGTATTTCTCTGGATCTTAACGGGTCAGAGAATGAAAGAATAGTTTTTATCGAGAGGATGCTCATACATATCGACTGAAATTCTTTCGTGTTATTCACATTACCTTAAGGCATGATTTCTCATAAGTCTCTTATCAAATGATAGACTTCAGAAAAACTGTGCAATAGTCGATTAATTACAGAATTATCTATTCTTTGCAAAATAGGAAACAGCAATTAGAGTATTCTAATTACTTTAGGGCAAAGAGTTTCCGAGATATTCCCTTGAATGCGAAGTCTCGGAATGATTTTGCCCTATTTGAGTAGACAAATAATCCTTGACCATTTAGGGATCGAAGGATAGTAGTATAAGCCCATGAGAGAATTATATAAAATCTAATATTAGTAACTTGGCTACTATAGGGTGTCCAAAGGTGTGTTTAGCACAAACCTGAATACTGCGAATAGAAATAAACAAGTTACATATATATAAAGTTTATTTAAATATAATCACCATTGGATTCAATCACGCGTTCGCAGCGATCGATCCAGGCTTGAAAGACACGCTTTAAATCATCATGAGAAAATTGCTCAAATTGCTCTCTTACAAAATTTTCAAGATCATCTGGACTCGCGAATTCGCGTCCTTCAGCTCTCTTTTTTAGCGTGCCGAATAAATAAAAGTCAGAGGGTGCAATATCAGGTGAATAAATTGAGTTTGGAACAACTTTGACATTGTTTTCCACCAAGTAATTCATTACCTTATGACTTTTGTGAACTCTTGAATTATCTAAATGAATTGCAAACTTTTGTTTTTGTTGTTTGGATTTCTCAAACTCATCAGAATTGATAATTTGAGTAAGAACATTGTCAATTAGATACTGAGCATTCATCGTATTAGGTTTTTGAAGAATATCAATTGCGATGATGCCATTCACGCCCCAAAAAACCGACAACATCATCATTGGTGTGTCAATTTTTTTCTTCGGGAATGTTTGCGGATTTTCATCCTTTGGGATCCACATGATTTTGGCTTCTGTTGCATATTGAAACCAAGACTCGTCTCCTGCTACTAAAAAGCAAAACTTCTTGGATTGATACGCACCCAATATAGAGAGGAGCTCTTTCGAAGATTGGACTCTAGATTTTTTTTGAACTGAATTAAGGTTGTGCGGAACCCAACGTGTATACGCTAGTTTGTAGTTCAAATAATTGTGCAGATAATAACTGACTGTTGTACGTGGTATCTTTGTCATCTCCTCTATCCTTCTGAGTGATGCTCTTGGTCTTCATCTAGCGCTTGAAGAATTGCTTTGATTTTTCTTTGATCCGGCGATTTTTTGTCAATTTTTATGATGGGCGCCTTTTTGTTCATGAAGTGATACATCCTAACATGATACGTTACAGTGGAATAGCTAGGAGCATCCATACCGAAGCATTTTACCAATGTCTCGTAGATTTTTTACAGTCTTTGCATTTTTTTGCAAGAGCGAGGATGTTTTCTTTATGATTCATTACAAAAATGAAAAAATCCCGCCAAAATTTCCCGCGAAACCGCCTCTTGTCTCAAAATTCATTTTATATCCCGGCATGGCGCCAAAATACAACATACTCATCATATACATATATTCATATTTTTTATTATATATTTATAATCAGCATATATCTCCTTTAATAGTCTCATATAGCGCGCTGTGCTAAACGCACCTTTGGACACCCTATATATTCTAGCACAAAGAGCGATGATCTTGGATAAATTCTCATGAAAGGCCAAGTGAAGATCTGATGATGAAATCACTATTTGATGTGGATAGAACCGCATAATGATGGATCAAACCAAAGGCTTTGTAGCATCACAACAAGTGGATAATAAGCATTGAATTCAGATGCAACTCAGTAGGAAATCAAAAATGGCGATATTGAAAATTTTTGATATTGGTTAGCAATGCATTTTTACCAATTCGAATATGCAAAAATACTTATGTATGATGAAGACCAATGTAAAATATATAAAATCATAAATTTGTCCTCAAAAGTGTCACAGCCAAAAATTTACAAATCATGTCAAGCTCAGAGGAATCAGAATATGAAAATGAATGTGATTATAGTGATCTTAAGCCAATCGAAGTACTCAGATACCCCAGTCAAGCTTCAAAACTTATTTGGAGCGTCAATTCCGATAATATTTTACAAATATCTTCACAAATTATAGAATTCATTACAAATAACAAAATAACTATCTAGATGTCGCTTCGCTTGATTGATGGTATTTCACTAGTTCGTGTTAAAGATATTAAATTATTTACAGAACTTTACCAAAAGATATCAAACGAATTTTCATACATCAACAAACCAATCAATAAAAAATTAGCAGCATTGTTACATTATAAAGGTTTCAAATTTGAAAACTTCAAACCTAAAAAGAAAGAAGAAGAAATTCTGAATTTATATCCAACAGAATCTCCATTATACTACATTGCATGGGATAAAGTTGATGAATTTAAGAGTAAATTCCCAAATCTTGATATTAATAAGAAAATACATTATATCACACCACTTGATTGTGCAATTAAATATGGATCAGAATTATGTTTCAACTACTTGAAAAACTTAGGAGCTAAATACACTTATGACTCCGAAAAATATGTTGTTAAAGGCGGAAATAATAACATTTTTATGCAAATGATTGAAGATGGTAAATCATTTTATAAAATGATTAATACAGCATTGGATTATCATCACTATGAAATTGCTAATTACCTTAAATCAAATTTCGGACAAACTTTTGATTCAATAACAGAAAGCATGTATTTCGGAAATTATGAAATTGCATCCTTTTTACTTTCTAATGGAGAAGACATCAACAAAATTTATAATCTCTTTCTTTTCACATTTATCATTGTTTGATGACAATCTCTTTTTTTTCATATTTATCATTATTTTATCATATTATCTTTCTTTTCATATTTATCAATGTTTTATGAAATTCACTATCTCTTCATATTTATCATTGTTTTATCTCATTCTCTTTCTGTTCATATTTATCATTATTTAATGAAATTCTCTTTCTTTTCATATTTATCATTATATAATAACATTCTCTTTCTTTTCATATTAATCATTATTTCATTGGATTTTATTTCTGTTTATATAGGGTGTCCAAAGGTGTGTTTAGCACAAACCTGAATACTGCGAATAGAAATAAACAAGTTACATATATATAAAGTTTATTTAAATATAATCACCATTGGATTCAATCACGCGTTCGCAGCGATCGATACAGGCTTGAAAGACACGCTTTAAATCATCATGAGAAAATTTCTCAAATTGCTCTCTTACAAAATTTTCAAGATCATCTGGACTCGCGAATTCGCGTCCTTCAGCTCTCTTTTTTAGCGTGCCGAATAAATAAAAGTCAGAGGGTGCAATATCAGGTGAATAAATTGGGTTTGGAACAACTTTGACATTGTTTTCCACCAAGTAATTCATTACCTTATGACTTTTGTGAACTCTTGAATTATCAAAATGAATTGCAAACTTTTGTTTTTGTTGTTTGGATTTCTCAAACTCATCAGAATTGATAATTTGAGTAAGAACATTGTCAATTAGATACTGAGCATTCATCGTATTAGGTTTTTGAAGAATATCAATTGCGATGATGCCATTCACACCCCAAAAAACCGACAACATCATCATTGGTGTGTCAATTTTTTTCTTCGGGAATGTTTGCGGATTTTCATCCTTCGGGATCCACATGATTTTGGCTTTTGTTGCATATTGAAACCAAGACTCGTCCCCTGTTACTAAAAAGCGAAACTTCTTGGATTGATACGCACCCAATATAGAGAGGAGCTCTTTCGAAGATTGGACACTAGATTTTTTTTGAACTGAATTAAGGTTGTGCGGAACCCAACGTGTATACGCTAGTTTGTAGTTCAAATAATTGTGCAGATAATAACTGACTGTTGTACGTGGTATCTTTGTCATCTCCTCTATCCTTCTGAGTGATGCTCTTGGGTCTTCATCTAGCACTTGAAGAATTGCTTTGATTTTTCTTTGATCCGGCGATTTTTTGTCAATTTTTATGATGGGCGCCTTTTTGTTCATGAAGTGATACATCCTAACATGATACGTTACAGTGGAATAGCTAGGAGCATCCATACCGAAGCATTTTACCAATGTCTCGTAGATTTTTTTACAGTCTTTGCATTTTTTTGCAAGAGCGAGGATGTTTTCTTTATGATTCATTAAAAAAATGAAAAAAATCCCGCCAAAATTTCCCGCGAAACCGCCTCTTGTCTCAAAATTCATTTTATATCCCGGCATGGCGCCAAAATACAACATACTCATCATATACATATATTCATATTTTTTATTATATATTTATAATCAGCATATATCTCCTTTAATAGTCTCATATAGAGCGCTGTGCTAAACGCACCTTTGGACACCCTATATATATCATTGTTTTATCCCGTTTTATTTCTTTTCATGTTTATCATTGCTTTATAGCATTCTCTTTGTTTTTATATTTTTCATTATTTTATCGTATTATCTTTCTTTTCATATTTATCAATGTTTTATGAAATTCTTTTTATTTTCATATTTGACATTGTTTAATGAAATTCTTTCAATATTAATGAATGTCCTCTTAGTATTGCAATCAAAACGAATTCTATCGAAATTATCAAATTCTTAGTTGAACATGGCGCTGATGCTAACACGAGACTTATTCTCTTTCTTTCCATATTTATCGTTGCTTTATGATATTCTCTTTCTTTTCATATTTATTTTTGATTTATAGAATTCTCATTCTTTTAATATTTATCATTGTTTTATTGGATTTTCTTTCTTTTCATATTTATAATTGCTTTATAAAATTCTCTTTCTTTTCATATTTATAATTGCTTTATAAAATTCTCTTTCTTTTCATATTTATAATTGCTTTATAAAATTCTCTTTCTTTTCATATTTCTCATAGTTTCATGAAATTCACTTTCTTTTCATATTTATCATAGTTTCATGGAATTCACTTTCTTTTCATATTTATCATTGATTTATGAAATTATCTTTCTTTTCAAATTTATCATTGTTTTATGACATTATCTTTCTTTTTATTTTCAAATTTGACATTGTTTAATGTAATTCTTTCAATATTAATGAAAGTCCTCTTTTTGTTGCAATCAAAGCGAATTCAATCGAAATTGTCAAAATCTTAATTGAACATGGTGCTGATGTTAATAGGAAACTTATTATCTTTCTTTTCATATTTATCATTATTTAATGATATTTTCTTTCTTTTCATATTTATCATTATTTAATGATATTTTCTTTCTTTTCATATTTATCATTATTTTATTACATTATATTTAATTTCATATTTATCATTGTTCAATGAAATCCTCTTTCTTTTCATATTTATCATTATTTAATCCAATTCTTTTTCTTTTCATATTTATCATTGGGTTATATAGCTTTTTTTCTTTTCATATCCATCATTGTTTAATGAATTTCTTTTTCTTTTCATATTTATCATTGCTTTATGACATTTTCTTTCTTTTTATATTTATCATTGTTTTGTGGAGTTTTCTTTCTTTTCATTTTTATCATTGTTTTATTACATTTTCTTTCTTTTTATATTTATCATTGTTTAATGAAATTCTCTTACTTTTCATATCCATCAATGTTTAATGAATTTCTCTTTCTTTTCATATTTATCATTGTTTTATGGCATTTTCTTTCTTTTCATATTTATCATTGTTTTGTGGAATTTTTTTTCTTTTCATTTTTATCATTGTTTTATTACATTCCCTTTCTTTTCATTTTTATCATTGTTTTATGATATTTTCCTTTTTTAATATTTATCATTGCTTTATGACATTTTCTTTCTTTTCATATTCAACCTTGTGTTGTATAATTCTTTTTCTTTTCATATTCATCATTGTTTTATGATAATATCTTTCTTTTCATGTAGGGCTGTACAAAATCGAGAAAAACATTGCCGTGCGGTAATATAGGGTCAAAAAAGTCGCGCCTCGGCGGCTCCGCCGCCTCGGCACTATTAAGTGCGCATTATATTTAATATGTCCTTCTTTTTTTTCTTTTTTTCTTCTTCTTCTTTTCCTTTCCTTCTTCCTCTCCTTCCTCTTCTTTCCTTCTCCTTCTCTTTTTACAACAACGTCGAAGATCTTCGAATTTGATTGTTGGAAAAGCATCTATTTCAGATAAAGGATGCCTTTCTCACAGTCAACATACGAGGGTCCTGGCTGAAACGTTCTCAAAAAGCCTGAGATGGTAATTCTCTGATCACTCATAGCTGGGCAGGTAGTCATTGCTGACAATACCTGTCTTTATGCATGCACGCTTTCATGTATATGGGTTTACACTATCAATTCGCAAAGTTGTTCCGAATTCTTCCAAAATGGAAGGACCCGAAACAACTTTGCTTGTTAACGATACAGACGCATTACTTTGCATTGATACTGTGCTGAGTTGTGTAGAAAGTTTGATTAGAGTTGTTTTGTTCTGGTATCTCTCATCTTCTGATGAGAGAAATCAAAGCAACACAACTCTAATGAGTTTGTTTTCACTCATTTGTATGTAGGTTTTTAGTTCGATTGGAGCTGCTTCATAATGAGATCTCTCATCAATTGATGAGGGAGATCATAACAAAGCAGCTCTAATGTATATGCTCGTATTAACCGGGTTGTAATGCGTTGTAACGTCAGCTTGTAGTTCGTTTGGGGCCACTTCACATTGAGATGAGAAGAAATGATTAAAGGACTCTGAAAGGCTTTGGCCGTTGATGTTGTAATCGCATTACTTGGAACTAGCTGGATGCTAAGCTGTGTAGAATGTTCGATTAGAGCTGTTTTGATATGATTTTTCTCATCATAAGATTGGAGGAATCATAGCAAAACAACTCTAATGGGTTTACCATCATCTACTTGTATGTAGATGTTTGGGAAATTGTCTTGTTAATCGATTTTCGAGATGACTTTCAAATGCTATAATCAAATGACAAACAAGTCTAAGATTTCTCGACAATACATCAAATCATGATGTTTGTAAGTGCGATGAGATTAGAGTTTTTGAAGGAATGACAAGAGAAGTAGGGAAGCTCGGCATTCGCCGAGCAAATTAAAAATTAACGTATGGATTAAATTTTAAGAGGAATTCAATTTTAATTACGGGTTGTTCAAATATTGATTAATATAAATTTATTAATAAGAATAAACAATTTTTGTTTTTGAATTTATTCAATTTATAGCTTTACATATAGTTTCAAAATTGTACAACTATGATTATTTCAACAAAAAATATCTTACTTTTTCACTTCACTTTCACTCTCACTTTTTCCGTAATTCAAATTTCAACATTATGTATTTTAATTCCTTATAGTATTTTTAACATAATTAATCAAATAATAATTGGAAGTTCTGAACTCACTTTTTCCGTAATTCAAAATCAAAAATATGAATAATATATCTATTTATTATATACTAATGCTATTTTCAACTAGAAGTGAGGTACGGTAATCTTACGGATTCCCGTAACTCAATTTTACGGAAAAAGTGCAGTAAACTACTCAATTTACGGAAAAAGTGTCGTAAACTATTGATGTGGCGGTAAAATCACGGTAATTCACGGAAAGCTATATGCGAAAATTTGAAATTATACAAAATCGAGCGAAACACTTTTAAATAGGTTGTTCTCGTATTTAAAATACTATTCCCAGATTTATTGTCGTCAGAATATTTCCAAATTTTTGCCGATTTACAAAAAATGATTTACAAAGCATATTTTTTAATCTAAAAAATTCCTAAAAAAAGGAACCGGTGTGCGGAAACCTTGGTAAATTACCGCGGTTCCCGTTGGGACTGCCATATTTTCATGATTATCATTACTTAATGACATTATCTTTCTTATCATAATTATCATTGTTTTATGCTATTCTTTTTAGTTAAATATTTATCATTCATTTCTTATATTCTCTTTCTTTTCATATTTATCATTATATCATACCATCACCTTTCTATTTAAATTTATCATAGTTTTATATAATTCTATTTATTTTGACTAATTTCTTTTTATTATTCTATCTCTTTTCATTTTGATCATTATTTAATGAGATTCTCTTTCTTTTCATATTTATCATTATTTTATCACATTATATTTAATTTCATATTTATCATTGTTTTATCATAATTTCTATCATTTTATATTCGTTATTGTTTAATGAAATTCTTTCAGTATTAATGAGTGTCCTCTTAGTATTGCAATCAAATCTAATTATATTGAAATTGTCAAAATCTTAGTTGAACATGGTGCTGATGTTAATATAGAACTAATTCTTTTTCTTTTCATATTTAACATTGGTTTATGAAATTCTCATTATTTTCACATATATTGTTGTTTTATTGCATTCTCTTTCTTTGCAGATTAATCACTGTTATATTACATTCTCTTTCTTTTCATGTTAATCATTATTTTTTGAAATTCTCTTTCTTTTCATATTAATCATTGTTTTACCAAATTCTCTTTCTTTTCATGTTTATCACTGTTTTACAAAATTCTTTTTCCATTCATGTACACTATTTATTTCTGTCATTCTCTTTCTTTTCATGTTTGTCATTGTTTTATGACGCTCTCTTTCTTTACATAACTATCATTGTTTTATGCAATTCTTTTTATTTTTAAATTTATCATTCATTTCTTATATTCTGTTTATCTTTATGACTACCATCGTTTTATGACATTCCTTTTCTTTTCATATTCAGTATTGTTTTATACTATTCTTTTTCTTTTCATATCTTTCATTATTTTTTGAAATTCTCTTTCTTTTCATATTTATCATTGTTTTATTACATTATCTTTATTTTCATATTTATAATCGCTTAATTGGATTCTCATTCTTTTCATATTTATCATTGTTTTATAACATTTTCTTTCTTTTCATTTTTATCATTGCTTTATACAGTTCTTTTTCTTTTTATATTTAAATTTGTTTTATAAAATCTTTATTCTTTTCATATTTATCATCGTTTTATGGTATTTTCTTTCTTTTCATATTTATCATTGCTTTATTGTATCATCTATCTTTTCATATTTATCATCGTTTTATGGCATTCTCTTTCTTTTCATATTTATCATTATTTAATGATATCCTTTTTCTTTTTAAATTAATCATTGTTTTATAAAATTTTCTATATATTTTTAGAAGTCCTCTGGATATTGCAAAGAAAGCCCAATCATTAGAGATTGTCAATTTTTTAGTTGAACATGGTGCTAATGTTAATATGGAACTTATTATCTTTCTTTTCATATTTATCAATGTTTAATGAAATTCTCTTTCTTTTCACATCCATCAATGTTTAATGAAATTCTCTTTCTTTTCATATTTATCATTGCTTTATTGCATATTCTTTCTTTTCATATTCATCAATGTTTAATGAAATTCTATTTCTTTTCATATTTATCATTGCTTTATTGCATTTTCTTTCTTTTCATATTTATCATTGCTTAATGAAATTATCTTTCTTTTCATATTTATCAATGTTTAATGAAATTCTATTTCTTTTCATATTTATCATTGCTTTATTGCATTTTCTTTCTTTTCATATTTATCATTGCTTAATGAAATTATCTTTCTTTTCATATTTATCATTGTTTTATTGCATTTTCTTTCTTTTCATATTCATCAATGTTTAATGAAATTCTCTTTCTTTTCATATTTATCATTGCTTTATTGCATATTCTTTCTTTTCATATTCATCAATGTTTAATGAAATTCTATTTCTTTTCATATTTATCATTGCTTTATTGCATTTTCTTTCTTTTCATATTTATCATTGCTTTATTGCATATTCTTTCTTTTCATATTCATCAATGTTTAATGAAATTATCTTTCTTTTCATATTTATCAATGTTTAATGAAATTCTATTTCTTTTCATATTTATCATTGTTTTATGACATTTTCTTTCTTTTCATATTTATCATTGCTTTATTACACTATCTTTCTTTTCATGTTTATCATTGTTTTATTGCATTTTCTTTCTTTTCATATTCATCAATGTTTAATGAAATTCTCTTTCTTTTCATATTAATCATTGTTTAATGAAATTCTCTTTCTTTTCATATTAATCATTGTTTTATGACATTATCTTTCTTTTCATGTTTATCATTGTTTTATTGCATTTTATTTCTTTTCATATTTATCATTGTATTATAACATTCTCTTTCTTTTCATATTTATCAATGCTTAACGAAATTTTCTTTCTTTTCATATTTATCAATGCTTAACGAAATTTTCTTTCTTTTCATATTTTTCAATCCTTAATGAAATTCTCTTTCTTTTTATATTTATCATTGCTTAATGAAATTCACTCGATATTATTGAATTTTCCCGTAGTATCGCATTGCAAAACAATTAGATCGAAATCGTAAGATCCTTATTTGAACATGGTACTCCGAATATCAAATCATTCTAATAGTGCATATAGTAATCTATGCATAATATAAGAATAAACACATTTCAATAATTTAAGCTTTATCGATATTTAAAATCAAATAACTCACTATCTATAACGTTTTTTAGACAAGGCTGTTTAAAATAATGTTCGCAATTTGGACGGAGCTTGCCTATGGCCAAGTTGCAAACAATTTCTTTAATCGTTTGCAAATTCTAATTTTCATGAACGCTAAAAGTTCTGAAATTTTGAATGCTTGCAAACTATATATATATATATATATATATTTTCTGAATGAATAAAATATATTATTGCCTTGATTTTCCTAAATTGTCGTTTGAATTCACTCATGTGTAGAATTCTTTTAATTTTCTTAATTCGGTAATAGAAATTAAAATTTGAGGTCGACAACTTTGTAAAAAAAGTGGGGAAATTAAGGGTACATTTACGCCCCTATGCCACTGCCTTCAATTCATATGTATAAGGTTAAAATTCAATGACGCTTCACGCCGGTTGTCAGAAATTTGAATTAAAGTTAGATGGGCGTAAGTGCAGCCTTAAAAAAGCTTTTTAATACTTTCTGAAACTCTTTTTGTCAGAAAGTCTATACTTTCTGACACATTTTTCTCCCTTTGAAAGTTTTTGACATTATGGTGTTTTTGGGTCAGAAAGTACTCAATTTTCCTTTCAAATCAATATATTTTGTCGACATTATATAATTGCAAACATGATAAGGTATTTACTCAGTTCAAACATGGGAATATTCATTATATCTATTGGTGATCAATTGAAGCAACAAAAAGCATCTAAAAATAAGAGTTTCAACCTCTTACAAATGAAACAAAATAAACAAAAAAACTTTATTCTTCGATTTTCCTTGGCTGAACAATTCCAGTAAATCTTGAGTACAAAACTTCGAAGAAACGAAGCTGCTCGCTAGCTTCCTGGGCTGCTGGATCATCTGCTCCTTGGAACATCCTTCCGAGGACGTTCTGGTCATCATCTGTCAAATGACACAAAATTAATTCAGAAGTTCTGAAATTCAGGCCTTTCTGATTGACAGCGGAAGCTATTTCTTTACGAAGCTTTGTAATTGTTTCATTCATGAACGTCATTAACGTTTGTCTCTGCTCAATCACATTTGAAGCAAGAGCTCGTAATTGATTCATTTCGATACGCTTCAGTTGGTTTAGCTTGATGAAACCGTTAAGTTCGTTCTTCTTCTTTTTCATCATATTCATATGCTGAGTAAATTTTCTTCGACTGTCGGCTTCTGGCTTAGTTCTAGCATTTACGCGGTCTTGCTCGAGTTTGTCGAGTTCGGCTTTCAAGTTTTGTATTGTTTGCTGGTTTTGTTCTGGAGTTGTTAATTGAGTTACAAGTTTGGCTTCCATTAGCTTCATTTCGAGGTTATTTTCTTCTTCAAGGAGATCATTGTACTTATCTCGTAATTCTACAACTGCTTTTTGGGCTTTAACGACTAATTTAGATAAAGTTTTACTTTCTGCTTGAGCTACACGTAATGTTTCATTCTTTTCTTGAATGATGTCTTCTTTGGCCTTTTCAATTGCCTTTTCAAGTTGCTCTTTAGCTTCTTTCTTGAAGATATCTCTTTTATTGTAAATTTCTGTCAATTTCTTCTCACGCTCTTCACGATTTTGCTTCTGAGTTAATATGGAAAGCTCTTTGAGATGAGCTTCCTGTGCAAGTAAGACTTTTCTTTGTTCTTCTACTTCTTTTTTCTCATTTAAGTTGAAAACTAAGTGATGGTATTTCTTTCTGTTTTCTATAAGTACTTTATTTGCTGCTGCAAAGTCGACTTTAATGTCTTCCTGTGCTTTCTGTATTTCTAACTCGCATTCTTTCTTTGCTTTTTCAAAATTGACACCTTGCTCAGCAACTCTTTCATCATTGTGAAGAGATTGAGCTTCTAACTCCTTAATAATATCTGCATTCCTTCTCTGCAAAGAGATAACAACTTCATTTAGTCTTTCTTGTTCTAATGTTAATTTTCTTTTCTGTTCTAAAAGATCAGCAAGCTGCTTATCAAGTTTTGCCTCAAGCTCTGCCTTAAATTCCTCGTTCCTATCCTTCTCTGGAGGAGGAGGAGCTTGCTGAGTCATTTTGAATTGAAAAAATTCGTTAATTTTAATTGCATAAAATTTGTACTTAATTTGTATCAAATAATAATCAATTTAGACTTTAGATTGGAATTTTCTAATATTTTATGTGATATCTTCATAATTTATGTTTGGAATTGAAAAATAAAAGCTATTTAAGGGGTCAGAGTAACATAATAATATAGAAATGGTTTAACTTCTATCTGATATGAGTGTATTGTAATCTCATACTACTAAGGAAGTATTTGGATGATATGAGATTAGTGCTTTGTAGCATGAGAATAGTGCTTACATATAACACTTATCAAAAACCATCATAAATCGCATTAAATTTAAATTTGATAAATCAAATCTTATTTGAAATTTAATACCCTATATTTCCAACTCTTGGAAAATTTTCATGACCCCCTACCCAGGGTCCTAAAATGGGTATTTTCCTCACACAGACACCGTGGTTTTTTGAGCCGGGAAATAAATAGCGCAGACAGTTTCTACATATAGAGACATGCTTATACTTAGAGTTTGACGGGAATCTAAAGTGATTTTTTTCTGCATCGCGAAATCTAATGCAATCTCAAAATCATGAAGAAACTGCGAATCGGAGCGCAATTTTTTAATATGTTAATATATAAAGGTACCCCTACTACTGCAAATGCTTCAAATGAAAATCTAAGAAATCAGATTAATTTGATCACATTAGTATAGTATTGGTCAAACCAAAAACTCATATGTTGATATATAGCCTATGGATATTCATATTATCTACTTTTCATTGAATTACATAAGATTTAATAATCTCATAAATATTCTTTTTAATTTTCCGAATTCCGTGTGCATTTAGATTGCCCATACCTGTATATAATAATTCTAGAATGGTTTGGTTAGATATTAAGTTTTTTAGATTAATATTTTAACATTTTGATAAAACAAGCATTTGTTCCATTTTAGAATCGCCATTGAACTCTGGTTTGACTAACATGATGTTGTATGATCAAACAAATTCTAACTTCATGAGATAAATTTTGAAATTAGAAAATGCGATATCTGACTCAAATATTTATATGAACACATTTAACATTCAATGATAAACTAAAGTACTATACAGCAGATTCGATTTGGCTTATATTTTATATAATCAACTAATAATCCTATAAAATTGTGCTATTCACGTTGCGCAAAGATGTATTGAACATTCTCTACTTGTGTATTGATAAAATTAGATATAGATTCTAATGTAAATCGATATTTTGAAAATTCATATATATTTTGTCTTGGTTTGGCATTTGATCGTGTTGAAACCGGAATTGCAATATATATTATCTAAATATATAACTATCAAAATATGAGCTATAGATTTTTAAATTATTCTCCTGAATATGAGTGACTAACATAATTATATTGAATTGAGTAGTAAGAATCTTAAATATTAGAATCTGACGATAATTTATTATAACTGTATAAAGGAACAAGACTATAAATGATGATGAAAATAAAGATTAAATTTAAATCTGAAAATTTGAAAACATTAAGTGTATTGTGCACTCTTGTCGGTCACAGTGTCTCATTCCGGGAGACATTGTCACTGCATGTCTCCCAGAATGATATCAAGTTCCCCATTCATAACTTGAATGCGGAACTTTGACCGACAAGAGTGCACAATACACTCTTGTCGCTCAAAGTTTTGCAATCACATTCTGATTGCAGAAGATTGTCTCATTCTGGGAGACATTCAGAGGCAATGTCTCCCGGAATGAGACACTGTGACCGACAAGAGTGCACAATACACTCTTGTCGCTCAAAGTTTTGCAATCACATTCTGATTGCAGAAGATTGTCTCATTCTGGGAGACATTCAGAGGCAATGTCTCCCGGAATGAGACACTGTGACCGACAAGAGTGCACAATACACTCTTGTCGCTCAAAGTTTTGCAATCACATTCTGATTGCAGAAGATTGTCTCATTCTGGGAGACATTCAGAGGCAATGTCTCCCGGAATGAGACACTGTGACCGACAAGAGTGCACAATACACTCTTGTCGCTCAAAGTTTTGCAATCACATTCTGATTGCAGAAGATTGTCTCATTCTGGGAGACATTCAGAGGCAATGTCTCCCGGAATGAGACACTGTGACCGACAAGAGTGCACAATACACTCTTGTCGCTCAAAGTTTTGCAATCACATTCTGATTGCAGAAGATTGTCTCATTCTGGGAGACATTCAGAGGCAATGTCTCCCGGAATGAGACACTGTGACCGACAAGAGTGCACAATACACTCTTGTCGCTCAAAGTTTTGCAATCACATTCTGATTGCAGAAGATTGTCTCATTCTGGGAGACATTCAGAGGCAATGTCTCCCGGAATGAGACACTGTGACCGACAAGAGTGCACAATACACTCTTGTCGCTCAAAGTTTTGCAATCACATTCTGATTGCAGAAGATTGTCTCATTCTGGGAGACATTCAGAGGCAATGTCTCCCGGAATGAGACACTGTGACCGACAAGAGTGCACAATACACTCTTGTCGCTCAAAGTTTTGCAATCACATTCTGATTGCAGAAGATTGTCTCATTCTGGGAGACATTCAGAGGCAATGTCTCCCGGAATGAGACACTGTGACCGACAAGAGTGCACAATACACTCTTGTCGCTCAAAGTTTTGCAATCACATTCTGATTGCAGAAGATTGTCTCATTCTGGGAGACATTCAGAGGCAATGTCTCCCGGAATGAGACACTGTGACCGACAAGAGTCCACAATACACTCATTTAAATCCAAATTCCTTAGTAGTAGGATAGGAAGGGTTGTGTGACTTTTTTTGTTGCATCTATATATAGACGATGCATTAAAATATTTATATACTAAACACATTAAAAAAAATTAACATTAATTTTAAAATAATTTATTTTTTATCTTTTATAAAAGAAGCTATATATAGATGATGTCAGATATTCCGCGATTAATTAAACATTGTTTAAATCCTGAATGGGTTAAACTTCAATTTAAAAAGGAAGACTGTGAATTATTAAATGAATATGAAAGCCAAAATAAGCTAATGAGGTATAAATATAATGATAAAGAATATTTAATTTCATGGAATCAATGGAGTCATAATCAAAGACCTCATAAACGAGAAGAAGAAATTGAAAATAATGAAATGGAAATCATTGATGACATTAAAGAGGATGGAATTCCTAAATTTGTAGAAAAACTTTAGAACTAAGTTAGGAGCATATAAACGTAGAGTATTTAAATCCTGAATATCTTAAACATATATTTAAAAAGGAAGACTGTGAATTATAAACGTTAATGAATATGAAAATGCAAATCAAAACTGAGATATAAATATATTGGAAGTGATGAAAGGTGTAAAGATAAAGATAAAGTTTATTCAGTTTCATATAATAACTGGCACACGTTAGGATAAGAAAACATTTAGGAGATTATGGTAAAAGTTCTGAATTCTTCAAATCTAGTATGTACGAGAGAATAAAAGAAATTAGAAATAATTATTTTCATGAATGAAAGATTCACTACCATAATAATAAAAAAATAAAAAAATAAACTTTAAAAATTCATGTCTCAGAATCAACATTGAACTTTAAGAAACTAATGATTATTTGAATTTATGAAATCAATTATTTGATTCATTCTTTCTTCAATCTCTTCTATTCTTTTTGTTAAATCATCAATTTCATTAATGAGGTGATTCTTGATTGAGGAATAGATTTCAAACTAACCACCCCTTTATTTTTTGAAATTTTGAATCCATCAACTTTAAACATTTTATTCAATTTACATGTTGTCAATTCTTCAAATAATTTTTTATTATTAGAATAATAGTCATTAAATTCTTCAACAGATGAAAAAATTTTTATTTCAGTAATTGGTTTAACAACGTTTATTTTTTGTTGAACATTTTCACTTTCATTTATTTCTTCCTCCTCTGTTTCATTTATTTTTAAAATCGGTTTCATTTATCATTAAATAAAAATTAGAATATAAGTGATGAAATATATTTTTTAATTAATATTAAATCAGAAATGGCGGCAGGATTCTTTAAAAAATTATGGGATGGAATTAAGAAAGCTGCGGGTTGGGTTCATAAAAAGATTATTAAACCCATTGCAAACTTTTTGGCACCAGTAGCGAAAACGGCAGGAACTATCATAGGTGGAGTATTAGGTACTAAAGCAGGTAATCCGGCGATGGGAGCACAAGCAGGTAACGCAATTGGTGGAATAGCTGAAGGAATACTTAATAAAATAGGAGGTAGATAGTGGAAAAATAAATATTATTTTTATCTTAGTATCGGTTGAAGTCTTTGATAAACTTTTTCTCCTTTATTTAATATTTCTCTTATTGGGGCGGCTTTTGGTGTTATTGATTCAGCAACGTCACTAATTGCTTCTTTATTCTTAAATATCCAATTTGCTCCTTGCTTCAATGTTTCCCAAACTTTATGCGCTCCTCTTTTTACTTTATCCCATAATTTTTTAAAGAATCCTGCAGCCATAGTTGATTATTTCATTAAAATTAAAAATTCATTTTCATCTTTTAATTTTGATTTTTTATTTATTAATAAATGACGACTAACTATTTGGTGCCAAACACTAAACCGATTAATGGAAATGTGTTTCATTCATTCGAAAAGATAAATGAAATATTCGCAAAGAATGATGGTAGAAGATATTATAGAGAACTTGAAAGTTCATGCTATGACTCTGATACTCCATATTTTGATGATAAACAAACTCATTTAAGAATTACAAATCCGGCTCATGATGTGAATCAATTAGGTGACACATATATTAAACGCAAAGTTAAAGCAACTCTAGTTTCAAATAAAGCCTTCACATGTGATACCGCTTTTAAATGCATGCGTTTATTCGTTGGTTACAAATCATCAAATCAAAGCTTTAAACAATTAGAAGTAGAAACCGAAAGAGGTGATGCCGGTTATCTTCAAATGGATTGCGCCCGTGAATCTTTCGCATTTGCAACATATAAACCAAAATCAGAAAGGAAAGTTAAAAAGTTTGTTCATTCGTTATATAATAATGTTCAAAAATATGATAACTCAGTATGTGGTAAATATATTGACCCTTCAAAGTTTTCAAGAACGCAAATGAAGAAGTTGATGTCACTTTTGATATGATTATTCCGGTAAATGATTTGTTAGCATTTCAGGCGTTTGATGATTATCCTAAATCATTTGGTGAAATCATTCTTAAATATTATGTTTTCAGGGATACTTTAGTATTTTGTCAGGTTGACCCGTTAAGAGTTGCTGATTTACAAATTACGTTTATGAAAAGATAACTGATGAAAATTATGAAAAGATTATGAATCATGTTTATAAATATGATCGCAAATTCCAACAAATCGGACTTCCTGCCAAATTAATTACAAGCTTAGCCGCTACATCTGCTGACGCAACAGTTGATGACGTTATTATTTCATGCACAAAGATGGAAGTTTTAGAGGATAAATGCATTACACCAGGATACGGTTTAATTGAAGAATCAGTTAAAGCAATACCACGTTTATTCAGTAAGGAAGATCCATTCATGATTCCAGCTCAACATATTGACGTTCGTTCACTAAATGGAGGTTGCATCACTCCTGAAGGTATCAGTTCAGATTTCTCATACGCTCTTCATAATGTTACAGATGTTGTGTTAACATTTCCGAAGAATGCAATGCAAAGAACGGTTTTAGAAAATCCAATGCTTCGAGGTCTTCAGGTCACTATAGATTCCAGAAACTTCCCCGATCAAGCGATGACCACAGTGGGTGACATATTCTTTACACGTATGCTTCAAGCTTCTGATTTAGATGGAGTGAATGAATGCACAGAAGAATACGAGGACTCATTAACTAGACCACTGAATGATGATAATGGTGTGCCATTAGCTAGAACATGGAAAGACCAAACTTCATTCTTATGCACTATTCCAGTTCAACGTGATGGAGCGGGTATATTCTTTGATGGATTAGAAACTTTCAATTCACAAGTTACAGTACAAGTGAAAGCTTATCCAATCATTCAGGGTGTAAATGACACTTACTGTTCAAAGGTGACAAATCCTCCTCAGGTTTGGTTTACTAGGACTACGTATTGGACATGGACACCGGATGAAGGTTTGAAATATCATCCAACAGGTACACCACCACAGTATAGAAGTTCATATGATGAAATATTGATGAATAGAAATGTTTAAAATTATAAATTTATTTTTGATTAAATGGATTTAAATTCATCCACCCCTTATGAAGAATTAGCAGGAGTATATAATACATACGTAGATGATATGATTAATGAAGCATTGAGTGATAATAGAAATGCTCTATCTAAGGAAAAATTAATGAAAATTCCATATTCTGAATGTTACTTAAATTCAATCACTGCAGCAATTGGTAAACAAAATAAAGGTAAAACATTAACGATATTAAAACAAATTATCATTATTGCTAACACTTCCCCCTATTCACACGTGTTAATTTATATCAACCGTTCAGGTTCACCTTCAGATGATACATTTGAATCTTTAAAGCATTTAATCAAAATTCCAATTATTTATTTATCACAAGAAGAAGCAGAAGATTATTTAAAAAACTTTTTAATGTATAAAGAATTATATAATACAATCAAGAAGCAAGGATTAAAGGATAAAATTATTGATAAACAACGGGATGAATTATTTGAAACACTTTCTATTTCAAATTTTGATATAGAATTTTTGCATTCACTCATTTTTCTAGATGATGCAGTGAAATCAAAACTAATAACAAACGAGAAATCATATTTTAATCAGTTATTAACTCAATGTCGACACATTCAGTGTTCATTCTTTATGGCTGTTCAATATTTCAAAGCATTAAGCACAAACATTAAATCAAATCTATCAACCCTTTTCATTTTCAGTGGGTTTAGTCGTCAACAGTTGAACGTTATGCTTTATCAAGTGAATTTACCAATGAGCATTAATGAACTTTACACACAATATCAGCAATTAGGTGAACATGGAAAAATAATAGTTGATTTAAATAAAGGAGGTGTTAAATTTGATTAACTTTTTATAATTAATTTTTATTTTTTATTTATAATTAAACATGACAGAAATAGCAAATCTTCTACAGGTTCCATTAAAACAAGGGACAAACAAAAAGGGTGCATATAATAGAACTATGAAAGTTCCTGATGGAATGAAAGAATTAGTTCATATTGTTGCTGGTCTTCAAAAAGATGTTAAACAAATGAGAAGACGTTTCACTAGTCAAAAGAACACTAACGCAAAAGCAGAGATTACGGTTGGTTATAACGTAAATGATGATAAATCACGAATTATTCAAAATGTTAAAGTTAATGTTAGCCCTGAATTAACAAGGTCAGCAACTCAACCAAATTTATTAACTCGTGACTTACCGAAGAATGAGGAGAATGAAGAAAACCATGAGAATGGAGACCCAATCATTTTATCTGAACCTGGTAAAGAACCTGTTGAAATTCCCACTTATCCAACATACCCCCACCTCTTTCATCAAACATCGAGAACCCATATAAAATAGACATTAATTCTGAATTAATGAAAATTTACCGTGATATAATAATTAATAATTATGATTCAATAATAAATTTAATTGATCAATCCGGTTTAATTATTTTACCTTATGAATCATTAATTCACATTATCGCCATTCTTTGTGATGTTCAAGATTCAGACGTTAAGATTCAATTTTTCATAGATGATGAGGTTTCATGCTGCGGAACAGTTGCAAAAATAAATCCTATAAAGGATATTAGCACAATTAAGATATCAAAGAACGGAACAACAACTGAACTTCATTTAACATATAATGATATTTATAATAAAATAGTTGATGAATATAAAATATCACTTGAAAAATTCTTTGTTAAGGCTATTTAATATTCAAGCATTAACATTATTGAATAATAATCCTTTGAATCATAATCAATAATAATTGACCTTTCACCAGTTTCTATCGTTTGTTTTATTTCTTTTTGTTCCCCACTATCTGGATCGGTCATTGTAATTGTTTTTGTTATAGTATCAGCTTTATCTTTAACTTCAATCTTTTTTCCATCGGATATTTAAACCAAAATTCCAAAAATTCGATATTGTCAATCTGTTCATATTTTAATCTATCAATTACATTTTTAATACCATCTGAAAATCTTATGAAATGGTCATTATATGGGTTTGATTGAACTAAATTTGAATGAAGTGAAATATAACCTGTTGATGAATATGACATTGACTCATATTTTCTGAAAACACTAAAATTTATAACATGAATGAATTTCTTATTCGTTGAATTTATGAATTCTTGAGGTAATCTTATTCTAGTTTTATTTATCACTGGAAAATAACGCTTTACCATATTTTTACTCGTAATAAAAATGTCAATTATCAATATTATTTCGAATAATAGCTGTGAATTAAATTTAACAGTTAGCGGAATTTATAATGTTACTCTCGTTTCTGTGAGTGGTAAATTTAATCCCATTCTTTTAGACCCTTCAGATTATATATCATTTATTAAAGATGACCTTGAAAAAACGTATGATATGTATATAAATAATGTGATAGCGAAATGGGATATTAACATGATTTTAAGTTATTTAAATGAATCATTTATCGTATGGTATGAAGAAAATTTTAAATCAAAACCTGATAAACTTTTTGAACTTGATGAAATAAATAACCTTATTAAATTTCCGCTGAAAATTAAATTTTGTACTCCTCATTTTCGTTCATTGTTGGGGATATTAAATTTTGAAAAAGATGTTGGGGATGTTTTGTATTCTGACACCGGTTCCAATTTCATTTTAATCAAATGTGATAAAGTTAATACCCCAATGAGATTTTCACATCAAACATTAGACCCTAACTCTTACCCATCAATACAAAACATTTTATCCATCAACTTAAACACATTTTCTTTATCATATCCGTTTCAATTATCCGGGAATTCATTTATTCTTCATTCAAAAGATTTATCAAATATTAAATTTAGAATAACTGACCTATTTGATTGTGATTTAGAATTCATGAATGAAATATTATGGCAATTTCAAATAGAAAAAATAGCTGATGAGATAACGGATTAAATATTTATTTTTAAATCATAATAAATGATTAAACAACAGCAACCACAGCAACTTAAGGCGCAAAGCGCCCAGGTCCTTCAGACCATTACATACGCCACATATGCATATAATTCAAAGACGGCAGAACAAACGCAAAGGTTGAAATATGGAGATTTGGAGATAGTATTGAAAAATGAACATTTCGAATTCGTTTGCAAAGGTGGTGCAGTGATATCAAATATAAAAGAAATTTTATTTATGAATTCTAAAATTAAAGGTATAACGGATGATATAACATCAATTCCACCAGAAGAACAGAGATATTACGCATTAAATGCATTTCCTAAAGTTTTGAAGATTGGAAGATTTAATTTAAATGAGGAATTCATAGAAGGTTTCCTAAATGACATAATGAAGAAGGCGGATAAGGAATATGTTAACGATGAGTTAGAGAAGAAGGCAAATTTGGTTTATGTTGATGAAAAAGATAATGAAATTAAAGAAAAGGTTGAATGGTATCATGAATGGACATTTGAGACTTTTAAAGTTAAAGCTGATACAGGATGGGTTTCAGGATGTTTAGACCTTAAAGCAGATAAAACATATGTTAACGATGAGTTAGAGAAGAAGGCGGATAAAACATATGTGGATAGTGAGTTAAATAAGAAGGCAGATAAAACATATGTTAACGATGAGTTAGAGAAGAAGGCGGATAAAACATATGTGGATAGTGAGTTAAATAAGAAGGCAGATAAAACATATGTTAACGATGAGTTAGAGAAGAAGGCGGATAAAACATATGTGGATAGTGAGTTAAATAAGAAGGCAGATAAAGCATATGTTAACGATGAGTTAGAGAAGAAGGCAGATAAAACATATGTTAACGATGAGTTAGAGAAGAAGGCAGATAAAACATATGTGGATAGTGAGTTAGAGAAGAAGGCGGATAAAACATATGTTAACGATGAGTTAGAGAAGAAGGTGGATAAAACATATGTTAACGAAATATACCAAAGTTTGATAGGAACAAAAAATATTGAAACTATTGTTGGTGATTTTTCTGTCAATGAAGAAAATAAATATTTTAGATGGCAGTTTGTACACTCCTTAAAAAATGGTACACGGTGTAAACTCATTCCGAAAAATAACAATGAAATGTATGTAAGCTATAAAAAGAATGATGGTACACAAGTTAAAGTTCCATTAGACAACAACTGCTACTTAAACTTATATGGAGACGAACAAAAGAAATATTTAAGAGTTTATGAAATGGTAGATATGACATTGCCTGACCCAGCTCCAGCACCATATTATTATGACTATGGAGATGACGACAGAACACCACGTGTAGATGAACAAAAGCTAACATTATATTTAGATTATTATAGATATAAAAGATATAATGCAATAGAAAAAACGAGAATAGTATATTATTATACAGATGACAGAAATAAATATTATAGTCAAGATTTTACCTACCCTGAAAACATAAGATTATATTATAAAAAATATTCTGACACAAACCAGAAGAAACCTGAAATAGTTGCACTATATTTTAAGTTCAAAAGAGACAATCCTATAATATCTCATATGTTTGATTTAATGAACCCAGTAGGTTCTATTTATACATCTGTGGATGCAAGAGGTCCTCAAGTAATGTTTGGTGTTGGTGCATGGGAACAAATAGTTGACAGGTTTTTGTATTGTGCAAACTCTTCAAAGGAAACAGGGGGAAGTAAAACGATTTCAGGTGAAAATTTACCTGCACACAGTCACTACATAGATTTAAGTACATCTCAAGCAGGTTGGCATAAGCATAGATATTGGGATTGGTCAGGAATGACAAAAGGTCAAGGATATGATGTTAAAGATGATGTTAAGTTTGCTATAAATTGTTACTGGGATGACACTCAGGGAGAAGGAAACCATACACATTTCGTTTCAGGATATACACAAACAACGGGACAAAGTAAAGAATACATGCCACCATTTATGACTGTATTCGCATGGTATAGAGTTCAATAAACACACTTGAGCCCAGACCTTTGGGTTAAGGCTTACCGAATGAACTAAATATATTTTATATCTGTAATTAATTAGGTAATGAACTGCGGAAATAAATGTTTACGTTAAGTGACTCAAAGAGTCCGGAGACAAAGTCTCATGTTTTCAGGTTATTCAATAATTAATTATTTTTGAAGAACTGAAGGTGCTACCATGTTACCATGTGCTACCAGGTTATTTAACTTCTCTGAAAAAATGAGACAACATGACATTTAGACAACAACACAGGAGGATTAATGCAAAAATAAATTCAAATCATACTTTATACTGCCTCATTTACAGGTATTTCATCGTCAGTAAATGAATCCTCATTATCGTTTGGTTCAACCTGTTTATATAATCCTTTCATTTCTTCTTTCAAAACATAACACCATGTTTGTTTACCGTCTATTCTTCTATGTTTCCTATCACATTTATCCTTAATACTCATTTGGAAATTCTTGTCTTTCATGTCTGATGGTTTGCAGAATAGAGCATTTTCACACGTCATACCTGCACACAATTCATCATAATGTGTATTTATCCATACATCTAAAGGATTTGTTGATAACTCAATTAAATCTTGTTTGGCTTCAGTCATCGGAATGATTCGTACATTAAATGATGAAAGGTCATATTGCATAAAATACGTCAGTAAATTATCATAAAATTCCTTAGTGCATGAATTCATCAAATTCTTGAAGTAATCAAATTGACCCTTGAATTTACCATTAACTCTTAAAACTACGTATCTTCTGTCTCCAACTTCAATTTTGACAGGGTAGACGTTGTTAGTTACGAAAATGAAATTGGCAACATTCTGAGCAGTTCTTCTGGGTTGATTCTTTTCATTAATTCTAATCTCATTATCCGTAATAATTGATTTCAAAGCGTTGAAGTTTGCGAGTCTGTCTTCACCTACATTCTTGAGTTCATTAAGTACAAGAAACATTTTATTCTCAACTACTGAATTGAAATTACCCGTTAGCTCACCTATTTCAGTAATGTTTTTACATGAATAACCGGCGAGGAGTTCAGAAATAATGTCTGTAAATCTGTTTTTACCTGTTCCCTGAAGTCCTTTCAAAATAATTGCTGTTTCATTCTTGATTCCAGGATGTTGAATCATTGATGCAATCCAACCGAGAAGGTATTTATACACTTCATCATTATTATCACAAATGGCTTCTTTAATGAAATTCATAAACATCTCAATTTTTGAGTAATCTACTTTTTCGAGAATGTTGTATTTATAACCTTGAAACGTTGAGAAAACATCTGGAGAATCAGATTTAAAGCAAACACCCTTAACGGTTAATGAGGATAATTGATTTAGTAGTACGTCCCATGCTGTTATGGTTTTACCTTCTTCTTTAAATAATTTAATCATTTTGAGTGACTCTTTCATGTTTGATTGAAAAACGAATGATATTTGATTCATTTTATCATGAATATTATAGTCCTTTTGAATGAAGTATTTGTTTCCATAATCTACAAAACGGATTACACGTGATAAATCCTCAATTACTTCAGAACTGTTTTTATACTGATGATTTTCAGCCTTGCGTCTAATATCTGTTATCAAAAACGAGTCATCAAGTTTTATATCAAATGTTATTTTTGGCTTACGTAATAAAGGCAAAACATATTCATCATAATATTCCTTTTGATAAAGTTTTAGAATCTTCACCAAAACAAATGAAGAAGTCATTAAATGTGCATATTACTACGTGCTTTTTCAAAATTACTTTTTTGCATTTTCTGTTAAATTGCAGAAGTTATAAACGTTATCGTATGCTTCATTAATTAAATGATTTAGGTAACGAATTAATTGCTTGAAACAGTGTGAATAATGTAACTTCTTTTTCCAAATTCATGTTTCCACCGTCATTATGTACTTCAAAATCACTGATGCCATCAACTATGCTTTGAGCTAGTTTATCGTCAATGTTTACATCTTTGTTTTCATTCATTATACTCTTTTATTTCTTCGTTCTTCTGTTCAACTCTTACCTTAATATTCAAATCATTTAATATATCATTCACTGTTCTAGTTAATGTTGATCATAACTTCCGCGAATGAATGAGTATGTATTGATTGTTCTGATGCATTCTTGCGAACTCTTGAATCAGCCATGACTACTAAAGAACGCTTTGAATCATCCATAGAAGTCATGAATATCAATATCATAATCATTGCAGGAATAACATTTAATCATTTCTGTTCGAGGTTGAATAGAAGAAATTAGTGTTGCAATAAATGTGAAGACCTCCTGAAGCAGTTTTAACGATAACATCTTTATCCGAAAGTTTTTGATAAAATATCTTTTCTAACTGTTTTCTTTAAGTTCATCATTGTACGATTTATTGATATCAAATCTATAATCGTTAAATTTGAAATTTTATTTACTAATAAAGCTGTACCAGTTTTCCTTCCTCTTCCTCCATCATGTTTGAGGTAGTTATGTAAATCAATCTTGTTTTCACCAATTCTTTCGTTGAGGGTTTTAGTTTCTGCCACAACTAATTCCTCAGCTAATGAATCAATAACTTGTTCATCAGAAATGATAAAGTTGCTGTTGTTGTTTGTTGCTGTCATTTATATAGGAATAAAAAAATAAAAATAATTTTAAAACTAACTTTATTTTTGGGTCATTTACACTCATTCCGATGAAGTCATGACAAATCATTTCCTGTGTTGTTGTCTAAATGTCATGAGGTTAGAAATGAGGTTAGAAATGAGGTTAGATCTAACCATCTACCCTAAACATTATTTTACTCAGAATTTTGTATAAAAAAACAACCACCGGAATTCAGACGGTTGCTATATTCTTCACAAAACATTAACGTAAACATTAACGATAAAATATATTTTTGTCTGATTTACACTCATTTACGATGAAGTCATGACAAATCATTTCCTGTGTTGTTGTCTAAATGTCATGTTGTCTCATTTTTTCAGAGAAGTTAAATAACCTGGTAGCACATGGTAACATGGTAGCACCTTCAGTTCTTCAAAAATAATTCATAAATGCCTTCCTCCTGTGTTGTTGTCTAAATGTCATGTTGTCTCATTTTTTTCAGAGAAGTTAAATAACCTGGTAGCACATGGTAACATGGTAGCACCTTCAGTTCTTCAAAAATAATTAATTATTGAATAACCTGAAACTATTAACGATAAAATAACTGATAACAAAATTTTATTTTTATATAAATGGATACCCCACAAGCTCAAAATTTACCACGAATCATAACAAGGGAGGAAATGATAAAAATGATGCAAAGAACATGTTAAAAATAACAAACACTAAAACTGAGAAAATGCGGTTATGCAGTAATGATGGAAGAGAGATGTTGTCGAAGAGGAATAAAAATTAAATTTGGATTGAGTTTTAAAAATTCATCTTTATTAAATTCATCTCTTCCAACCAATTTATTTATTCTATTAAATTCTTTTATTTTTGCTTTCACTCAGTTTAAGGATTGAACGGTAAGTTTTCTAACTTTTCAATTATTTCCTTATCGTTTTCAGTTCCATTAGTTTATTGTTTTCAACACCCACCGCATTGTGGCTTTTTTTTGTAATAGCATATTTTTGATTTAATTCTGTTTAGTTTCTTTTTATATTCATTGTCTGGACTCTTGACTGCTTCGTTGTCACTCATTTCTTACGAAATAAAAAAAAATTAAATATTATTTAAATATAATGGGTAATAAAATAAATCGGAATTTCTATTAATTTATTGTCAACTTCAACTAATGCATTGCCGTTAATATATCTAACAAATTCAGCTATGTGTCAAATCTTCGTCTTCTTTTTGTCATTGATTTATCAGTTTTTCCATAATCGAGATGAATCAAAACTTTATCCCCTTGTTTAAAATTCATGAGCCCCGAATTAATTTGTTCACGTTTAACATCATTCAACCTTTCCATTTGCTTTCTAATATATTCCCATTCTTTTGAAATATCATTTTTCATTTCCACTGGTTTCATGTTTATTGTTCTATGCCATGTATTATTAAAATAATATACTAACTGCTGTATGATGGAGTCATGATTTCCATCCCAGTATATCTGACCGTTAACCCTAACGCATCTCTAAGAGTTCTCATTACCGCATCAACTATTTTATTATGAAACGTATATGGAGAGGATGAAAAGAAAAAATTAATTTGTGGGAATAATGAGCCATAGTTGCCTGAATCCTTTATCACCATCACCCCTGATATTATCTACTCTTTCATGATCTAGTAAGTATTGAATAGCTCTTCTTGTTTCCTGTTCTGTTTTCCCTTTCACTGGAATGCAATATAATATCTAGTGTTAATGTTAATGGCAAATAAATAAGTAACTTTTCCTTTTGAATATTCTAAATGATCTATTTCGTATGAATATGGATATGGTGCAAATGAAGGGCGACTAAATTTTTCCTTTAACGGTTGAATTTTTGGGTCAATTGGTTTATTTAATATCTTGAAACCCTTTTTAAAATCTTTTTGTTTCTTTAATGTTTGAAATGGATATAATAAAGTGAATGATGAAGGATTAACTGAAGGAGGAGGCGGTACTGTCGTTGGAGGTTTTGGTGTTGCAAGTGGTTTAATTTTATCTGCTTTGATTTTGGATGATGAAGTTTTGGAATTCATTCCCCCCTTCATTAATTCTGGATGTATTCTATTCATTTGTTTTAAATATGCTGTATATAAAGGTTTGATATACTTTCCCGCTTCGAGTTTATGTTGAAGGATGAATTCCAAAAGTTGATCTTCATTTAAAACTCGGGCTGAATATGGTTTAACTAATGAATCATAAATTAAAGCTTGTGCTTCATTTATGGTCTGAAGGACCTGGGTGTTTTGCATCTTTTGTTTTTGTTCCTTTGGCTTTTGCGGCTCAGGATTATATAATTTATATAATTCATCAATATCTTCTTCTGTTAATACTTTATTTTTGAAATCTTTCAATTGTTTAAGTTGTGATTTAGTTTTTCCCTTTGTATATTCATTATTTTTAATTTTGTCTTTAATTTTAGAAATTATTCTATCATGATATTTCAAAATTTCATTTTTATAATATGGATAATAATATTCCATATCATCACTTGTTATATCTTCATTATATTTTTGGAGATATGATTTTAATTCATAATAACTAAGAAAATTTTGATTAAGTACTAAATCATAAATTAAATTTTTTAAATCTGTGTTATCCATTTATATAAAAATAAAATAAGTGTTTTAAGGGTGCCCACCTCTTTGAATCATAGTATCAAAACCATCATTAACGGTTCCTTTTGTCTCTTCTGTGGCATTTCATTAAGAATAAAATTTTAAATTGTATTAAATAAATGGCATACAACATCCATTTTCACAACATACAGCCTTAGTGTGTGCTCCTGTTAATGCAGTCTTACCGATTGTTAAGCGAGTCATTGACCCGTTTTTAAGTTGTAAATTAATATTTTGACCATCAAATATCACTTTATCATTTATTATATCCAAATATTTTTTAGGTGTTAATTGCTTATTTTGTCTTAAACTAACACCCTTCATTTTTTGTGCAATCTTTTTAAAATCACTTCCATCAATTGAACCGTTGAATGATGTATAACACTTAGGACATAAAGCAACCATGTTATCACCTTGTTTCTCAATTGCTAAACCCAATAATTTTTTCTCATGTGCTTTTTCTTCAGCTTTATTCTTTAATTTAGGTTTAAATTTCTCATCAAAACAGAAGAAATCAAATGGTGCGAATTTGAAAATGTTTTTATCATAAAATTGTTTATCGGTAACAATTGCTTGAAATGCTTGAGTGTTAGGAAGATTTGGGTCGCCAGCGATTGCCCAATAAGATGAATCAGTATCACCTTCAATGAAATGAAAACGATTAACATCCATGCATTTATACATAAAATCATAAATGAAAACCAAATACCAGTATTTAGCATTATCTAAAGTGAAGAATGCCTCTTGTAAACACGTATCACATCTATAAAATCTATCTTTAAGCATCACTTGATATGTATCTTCACCTATTTCTCTTATGTTTTTAAACTTATTTGACATACATGCAACGCGTGCCTTCTGTGCATTCATTATTTTAGTCTTTGCGTAATTTTGTGTATTCATTGCATCGTAACCATATGATCCATTAAGTGAAATCTTGCAAAATAAACTTTTTCCTTTATTTCCTTCTAATTCAGCCTTTTGTCTTTCGTTCATAAATTCGTTCGCAAATTCATTAAAGCAAGTGTTTTTAGTAAATGTTAAAATTGATTGAATATCATCGATGATAAAATGAAATCTGTCGATTAGATACCAAAGATAATAAGAAGAAAATGGTTGATATTGGTTGTGTGTTGATGCTAACTGAGTTAATTTTCTCTGTTTCTGGTCAACTGGTAGATTGTTTGATTTCATGTAATTATACATAAAACTGCCAATTGTTTTTTCATCTGTGATAATATCTAAGTTTCTTATTATCGGTAAAAAGTTTATGTAATCATTAATGTATTTTTCATCAATGTGACCCTTTACTTCAGCCACGAATAAAGTATTTTTCTTCTTAATTATTCCCAATGCTTTTGCTTTCTTTGTTGCTGTATCACAAATGATAACACCATTCAATCTTCCCGGCATATACATTTTATGGTCAGTATATTGAATGAAATCATGAGGATTAGATGAAAATGATGAAGGATATAATGAATTAAAATCAACACCAACGAAATGAGTCATAATGTTGGTGGTGTCCTCGTTTGATACAGTTTTAGTTTCTGGACTATATGAAAGTTTATTAATGTGCGTGATTCCTTTAAGATTTACTCTATGTTGAACATTTGATAAACCACCAGTAATTCCATTACGGAGAATGTGATAAGCTTCAACTGAATCTAAAGTCATTGGTAAATTATTTTTTAATGCATAATTTCTTAAATTGATTCTTAAACGTTGAACATCTTCATCTTTATTTGATTTTACGACATTGCAATAACAACACATTAACTGACAATTTTCTTTAGTATGTGGTTTTTCATTATCGATTCTATCTAATGTTGGTTTATTTGCATATGTAAACGCTTTACCACACATTTTGCATTTAGATGAAAGGATTAAATCGTGATAGTATTGAAAATCATCCATTGAAACATTATTTTTAGTATCCCTTTCTGCTTTTTCATCTTGTTTCTTATATGATTCAATTTTATATTTCCAATACTTTTTCGTTAATTCAAAACTTGATTCTATCTCTTCCTCAGGATATTTTTCATTAGGATTAAAGTCTTTATATGCTAAAGCGTAACGAATCATTGAAGCATTCGATGATAAAGAAAGATTATGAAGCATGTCAATTTTATAAACAAATGTTTCTTCAATAATTTTATCAATTGGGTCAATCATAATTTCAACATCTTTATTGCAATAATGAATAAAATATTCTAATCTATTCTTAAAATTTTTAGCATCATTGAGATATATTTGATAATCACTATCTGATATAGTTTCTTGGGTTAATGCTGAATAAAATGAATCTTGAGTGAATGGTTCCTCTTTATATAATTCTTCTTCGTAATTTTCCCATGTGATGAATTGATAAGGGAAAAAGGATTTAACACGTGATTTATTGTTTCCGAAATCTTGAGTGAATTGGTCTAATGTCCCACCCGCTATATAATTTCTGATGTCAATAAATCTCAATTCATATGGAACGTTTGTTTTCTTTACAATGATTTGCTTAAATTGAGAAGAAGAACCCAGCATTGATTTTATTTTCCATTTTGCAGTGTTTAAATCACGAAGAATTAAATTTAAATCAAACTTTCCCGAATTAAAACCTATGATATTCACTTTATTGAATTCCTCATCTAGAAGTTCTTTAAATGCTTCCTTCTGTTTTTCATTTAATGTTTGCGACTTCATTAATTCTTCATATTGTTCAATATTTGATTTAGCAACTAATGAACAGGTTGAAAATAAAAACTCAATCCAGTCAGAAATAAAAGAATCACTCGAAGTTAAGCAAAAATTCCTCGTATATGTTTTATCATTTAATTTAACCGTTGATGATACCATGAATGGTTTTAAGTAAGCGTTCAAAGTTGCACACTCAGAAAGTTGTAATTCTTCTTTAGTCTCTAATGTTTCGAAGTCAAAAGTAATATAATATCTTGTCGGTTGATAATATTCCTGCAAATTATGAGCTAATAACCACTGATATATCTTCTGTTTCGTAATATGTGGTGCATATGGTTGCTGTGTCTTTTGCAACTGAACGTCTTGAATTAATCTCCCATTATTTTCTTTACATTTCTCACAATGCTTTAAAAATCTTCTTTGGTTTTTCCTTTCTGGATCATCACGGATAGAATAAACTTCTTCTTTACAATATGGACAAACTCTATAGCCGGTGAGTGCTTCAACGTCTGTTATTCTGTCAGCGTGAAGTTTTCCATTTGGACTCTGTGTTAATAAAATATTTATTGTTTCAAATTCTGGATCTATCATTATTGATTCCACTAATGGAAAGTCTATCTTATTTATGTCCACGTCTTCTGGTTGAGGATCACAATAATAGAAATCAATATTAACATTTAACATTCTCGCTAATCTCTCACTTTCTGATGAAATGTCAAACCCTTCATATGCATCTATTGCTTCATTTAAATAGCTTCTACGAGTTTTAGGATTAACACCATCAGGAATGTTATAGAAGCGTTTAAATAACCTTCTACCTTCTGCTCTAATTTGATTATCATTCATTTTAGCTGTTCCGTTTTTGTTCATTTATGTAAGAATAAAAAATTAAAAAATAAATAAAAATAAAGTTTATTTTTTAAAGCCCATAAAATGAATTAAGAACACATAAATTTTTATCATCTGCGACGTGACGAATACATTTTAATTTACTCAAGAATGCGTACCTGATACATTAAATCTAATTCCTGTCTTATTTAATTTCACAACTTTGAAAAGGAATTATGAATAGCTATAAAATGATGAGAAGAGTTTTATGGGTTGCTTCCATTTTTTCTGAAATAAATGAATAAATATATGTTTATAAGTTTCATATCTTTTATATTCTTAATAACGAATGTATAGACCTTTCAACTTCGTCTTCCTTCGGTGCTGTTCTTTCATATGAAACATTTGTTCTTCAACAATGAAACCACAATCACACAAAATTTTATAGGTTCCAATGGTTTCTTTTGATATTTTATCTAATAAATCAAAAACTTATCAACACCTGTGCATTTATTTAAATAATAATTTGTGTAAATATCATGATCTTCTTTCTTAATCGTATTAGTTGCATATGTCACATTTTTAAGAGCTTTTGAATTTCTCAGAATCGAGAGGGGGTGAAAGTAGGATACAGGGGTATTCTTCATTATCAATAAATTGTAACTTATGTTTACGAATAAATTTAGTACCTTCTTCTGAAAGTGTTTCGTCTATTTCACCATCTAATAAATTTTGTGTTGATTCTGAGACATAATTTTTATATCTTTCTTCATGAGATTTCTGAACTGCTGATTCTGAAGCTGGGATATTCATTAAACCCTCTACTTCATTTTCATTATATTTTTCAACTTCTCTTAATTCCTTAATTTTTTCATCTATTTCATCTCTTATTTTTTCCAGTCTTTCAATTTCAATTTCATCGTATTCATCATCTTTAATCCGTTCTTCATAATATTCAGGGAAAACATCAGGTTCTTTAGGTTTTTCTTCTTCAGATGTGGGATATAAGAAATTTATAACATCATCTTTATTCATTTTTCCATCATAATCTAAATCATTTAATAACTCGGCAAATTTTTGACAATTTCTTAAATAATATTTACTAACTTCATAACACATCTCATCTAATATATCCTTTATTTCCTCGTTTGTGAATCCTAATTTTTTAACATCGTTAGTTTTGACGCTCATTTCATACGAATTAAAAATAAATTATTCAAAAATGTAAGACATAATTTTTAAAGTTTATTTTTTCATCTGTTGAAGAATTTAATGACTATTATGCTAATAATAAAAAATTATTTGAAGAATTGACAACATGTAAATTGAATAAAATGTTTAAAGTTGATGGATTCAAAATTTCAAAAATAAAGGGGGTGGTTAGTTTGAAATCTATTCCTCAATCAAGAATCACCTCATTAATGAAAATTGATGATTTAACAAAAAGAATAGAAGAGATTGAAGAAAGAATGAATCAAATAATTGATTTCATAAATTCAAATAATCATTAGTTTCTTAAAGTTCAATGTTGATTCTGAGACATGAATTTTTAAAGTTTATTTTTTTATTTTTTTATTTCATTATGGTAGTGAATCTTTCATTCATGAAAATAATTATTTCTAATTTCTTTTATTCTCTCGTACATACTAGATTTGAAGAATTCAGAACTTTTACCATAATCTCCTAAATGTTTTCTTATCCCTAACGTGTGCCAGTTATTATATGAAACTGAATAAACTTTATCTTTATCTTTACACCTTTCATTACTTCCAATATATTTATATCTCAGTTTTGATTTAGCATTTTCATATTCATTAACGTTTAATAATTCACAGTCTTCCTTTTTAAATATATGTTTAAGATATTCAGGATTTAATACTCTACGTTTATATGCTCCTAACTTAGTTCTAAAGGTTTTTCTACAAAATTTAGGAATTCCATCCTCTTTAATGTCATCAATGATTTCCATTTCATTATTTTCAATTTCTTCTTCTCGTTTATGAGGTCTTTGATTATGACTCCATTGATTCCATGAAATTAAATATTCTTTATCATTATATTTATACCTCATTAGCTTATTTTGGCTTTCATATTCATTTAATAATTCACAGTCTTCCTTTTTAAATTGAAGTTTAACCCATTCAGGATTTAAACAATGTTTAATTAATCGCGGAATATCTGACATCATCTATATATAGCTTCTTTTATAAAAGATAAAAAATAAATTATTTTAAAATTAATGTTAATTTTTTTTAATGTGTTTAGTATATAAATATTTTAATGCATCGTCTATATATAGATGCAACAAAAAAAGTCACACAACCCTTCCTATCCTACTACTTTCCTTTAAATTCTATTATGTAAAATCTCCTATTTTAAACAATCCATTCCATTCTAATAACTAATGATATCCATTACTCAATTAGCTTACTTAACTTTATTTCCAAAAAAAAAAAAACTTTGATACAAATACATTTATTCATTATGATCATTACCTTTCACATATAAAGAAATAAACTGATTTCCGATTGCATTTTCTTTGTCCATCTCGCGTACCCATTGATTTGTAATTCTTACAAATTTACCTTCAAGATCCAATCTTCTATAAAATTTAAAATATGGTGATCCATTTCTTGCAATTTCTAATGAAATGATAGCAAAACGAATATAAATGCTACCATCGGAAAACTCCAATATGTCGGGTTGCGCATCTTGGGATTGTTGATTGCTTCCAATGAACAAATATTTGCTCATCTTAATAATTTTCTTTTCCTTAATGAAATCTTTAAAATCTCCGTCATCTGGCAGTTTCAACATTTTGACAAGTTGAACAGTGTTATTTTCATCAAGATATACAATACCGCATAGATCTGGGCTGAAGAAATGTGTGATAAACAGCCTTGGATCGCCCTGTTCACGGAAATCGAGATCCTGATAGAACTGTCCTGGAGAAACCCTGACTGATCTGCCCATTCGTAGAAGAATTTCCATGAATCTGAGGACATCTGTGTAAACATCATCATTTTCAATATGAAACAATTTAAATACATCATTAATATCTTCGGGATTATAGGCCTCTAATGTGAGTATTGTAAATAGCATTTGTAAACTTACGTTCAATGAAGATCGTTCATCATTTAAACGTATTTCAAGGCCATTAACGTGATCGACACTGTGGTTTTTTTTAGTTCTCCTATCCGCGAATTCTTTGAGATATTTCGCTTGAGAAAAGCAAATTGCTTCAAACTGCGGAGCCTTATCTACGCAATTGATAAAGGAGGCACCTCCTCTTGCCATTGAGCAGAATATCTGATCTGGAAGGTGTGATGGAGGATCTTCGACTTCAACAGGAATTGGTGAAAAAGCATCAGCGATATTACCAGGTTCGTAATCCGACGGAGGATCAACTGAACTCTCATCCTCAGTTGAATTGAGGTCGTATTCATCAATGAAGTCCAAGTCATCATCACTGAATCCGTCAAGATCTGCTTCAGGATGCCACTCTTCATCATCATCATCGGAGTCGATTTCTCCTTCTTGCCTGCGATATCTTCTTTCAGGAATTTCACTAAAGTCTCGGAGCATATCCAGATTCTCACCTTGTGGTAATGCTTGCTCGGCTTTGTGTATGTATTCTTCCCTGACTTGTTCGATCTTCTCAAGAAATTCGGCAGCTTGCTCATCAGTAACTTTGCTGAGAATTCTTTCATTTTCTCTGAGATCAGCCTCATGCATATTCCATGCTTCGATAATGAGGTTTTCATCGAGACATTTCCAGCATTGGACCAAGATATACACAGCCATTTTCAGTGTGCACACTAAGGTTTGATCGATGGCATAGAAATCCCACCACATTCGAGTCGCCATGTTTTTGAGAGCGCCAAAAACCTTCACGTCGAGTGGCTGGCAAAGATCTGTACAACCAACTGGAATGTAAACAAGATCAATGTTGAGTTCTTTTGCCAGGTCCTTCGTCTCCTTGTTCCTGTGGCTGGAGTAAGTGTCGAGGAATAAAATAATTTTGTTATTCCTCCTATAACTTTCATTGTCGCCAAACGCTTGATCATACCAGTCGCGAACCCATTCGAGGTAAGATTTGAAAACCTCATGGGTAGACCATCCTGATTCGGAATGAAGGATCTTTTCATTGCTGATGATCCGGTCGTCGCTCACTTGTTGATGGCACCTGTCTGTCAATCCTTTGCACACAATTGTCAAAGGAAGTTTTCTTCCATCAGCTGTGATGGTTGCAATGATTGTAACACCCTTCTTTTGGTTGTGGTTAATGTGTATATCGACTCCTTCTGATCCTTTAATAGCATAAGTAAGACCGCCTGCAATGCCGCATCCATAGAAAGATTCATCTGCATTTGCGAGCCGCCAAAGCTCGTCTTTGAATCTTTCAAAGAGTTCCGCTTTAATTTCATTGAATTGTTGTATCCGCTCTTGCATTTCTTCTTTATCTTGAGGTCTTCTGTGCCAATGTGCCTTTCTTGTTGTCAGATTTTGCCGCTCTCTAAAGTTCACAAGATAATGAGGAGATATTTCGAAATTTTCTTTTTTCAAAACATGTTCAGGGTAAGCATCTTTAAACATTTCCACAATTACTCGGCACATTTGTGTATTGAAAAAAAAACTTTTTTTTCAATAAATTCTGTGATAATGTAGTTGGCTATAGCTATCAAGAGCTCTCCTTCGTCATCAATAGCTCTGTTAACAAGTAATTGTGCCGTTTTTGGGTTGTATTTTTCATCTTCCAGGTAAGCATTTCTATAATTATACAAGGTAGAGCGAGATATATTTGTAATGGTGACAATTTGATCAATAAGATTTCCGTATGATTCGTCAAAACTAGCTTTTATAAGATCCATTAAAACTTCGACTTTTTTATCGCTCAGAGTTGCCGCATTGAATCTTGGGTCAGGAACTAATTTGCCGAGGAATTTTAATTTTTCTTTGATATCTGGCGGAAGATCTTCTCTTATTAGATGGTCTATGTCAGTCATTAAAAATTTGTCTTGTCACTTTTTAATTTTTTTTATTCTTTTGACAATCTGACAAAGTGAGAGCTGTAGAGACAAATGTGGGAGTATAGGCGGATCTTGCTGGAAGAAGATGTTTTTGGTAAGTTTCGTCATTAAGTTTTGAGCTTTGACATATAAATCTTTTGACAATCTGACAAAGTGAGAGCTGTAGAGACAAATGTGGGAGTATAGGCGGATCTTGCTGGAAGAAGATGTTTTTGGTAAGTTTCGTCATAAGGCTTTAAACTTTGGCGAATTATATGTTAAATCTTTCATACTAATAAGCATAATAAAGATGCAAAGATTATTTGCTAGCGCCGGCTTACTAACATTAATCTGAAGAACAACTTTATTAATATGCTTTAAGCAGAAATGAACTGATTTATAAAGTACAGAATTTTAACGTCATGATTCACAAATATAAGTAAATAGAAAAGGATATCGATTAGAATTTCTTCGTGAGGTCGGTTGAAAGTTCTGCAATCAGAAGAAGATTGTTGAACAATCCGCCATTCCAGGAGGCATGAGCTTGTTATCTCTCCTGAAATGGCACATATTTGATAATTCATGGAGCAGAACTTTGCACGCAATCAGACAAAAGATTGCGACAGAGTAATTGGGAAGACAGCAACTTGAAGCGAAGTTTTGTTTTCGAGTCTTTGGTTAAGAAATCTTAACAAAAAAACAAAGAAAAAAATCAGATAAAGTTGTCAATAACTTCATCAGTTAATGCTCACCTATGGGAGGTGTTTTGCGGGAGCTGGGGTATCTTGGTGAGTACTCAGGAGGCCAAGAAGGGCACCCCAACCGACATTATCCTGATGAATTCAGTTGTCAACCATTCTGAAAACCGCCGAAACCGTCGTGTGTAGAGAAATTGTTTAAATTTATTTTTTTCAGATTTAAATAAAAAATAAGAAATGTTTACTATTATGGATTTTGAATTTTTTTTAAATTAAGAGTAGGAGATGAGACAAATTTAAATTTTTAAGAAATATTTGGAAGGGCGTAAGATACGCCAACTTAAATAATTATATCAAATGAGAGAAAAATCACTCAACAAAAAAACAATTCTTTCAAAAGTTTGACATTGATCTTTCTAATACATATTTTTGGAAGGGCGTAAGATACGCCAACTTAAAAATATTATCAAATGAGAGAAAATCACTCAACAAAAAAACAATTCTTTCAAAAAGTTTAAAATTGATCTTTCTAATACATATCCTATGGAAGGAGTTTACATTCTCAAAATAAAAAACCAGTTCAAAATCTTATTATTCCTTGAATAAAAATCATTTAATTTCAAATCCATTCCAAATCCTTAAATCTGTATTAAAATCATTTTGCCAACAACCAATACAATACAAATTACATTTCCATATATCTTCTTGTCCATTTTAATTTTTTATCTCATTTTATTTAATTTTATTTAAAGCATATAGACATCGAGATCCTTTACACATAGTTATATAAAAGTCAAATACATAATAAATTCTTAATTCTAGAGATATCTCAAAATCTCATTTTTTTAATTTAAAATACCTTTCATTTTTCACAGTACGATCACAACAAACAAGCCATTTACTAATTAACACATATAAGAAAAATATCAAATTACAAAACAACTTTCAATATCATTCGCATCAAATTCTATTTTTTCATAATTATCAACTACATGTTATTATATAATATATGTCGGCGCATATTCCACTCTATACAAGTGTCAGACACACTCACACAAAGCTGTGAGATTCATACCTCTATCAGTAGGACTTCTCAAATCAAGAACACATATGTTTCACTATCGCACATCTGTGTAGGATCTAATTAACCCTTTGGACTGGTACTTCAAAATTTGATAATTTGATAATTTCATGTGATATCGTCATTTGCCTTTAAAACAACTGTGCGTTAAACTAGACACGTTTCTCTATCATAATGCAAAATATCAAAGTTTGGGAGATTCCCAAAGTGTCTGAAACTGATCATAAGGGTGAAAAACCGTTTTCCAGAAGTTGGGAACGTAGGGTAGTATATGTAAAAAAAGATATCAAGAAAAATGAAATTAAATTGTAAGAATGAAATGTTGACTCTTTAATTGGAAATTTAGAAGTCGAACATGTCACCAAGGTCGAGTGGAGCAGCAGCCTCCTCTTCCTTAGCCTCCTCCTTTGGAGCTTCACCAGCGGCAGCAGCTGGGGCAGCAGCGGCGGCCTTAGCGGCAGCGGCGAGGGCTTCTGGATCGGAAAGGAGCTTCTGGAGATCCTCGATCTGCTTCATGTTGTGCTCGATAGCAATAGCAATGGCAGCAATGTCCTTGAAAGCAGAGCCGACAAGGTGTGGAGCAGAAGCAGCGCATGGGTAGCCGACAGCGAGGGCGAGGCCTGTAACGTTGCGGAGACCTGTGCGGAACTTCTCGCCGAGGACTTCCTCTGTGATAGCAAGGATGGATGGGTCGTACATGTTGCCATGATCGTAGAGAGCCTCGATCTTGAGTGTGTACTTGAATGGCATGATGCCGAGGATGTTAAGGATGTTAGCTTCAGAGGCACCAACCTTTTGGCCTTCCCAGATGAGTTGCTTTTCACCTGTGATTTCGATTGTGCCCTTGAAAATCTTACACTGGATGTTAAGAGCGTGGAGGATCTTGATATCGTTTGGTGACATGGATGTGCGCTGTGGCTGAAGGATGACATCGCATGGAGCGATAGCACCAACCTTAGCGGCGGAACCAAGGCAGTTAGCATCGATAACGTCCTTGATGGCCTTGAAGTTGCCGTTTGTGAAGATAAGGCCAGCACCGTGGTAAAGGTGTTCCTCAAGTTGTCTGATGCCTGGAAGTTCTTCCTTGAGCTGGTCAACAGCACGGCGCATAAGAGAGTTCTTACCGAAGAGGACTTCGCAGCCGTGTTCAGCAAGGCCAGCACGGATGTTGAGGAGCTGGTTAGCTGTAACGTTCATGGATGTAACGACGACAACCTTGTGGTACTTGCGGAAGAGAGCATGGAGCTTTGTGACGTAGTCTAACTTCTTCTGTGGGATATGCTTCTCGTGATGCATTCCAAAAAAAGGCCGAACAAAACCGGCGTATTCAAATTTCAGACCGACCAAAGCTTTCAATTGAAACTATTCAATTAATATTTGTTCCGTAGTGTAAAAATAATTGAAAGAGTTTGTACGACATAACGGCAATATAATTGGAAACTATTATGGTATGATAAAATCACATATTTAATATTAAAAACATTACAGTATATAATACAGATTCTATTTCAATAATAAAATATCGTCGAATAGCAGGAATGTAAAATTCATTTGCTGCAATGAACCCTGACAACTGAGACGTAAAATCAACATCTGACACTTAGTCATCCTATTTCACAAAAACAAAACTTCCCAAGAATAAATCGAGATTTTTTTAAATTGCTTGAAAAACATGAAATAACTGTAATAAGTGCTAGTGTCCAAAAATATTATGAGAGGAATGCTCGACATTTGATAAATCAGGATTATTTATCCTTCATCAAATAAGATGCATAATTTTTATAAATAACGGGAACTATGACATACTATATGCGTAAGAATATAATATTTTCATACATATTCAGATTGGTTTTTATTATAAAGTGAATTTGCCGACTTCGACTCTATTTACACGATTTATTGTAATAAAACATCTATTTTTGGAAGCATGTATGAACTATGATGCATAAAAATTTTATTTTATTAAAGTATGAAACTTTCAAATGATCCATTTGCACCATTGAAGACTCACAGAAGATCAGAGCTATATTATTTGCAATTTTTAGCTGGAATAGTTAAGCTTCCCTTATTTATTATTATTTTCTCACTATCTTTTATTCAATATACATTAGTATCTCTTATTCCATCTGCTTCTATTAGAAGAACTATAACAAGGATATATTCTTTTTGTTTATTCAAAGTAATGCTTGTTTTACTCGGAGAATCAAATATCACACTTAAACCAACTGCATTAATTCCAAATTATTTCGAAGAAGAAGAAAATATAAGACCTAATGCTGGTGATATTATAATTAGCAACTGCGTCTCATATATTAGTTTATTTTGGTACCAATTTGTTCTTTCTCCACTGTTTGTAATCACATCTGGCCCAGATTATGTAGTATGCAAATCATTTTTTCCTCTTCTAGGTGATATTTTTGCAGGAAGAAAAATTAATCATGGAAAAACAATGCAGTTTTCGACTGCTATTAAAATTGCAAAGAGAAATCAACAGCCAATTGTAATATTCCCCGAAGAAACATTTACAAATGGCAAATATGTTATCAAATTTACTGATTTTACGAAAAAGCTGACCTTTGATGGAAAAATATTCATTTATGGTATCAGTCACAGCATTGGTGTGATGTCCCCTTGTTGCTTTGAATCAAATATTGGTTTGCATATTATTATGATGTTAGGACGTTTTGGAACATCAATGCGTGTTTTTTCTGCTCTCCCTCAAGATATACCTAAATTGGATGATCAATTTATTGAAAATTCCCGTAATATCATGGCAACAATACTCAGAATTCCGACCTCGAGTTTTTCAGCTTCGGATAGGGTTGAATTTTATAAAACTAACACTGACTAACACTAATAACTCATGATGTCTCATATATTATTTGTTTTATTAATATGAAATATCTTCTTTAAAATATTATTGTTTGTGTATAATCAAAACTTTTTACATTTTAACTTACGCACATGGCATTTAGCTATTATTTCAAAATAATAAAATATAGAATTAATTTTCATGCTATTTTTTATGTAATATGATGACACTAGATATAATCATAGTTAGTTCATGTAACGGCAAATATTTGGGTGTCTTGCCTTAGATATGGAAATTTTGCCTAATTTCAAAGATTTTTAACCTAAATCATGCGCGAAAAATATTGGTTATATTATGTGCATTGCAGTCATGAAGTCAAAATGATATAATTTTAGAAAATCTGGTCCAAAAAAAGTGACGTATGGCCTTTCGAACAGAATGTCTGCCCCAATTGTTATTGATGCTAAGGGCCACATCCAGGGTCGCCTTGCCGCAGCCGTTGCTAAGCAGCTCCTTAAGGGCCGCAAAATCGTCGTTGTTCGCGCCGAAGAAATCGTATTGAACGGCAAGCATAAGTTCACTGTTCACACATACGAGCGTTTCCTCAACAAGACAACAAACTCCAACCCACGTGACGGTCCATTCCACCAACGTGCTCCACGCGAAATTTTCGCTCGCGCTGTTCGTGGTATGCTCCCATACAAGACACACCGCGGTGCTGAAGCTTTCGAAAACCTCAAGGTCTTCGAGGGTGTTCCAGCTAAGTATGTTACATACAAGCGTGTTGTTATTCCACACGCCCTCCGCTGCGTTTCCATCCACACTGATCGCCCAACAACAAAGCTTGGCGAACTCTCAACAACAATGGGCTGGAAGTACGGCAAGGTTGTCGCTGATCTCGAAGCTAAGCGCAAGGCTGAATCCGCTAAGTACTACGAAGCCAAGAAGGCTGCTCAGGACAAGAAGGCCGCTGCCATCGAGAAGGCTAACAAGCAACTCGGTGCTCAGGCTGTCAAGTTCCTTGAGACATTCTCAGAGTAAATTTACAGCAATGAAAGAAAAAGCACGATAACCTTTGATACTACTATATTTTCAGTTCTTGCAATTGCATATAAAATTTGAAATTCATAACTTTATTCATATTTTTGGTCAAAATATCAAATTTTCGTTTATATTTTACATTATTCAACAATTGTTATGAATCTAATAGCATATTAAGTATTAGAACAGCCTATCTATCATGAGGTATATGTTAACATTAAAGATTCCAGTGAAAATAACTCAATTTCATTTTGCAACATCGAAAATTTGAAATTCCTTTATCCAAAGGACTGAATTCAAAGGGAAATACTATTTTAAGAATCTAACCGTTGCAGATATTAAATGGAACAATGAAATTAGATTCAATTTTACAATTTCCTGTTTATTTTAAGAATTTCTTATAATGATGTTATATTCTTGGACAGATGAAGCTAGTTGTATTAAATAGACTCTCATAAATTTTAATATAAAGTAATAATAAAACAGATGAGAGATATCTATAAAGAAAACCTAACTGATTAATAGAACATCTCGACAATTCCTCATACACTAATAGATTTTTCAATTCTGTGTATGAATTTTGGTGTGAAAGCAAGTTCAATCTTTTTCTTTGTTTTCTTGATGACACTTTTTAAAAATTCAAAATGAATCGAGAAAATTGGGTTGAAATAAAAAGAGGAGCCGAAGCATCTATTTGGAAGATGCAACTTTTTGGAAAGAATTGCGTTGCTAAAGTTCTTGAACCAAAAACATGGCGCGCAGCACCACTTGATAAAATGTTACGATCAGATCGAATTAAAAGCGAAGCAAGAACTAATTTTAGATGCATGCAGCTTGGTGTTCCAACATGCCCAATAGTTTATATTGATCCTGAAACCTCTACTTTGATTATGGAAGAATTAAATGGTGGAAGTTTGAAGCAAATGATTTTCAATTGCACAGATCATAATGATCCTAAAGTTATTCAAGCTCTCAAAGAAATGGGACAAATTATTGCAACTTTACACAATAATGAAATTTTACATGGAGATTTAACAACATCAAACTTCATGTTACATGATGGAAAAGTTAGAGTTATAGATTTTGGACTCTCTTTCCAAAGCGGACTTCCAGAAGATTTTGCTGTTGATTTATACGTCATGGAAAGGGCATTTAACTCTTCTCATCCGGACAAAACTGATTTGCTTAAAATAATTTTCGATTCTTATACAGAACATTGCAAGAAAGCCCCTGTAATCTTGAAACGTCTGAAGAAGGTTCGTTCTCGAGGACGTAAGCGATCAATGGTTGGATAACTCAACTACCAATAACAATTACTTACTTTTTATCTTTTTTTTGTATAAAATATAAATATAAATTATAATTTGAAAATAGATTGAATAATTCAATACCAAAACGGCACTCAATATATCACACAATCAGAGAATATTCCTTAGCGATTAGAAATTTGTAATAGAAATAATTTTTATAATAGGGAATTAGACTACATCAGCATTAATAATTTCCTTTGGGTTCATATTGTTTATTTTGGCTCAAATTCTCTGCATTGAAATTTGTTCCAAATCTGATGTGATTACAAATTCATGAAGCTTGTCACTCCCTTCATAATCATAGCTAAATAAAAAATACAGGTCAATTGCTTAAACAATAATTTTTTTAAAAAAATTTTGATCCCACAACTTAAATAAAATCTAGATAAAAAAAAAAAAAAAAAAAAGGAGTGGGGCTTCCAGGCACTTCGTGCCTTCTAGCCCTGAGGATGAATGAGTATAATGAAGTTTTTTTTTTTTCTTGGGGGATGGCTTCCAGGCACTTCGTGCCTTCTAGCCCCCGAAGATGTTTAGTATAAATGAAGTTTTTATTCGGAGGGCTTCCAGGCGCGTTACGCCCTGAAGATGTTTAGTATAAATGAAGTTTTTATTCGGAAAATTGTTAGTCTTCTTGGTCGAAAACATTATATAATGTTTCACTTTTCACAAATTATATATGTTTTCATGTTTTGTCAAGACTTCTTCGTAAATGTTTTGTCAAGACTTCTTCGTAAATGTTTTGTCAAGACTTCTTCGTAAATGTTTTGTCAAGACTTCTTCGTAAATGTTTTGTCAAGACTTCTTCGTAAATGTTTTGTCAAGACTTCTTCGTAAATGTTTTGTCAAGACTTCTTCGTAAATGTTTTGTCAAGACTTCTTCGTAAAATCAGACAAAAATAATGTTTAGGGTAGAAGGTTAGATATAACCTCTTTTCTAACCTCTTTTCTACCCTCTTGAATTTTCATGATTTCTTCGTCATAGGCACGGAGATAGGACGGTTATTTTACAAAACTGACAACACTTTGACCGAGTAGTTTTTTGTGCTGAACAAAAAGTGTCATATAAACCTCTGTCAAAAACCGCTTTTTAACTTCACTTAAAATGCCACGTAAGCTACGTAAGAATATACGTAAGAGGAAGGGAGCATTGAAACATCCAATAGTAAAACTAACACCACAACAACAGTTGCAACAACAAATGATGAATGACCCCACTATGTTGCAACAAATGTCAAGCAACCCTATGCTTTTAAGCCGAGTTATTGGTGCACAGAGTGGAGGTTTAAGAGCGGCACTTTTAGCGAAAATGGCAGGCTATGGTGGAGCTGCAGACGGAACAGCTTATAACCCTCAAAGTCAAATGAATTTGAGTTCACTCAAAAATCAAATAACAGATGTCAAAAAGTCAAACATAGACATACAGAAACAAATAAGTGAAAACGAAAAGAAACTAGAATATGACAGACACACAAAGAAACTCAATGAGTTAAACGTAGAGAAAAAGAAGAAAGAAGAACAACTGAAAGAACTAAGTACAGAGGAATATGCGAAAAAAGTGTCAGAAAAAGCAGCAGAAGTAGCAAAAATGGAACAAGATGTTATAAATTTGAAAAACCATACTACTCAATATAAAGTACTGAAAGATGAAGAAAATAAAACAAAAAGCCCTGAAGACATATATGGATAGCGATGAGTATAAAAAAGAAGTTGAAGCAAATGTAAAGGCAGAAAAACTTTTACAGTTGCAAAACCAAACCGTACAGTATGAAAACTTAGCACAAGAAAGTAAAAATAACGACGCAGCCATGCAAAAGGCAATGAAAAGCGCAGAATATATAAAAGCTAACAATGACTGGTTAGATGCCCAAGCCAACGCTAAAGCAGCCCAGCTTATAGGGTCAATAAGGACAAAAATACAAGCGGATGAAGACAGTTCAAATGAAACTTTAACAAATGCTGACTTTAAGAACGCCTTCGAAGCTCTTCATAGTAAGGTGAAACAAGTGAACGACTTCTCATCTGGAAAGAAACTGAAGTCTGAAGGTTTCGACAAAGAGTTAAAAGAAGTAGCACAAAATATGACGAAAATAACAGATGCAGCAACGAGACAGGCAGTTCAAAGTGCCTATGACGCCGTTAGAGCAACTGTTGTGAAAAGTCAAGAAAAAGAGTTACAACAGACCAAAACAGACCTAGTAAATGCTTTCTTAAAAACGAAAAGTCAGGTAGGACATTACGCTGCAGATGGAACATATGTGCCAGCTGGTGGAACTTATATACCAGCTGGTGGAACTTATATACTAGCTAGTGGAACTTATATACCACCAAACCCTCCAAGAGAAGCACCTGCACCAGGACTACCTAAAACATTTACATCGTCACATGGACACAGACACAGGCATGCACCAAAACCAACACAACAACCAGCACAACAACCACCTCCACAACCAGCACAGCAACCAACACAACAACCAACACAACAACCAACAGTTCAAAACCCTGCACAACAACCAACAGTTCAAAACCCTGCACAACAACCACAAACAGAGCAAGGACATAAAAGAAGTAGAGAACAAGGAAACCAAGAATTCTTAAAAAGGCTTAAGGAAGACTATGGTTACCCAGATAGTATTGACTTTAGTGACAGATATAAAGAAGCTATTAGAAAGTTCAAGGATGGAAATACTGACCCGGACCTATTTAGCTTTATGGCTCAGCACCAAAACGGATATAAATTCAAACCTGGAAAATACAAGCTCGCTAAGGGATATGATTTAATAGCATATCATCCAAATGACATGAACGAATTTACTCCGAGATATTTGATGTCAGAGCTAAATGACAATTCAACTTTCGTCATGAAACGCGTAAAAAATAGAGACGGAACGAAAGAACAAAAGCTTATGAATGCGGATGACGTAGATAGGGAAATTGTTGAAAACGGTCTCGGAATATATGAAATGCCAGCAGATGAGGTACAAGAAACTCCACAGGAAGAACTAGTTCAGATACAACCAGACATGGAAGAAATAGTTCAGCAACAACAGCTAGAAGAGCCTGAAGGAAACGAACAAGTCACTCCTTTGGAAACTAACTTCACAGAACTAGATGAAGATTTGGAACAGCCGAAAAATCTTGACCCTCAACAAGAGTATGCGGAGAATATGGAATATTTCCAAGAGTCTAAAAAAATTCGGCTGACATAGTAGAAGAATATCGAAAAATGTTTGCCGACATACAAAAGACTCCAACATCAGATGAAAATATCCAGCATAGAATGGAAGAACTGAAAAAAAATGTACACAAATACAACAACCCTTTTTACTTACGAGCATTTAACGTTCAATCTTCGGATGAACTCGGTGAAAATAAAAGGTTAAATTTCAAGAAAACATATAGAAATGAAACATTGTTTAAAGTTCATTCAGAACCTAACCAAGATGGAAACAAACCTACTTTTGTTTCTGCAGACGATGGAACTACAATGAGATGGGGTCATAAAGCTAACCCGGATAGGTGGTTCATAAACTTACAACCACAATTCCAAGAAGTTGTAGACGCAATGGAAGTCAATGGTGAACGAGATATAGCTGGTATTTTAAGCGCGGCTTTAATGCCATTGAAAGATATGAAACATGCAGATATTTTGGACCAGTATGAAATGAACATGGCTGATGGAAATATAACACCTGACGTTCTAGAACATTTATCTCAAAGAACTACACAGAACCATAGAGATGGTATATTTGGTGAAGAGTTTAGAAAGACAGTTAGGGAGAGAGAAGGAAGAGAACCTATTGTACATGACCTTGCAAATGAAAGTTTGCAAAATGTCATAAAAACTTACTTTGCAGACAATGAACTGAGAAGGGATGAATATTTAAGAAAACTCAAATTGACAGTACCAAATGAAATGTTAGTATTGAAAAACATGTTCCTTGACAAAATAAAACCAACTACAGAAATAAACGACGCAAGACTGAAAGATTGGGTAAAAGCTTTCCCATTCACAAAAGATATAGTTGGTAACATGGAAAGAAAACCAGAATGGCTACAAAAACATATATTTGGAAACGAGCATATTCCATATGGACAGGCACTGTTTGAAGAGCTTGAACCGGAAACTCAGGAAAGAGTCATGCAAACAATACGCGAAGACTCAAATACAGACTATGACAAACTCTTTCTAGGATATAGGTTACCTGAGATGGGCGACCAGAGCCAAAAGGCAAAAAGGGCATGGAAAATTTGCAACATACTAGATGAACATAATGCAAAGATGCAACAACTTGAAGCAGAGGGCAATGAAGGAAAAAGAAGAGTTAAAAACTCAGTCAGGAAGAAAGTAAAGCTTGGTCCACGTGGGTTCTATTATGACATATAAATCCAACTATTCTATATTTTTACTCATATGAAATGTACGCCGCTCAGAATATAACGCCAACAGTTTTGGATGCTATGAATGGAAATGTTTCCGAATGGTATAACGAATGCGACAATGCCATTAGAAGGTCAGAAATAGTTCCTGGAACTTACGAATATACAACTGCTGTTTCTTATGGAAACGTAGGTGAGTTTGGAGAAGGTTCTTCAACAACAGTAGATATTGCTTGCGACAGGTTTCATATAATTTCTATTGACAACTCTTTCTTATACGTGGAACAAGACATTGAAATAAAACCTTCTGCCAAGTTGTCTGACAAGAAAGGTTGCAATGGAATTTTCTATGTCGGATACCAATATGCTCCAGAAGTTTTCATGGGATATAAGATATATTCTAACTCTGACTTAGTTCAAACAGTAACATGGGCAAACTATGAATGGTTCGCTTTGAGAAACTCAGTACAACCACAAGCTAGAGAACAAACAGACCAGTATGCAACTATTGAGAAAATAAGAAGACTTGACCCTAACGTTCCAGGAGTTTATGTTAACCTTTCTGGACAAACTGCAGCAGCAGTAACCAAAGTAAAACTGAAACTTAGAGTTCCTTTGTCATCTTTCCTCATCTTCAGGTTTTTAAGATACTTGCCAAACTGGGCAGGAAAAATTTCTATCGAACTTACTCCAAGCAAAAATAACTTAGTCATTGCACCAACACAAGACCCATTCACTCTTACAGAAGTAGTGGGAACAAATAAAATGTCATTCGCCGACTTTTGCAAAAACAAAGTTGACTTAGACTTTGGTTTCTCAAACCTCAACACTGAAGTAAACTATTATTTCAATGCTGCTGGAGATGCTTGGGACCCAGTTAAGTTCACATGCGAAAAATTTGAATGCAAGAGAATAGAAAGCAGACTTGCAGTCTATATGTTGGACCCAGATATTTCAAATGCTTTAGCTGCCAAATATATTGCAGTTCCACTTATGTTCCCTATACACCAAATATCTGTCAAAGACTTTGCAGGTGAAGTTGGAAACCAAAGTGCTGACCCAGGTGCAAGAACAGATATTGCTTTAACAACTGCAATGAAACATGCAGATACTATGTTTGTACTGTTCAGACGAACTATAAATGACTATTCTTGTTTCTACAACCCCGGTATTAAATATCATATAAACATAGATGGCAAATATTATCCAAGAGAAGAATATTCTACAGTTGAGGATATGAGGTCATACAACTTGACATTAGATGCTATGAACTTTAACAACAACTTCACAACAACCATAAACCCTGAAATGCAAAGTTCTATTATGCCATATGTGAAAGTATGGACTCATACAGGAGGTCAAAAAACTCAATATACAAATGGAGACCGTTCAAACTTTTGGCTTGGCATTCCATTTGCTGACTCAGAAGACTTTATGGGTGGTATTTCAACTGTTGGTACAGTTCAAATACAATATACTGGTGACAGAGACGGTCCAGATGAACTGAGAGCAAAGAAGTTTACAAAACCAATAGCACTTTTCACGGAAGATGCTCTTTTGAAGATTCGTTCGATGAAACCTGCTGGGCTCCTCAGATTGGCATAACGACAGCTTCCATCGAGCAGATTTTGGCAGCAGGTCAGTAAGTTGTTCTTGAACTGACTTCTCTCCGTCAAATATTGACAGTACGCCAGTTTTGACATAAAATTGTATTATAAACTTACCTTTAGAAATATCGGTCAGTTTTGTTGTTATATTTTTGTCTGCTTCAAGAACTTTCACCATCTCGGTTATACCAACTTTCTTTGCTTTATGAAAATATTTTGGTTCAGCAAATATTGCTATTCTATAACATTTTCCATTGTTTGTGTAAAGAACTACTCTGTCAATGAACTTGTATTGTTTGTGTGTGTAAACTTTGTTCTGCTTCAATTCGAAGAGATACTCGAATACGTCCATCTTTTTATTCTAAGTAAAATGTCATTTCCGAAAAATAGAAGCGTAAGTGTTTCAAAAGGTTTAATGGCGATGGCAGATGTGAAGTTAAATTCACCAACTCAAACAAACAGTCAAAGTGTTATTGTCAATGTCAAAGAAAGAGATGTTGAAATGGGGAAACCATACGAAGACCAAGATGGTATAACAATAGTTCCTGTAAAAGAACCAACATATCCTGAAGTTAGCAGAGACTTAAGTTCTGTTGCAGATATTCGAAACGACTACCAACAACTGAAAGACAAACTTCAAACTCAGGAGAAGATTTGTCAAGCTTTAAGTATAATGTTAAACTTGGTCGAACACAACCCTGTAAAGGTGAGCTCCTATGTCATTGCACCTCATGAAGTTTTGAAAGAACTATTGAAACTTTTGACAGAGGCAGACGATATAAACATCAAAGAAATAGAACCCGACATTAGTTGCTGTGGTGTTTCATATAATGTCATTGACAAGATATACGTTATGAAAGGAGGTGAAACGTTGAACTTAAAGTATAGTTTCCCAGACGTCATAAAAATATTTGACGACCACAACATTTCATTAAAATTTATTTGCTAAGTAAAATGGCAGAAGACATAATGGTTTATACTATTACGACTAAAAACCCTGAGTCATATAATTCTATAACAACAAACTTACAAAGTCCTCAAGGACGATATTGTAAACTAACCTTAAACACAATGACGACTAAAGCCTGTTTTGCTCTTTTGACACCAGAAGACTTTGTTGTTGTGAATGGTAAAAAATACTCCTTTGAAGATACTTACTCAGATATACCACCAACAGGTTTTGTTGACTTATTTAATACTTTACGTACGAGTGTAACATGTGCTGCAACTAGAGCAGGTTTCATTATGTTTGGATGTCCGACTGAGTTTACTATAAACGATATGAGCTATAATACAAAACTTATTTCTGGTTTTTACTACCAACAGTTTCCTATAACAGGAAAAGGTGTCATACAAGGAATGTCTATTCCATTGACATTAAGCACACCAATCTTATATATTGTTTCAAACTTAGGTTCAAAGTGTTATTCGAATGTCGACAGAAACTACTATGACCAAAAGATACTCATGCGTATAAACAACACTTTCTCTGCTGGTTTGCCTATTGTTCATTCGAATGCAGAGTTTTCAGCTTTAGTAAACTCAAACACTTTAGCAAACATAAACTTAACCTTAGTCGACGCAAACTTTGTTCCTGTAAAACTTTTATGTCCTATGTATTTGTCAATGACGGCAGAAAGTTTCGAATTGGAAGATGCAACTGGTGAAAGTATTGTACTACAAGAACAACTTCAACAACAAATAGCTCAAGAACAACAAATGCAACAACAAAGTCAAGAACAACAAATAGCTCAAGAATAAAAAAAATATTTTTTTTTATTTTTATAAAAAAATGTACAGAATAGATGTTTCAGATTTTTATGACTTCCAAGCATTCAGAAATATGTGTCCATTTCGAGACTATAACAAAGCAGTCGAGAATTTGAAACGTTTAGTCATTTATGTCGACTCTGCCCCAGAATGTTATGTCATGAAAGAATGGGATGTTGTCTTTAACAAACCAAGAGCAACCATAGTTTCAGAACAAGAATGTAGACAGAAACTTAAGAAAATAAAAGTCGTACAAGTTGGCATGAAGATGTTAGATGCTTGGGATATCTTATTGTCAAAGTTAGAAGATTTTTCAGTTCGTGGTATAAAGTTCTATACACCTTCTCCAAACTTCTATTCTATCTTCACTGGATATAAATATGAACAAGTAGAATGGAAAGAAAATATTATAGAAGCTTGGTTAGACCATGTCAAAGAAATTATATGCAATGGAAACGAAAGAGTCTATGAGTATATCTTATGTTGGTTTGCAAACATCTTACAACATCCAAGTGCTAAAAATGAAACTGCTCTCATTATAATTGGAAAACAAGGAACAGGTAAGAATACTTTCTTTACAGATATCTTATGCAAACTATTAGAAGGTTATTCGAACCCGAATATGACAAACTTAGAAAACATCTGTGGCAAGTTTAACTCCTCAATAGAGAATATGAAACTTATAGTATGTAACGAACTTCAAAGTATAGATACAACAAAAGTTTTGAACTCAGATGCTTTGAAGAGTCTTATAACAGACAAAGTTGGAGTTGTTGAAAGAAAATATAAAGACCAAAGAGTTTGTGAAAATGTTGCAAACTTCATTATGGTTTCAAACAATGCTGTTCCGATGAAGTTAGAAAGTTCTGACAGAAGATATGTAGTTGTCAGAACGTCAGATTCTCATATGCAAGATACAGAATATTTTGACGACTTAGCAGAAACTTTGACATCTGACTTTTACAACCACTTGTTCTCATACTTTATGACATTAGATATTTCAAAGTTCAATCCAAGACAAATTCCATATACCGAAGAGAGACAAACATTGTTAGAAGCAAACAAGAGTGTATATGAACTGTTTATAGATGAGACTAACTTTGAGTGTTTAGATGAAAGGTCATTGTACGATGAATATAAACAATATTGTCAAGAGTATGGTTATATGACAGCGTCTAAACGAACATTCTTGGCAAATGTCAAAAATCTTTTAGATGTTCAGAACGGCGTATATACAAAGAAAAATTTTTATGAGTAAATTTAAAAAAAAATTTTTTTATCCGATAGAAAAAGATGACAGAAAAATTAACTTTTTACATAGCGCCAGACCCTTCTTGCCCACATCTTTTTAAGCCACAATATATAGACATAGAACTAAATAGAGAAAGCGAAATTCTACAAACAGAAGAAACATATAGAGACCTAGATAACGAAAATGGATATGCGCTATTCTGGTTAGATTGTCCTTATGAAATGTATGAAAAAAAGGCTTTATATGAAGAATATAGAAAATATTGTCATGAAAACGATATAAGACCAAGCTCTAGAGAAAAATTCTATGCTGGTATAAAACATCTTTTCGAAGTTCGGAATGGCAAATATAGAAAGAAATAATTTTTCTGAGTAAATTTAAAAAAAAATATTTTTTTATCCGATAGAAAAGATGGCAAAATTCATCTCAGTAAATAAGTACATGACAGAAGTCAAAGAAGAACTAGACCCATTCGCTTATTTGAATGTTTACTTCTACCATTTTGAAAAGTCTTCATTCAGCAAAGTTTGGAACATCGAACCAGTTAAGTTTGCTATTGTGACTAAAAATGGTGCGAAATTTGAAGACTTAGACATAGAAGGTTTGTTAGCAGTCAAAGAAAATTTTGACAGAAGGTTTTCAAACCTTAAAGAAGGCAAAGCATACAAACTTGTTATACCTTATGAACCAAAGAAAGCAGACGACTATGAATATTATGAGTCTAAGATAGTTGAAGTTCAAGGTAAATTGGGTAAAAAGATTTTAGAGTCTAAACCAGTGTTTGCTCCTAAAGAGGAAGAGAACATTGACATTGACCCAGAAATGTTCTAAAAATAAAATTTTATTTTTACATGTCAAATTTCTTTTTCTCTGGAACTGGCTCTGGTTCAGGTTCTTTCTTCTCTTCTACTTTTTTCTCTTTCTTTCCTTTCTTCTTCTTTTCTGGTGGAGTTATGTCAAATTTCTCAGAACCATATTTCTGTAAAAGTTCTTTGTCCTGTAATAGCTCATCTATTCTGTTTTCTATTTCATCTTCAAGAACAGCGCATGTGTCTTCTTTGCATTCTAAGAACTTTTGTTGGACTTCAGCTTTCCAATCGGCGTCATCTCTGTCAACAAGTCTGTCATTGACAAA